GGGGGGACTTTAGTTTTGCGTCGTGTCCGTCCGTCCTTCCGCTTTCTTGTCCGGGCTCTATCTCCTACACTACTTGTCTCTGGAACTTCATACTTGGTGTATGGCTTCACCTTGGTGAGTCGGTGTGTCATGTATCAAAAGTAGGTCACTCTGACCTACATTTTGACCTTTGACCTACATCACAGATAAAGTTTTTCCGGCTCTATCTCCTACACTTCTAGTCACTGGAACTTCATACTTGGAGTATGGGTTCATCTTGGTGAGGCGGTGTGTCGTATATCAAAGTAGGTCACTCTGTTTTTGACTTTTGACCTGATCAAAGAAAAACTTTGTCCGGGCTCTATTTCCTACACTACTACTTCATTACGAATTTATCATCTGTGCATTCTTGGCATATAATTTCACATCCGATGGGGGGGACTGTAATTCACGAATTGTCTTGTTAAATTTATTCTTAAGATATTTACATTTATGTTTGTTTGTTTGGGGTTTTACATTCTCCCAATAGCCAGGGTCATAAGAGGACAGCGGTGCCTAGATATACAACTGGAAAGAGATAGTGGATAGGAAAGAATGAAAGATAAGAAATTACATTTTCATCGTACAGCCTACAGATAAACCTACTGACCAAAAATGTGCTTATAGACTAAGAATAAGACCTTATACATATGTTTGTTTTCCAATCAGAGCTATTTGGCATGATGTAAAATTCAAATTATGACGGAAATTGGCAAACATTGCTTCTGAGTTGTGTTTGTTGCCTGATGGAATCAGTAACCATAGAAAACACAACCTTGTTCCTGCAAAAATGGCAGTTCCATCGTTTGTAAAACATTTTTTAGGTCACCTGAGCTTTAGCTCAAGTGACCTATTGCTATCCGTTTTCGTCCGTCGTCGTCCGTCGTCCGTCGTCCATCGTCCGTCGTCCGTCGTCCGTCGTCCGTCGTCCGTCGTCCGCTAACATTTTACATTTCAAACTTAAAGTCAAGTTCTGCTGGGCCGATTGAACTAAAAGTTGGTAGGAATGATCGCCTCATGGTCCTGACAAAGTGTTGTTATTTTTCGGGTCAATCAGAAATACAATTTGGCTGCCATGGCCGCTATTTTGCTACTAAGTTCTAATAGGCCGATCTCACTTAAAATTGGTCTAGGAATGATCAGCTCATGGTCCTGACAAAGTTAAGTTAACATTATACTATTTTTTACTCAAATTGGTACATATTTCAACAACAAAAATAAATACTGTAGACTCAGGTGACCGTTAAGGCCCATGGGCCTCTTGTTTTTAAATCCAAGGATTCAGAAATAACAGTTTTACCTGTAAATACAAATGTACAGAGATTGAAATGTGAATCTGCATACCTGTCATCTCTGAGTAATGCTTTGATTAAAGGTAAAGGTATTGAACAGCAGTATGACATAAACCTGACCAGATCTCAGAGTAGCTCTTTGATAGTCTTCAAATTATCAGGTAAATCATGATCAGGTACCACTTTCTATCAACCTTGTAATGGGTATGTTTTTAATTTTCATAACCAATCCAATAGCTAATAGCCATGACTTTCCTGTAATGAGAAAACCCAAATGTGGGGAGAAGATATGTATACAAATGTATGTAGATCTGAACCTTTGGATTACCCCACACTTCCCACCAAACATTTCCTTTCACAGAACTAATTCTTGTCATATACTTGCATAGAATAACAAAATCTTTTTTCACCTGGCCAGGTTTGACATCTCACCTTTAGCTTGTATTGATTAACAGTATAGGGCCCTATATCTTGGCATTGATCCTACCTCTGCCAATTTTCCACATAGCCATCAATAATTCAGGGAGATCTGGCCCCACACCCAACATTGCAGTCCATAACATCTTGATACATCATTTATCATTGTGAAACCAGCTCACATAGCACTCATTGGGGTTTCCTTAGGTGCTGGAAGTATTTCTTAACATTCGATTTCAAGAAGAAATATGGAATTATCTTTGCAACCTTATTTACATCACAAAAATGAGAGAAAAGAATGAGAAAATAATAGTTAAAATACTTTTAGAATAGGCTTTAAATAGATGTACAGTAATGTATACATTATTATTTTTTATTTCTTTTGGTGATACTGGATGTATGTTATTATATCCCAAGAACAAAGTTAGAGGACTCATTGCCTTTACCTTGTTTTCTTCATTCTTCGTCTGTACTAAACTTTTTTGACAATTCTCTCAATAACTACAAGTCACATTCTAATGAAATTTACATGAATATTGGTATGCAATCAAATCATTTTTTTGCATTCAAGATGGTCACTACGGCTTCTGATTGGCAGTCATTTTGGGCTCTCACTAGAGTTTTAAACTGGGCTAAATTTGTTTATTATTTGTGGGAGTGATACATAGCATGTATACTTAACCTTTAACAAGTAACTTTAATATTCGTGTTGTTGTTTCTTTCCGATAATGAAATATTGACAAAAATCAGCATGAACACAAACCTTTCCTTTATCTTTTTAAATGATACATTCAACAGTCATGTCAGTATAGTCAGTCATATGAAATCCTTACCCAAAGCACCAGCTACTTGTGTTGTGTATTATACAATATGCTGTACCTGGTAAGCATTCAGAATACAGGGTAGTGTTTTAATAAAAAAAAGCAACGTTTGCTTGGCTGCTTTAAAATTTAAACTTCTTAAAGCATTTAAACAGTAATACACGTGTTAAAAAGTTGCAAAAGAGTTCACACATGTTAGAAACAAGATTCTTAAATTATAATTCAGACATTATGATTTTTACATTCTTCCAAAATCTGTCATAACCCCCTGCACAAATTAGCCAATTATGACACATTCATAAAATAAAATAATTTCTTAATATAGAGTTATATCTTCAGTGGAATTATGGCCAGCCCAATGGTATAGATGGTTTATGACACAGGATAGGCTGTTAAAAAAAAGACTAACACATTTTTTTTTATCATTTATATACATTGTACTGTAAAATATGCTGACAATTGTTCCCCAGGACCCTGTTACAGAAAGTGTCATCCAGTACACAGGAGATCATCCTTGAGCTACAGATATCAAAGATTGGTGTGGCCTTCACCTTCAGAAGCAATGCGGGTGTCTCCACTGTAACTTTACTGGAAAGTTTACCTCAGAGAACATGGATACACCTGGCTATACAGGTATGTATACACTAAACCCTACTCCAAATAATATTTAAACCTTACACCAGACAACAGAAACATACCTGTTATACATGTTCTATAAACCCTACTTCAGGGGACATCAATTTACCTGTCCATAAAGGTTTACTATAAACCCTACTATTGGGCACATCAATATACCTGTCTATAAAGGTATACTATAAACCTTACTCCAGGGGACATCAATATACCTGTCTATAAAGGTATACTATAAACCTTACTCCAGGGGACATCAATATACCTGTCTATAAAGGTATACTATAAACCTTACTCCAGGGGACATCAATATACCTGTCTATAAAGGTATACTATAAACCTTACTCCAGGGGACATCAATATACCTGTCTATAAAGGTATACTATAAACCTTACTCCAGGGGACATCAATATACCTGTCTATAAAGGTATACTATAAACCTTACTACTGGGGACATCAATATACCTGTCTATAAAGGTATACTCCAGGGGACATCAATATACCTGTCTATAAAGGTATACTATAAACCCTACTCCAGTGGACATCAGTATACTTTTCTATAAAGGTATACTATAAACCTTACTCCGGGGACATCAATATACCTGTCTATTAAGGTATACTCCAGGGGACATCAATATACCTGTCTATAAAGGAATCCTATAATCCCTACTACGGGGGACATCAATATACCTGTCTAAAAAGGAATATTATAATCCCTACTCCAGGGGACAACAATATACCTGTCTATAAAGGAATCCTATGATCCCTACTACTGGGGACATCAATATACCTGTCTAAAAAGGAATATTATAATCCCTACTCCAGGGGACAACAATATACCTGTCTATAAAGGTATACTATAAAACTTACTCCGGGAACATCAATATACCTGTATATAAAGGGATACTATAAACCTTACTCCGGGGACATCAATATACCTTTATATAAAGGTATACTATAAACCTTACTCCTGGGACATCAATATACCTGTCTATTAAGGTATCCCCCAGGGGCCATCAATATACCTGTCTATAAAGGAATCCTATAATCCCTACTACGGGGGACATCAATATACCTGTCTAAAAAGGAATATTATAATCCCTACTCCAGGGGACAACAATATACCTGTCTATAAAGGAATACTACAATCCCTACTACTGGGGACATCAATATACCTGTCTATAAAGGAATATTATAATCCCTACTCCAGGGGACAACAATATACCTGTCTATAAAGGTATACTATAAACCTTACTCCAGGGGACATCAATATACCTGTCTATAAAGGTATACTATAAAGCCTAATCAGCTACAGGGTAATGGATTGAACTATTTCCAAGAAATGGTTTTTTTATTGTGATGTATGAATTATATATAGAGAAGGATAAGATTAATTACAAACTGGTTTTTATTACAAATTCTTAGTGTTTTGTTCTGTGGATGTTTCCTAATACTGTATCGCATCTAATAATGAGACCGTGATCCAAAATAACAAATCAACAATTTGGTTGGATGTCACAAAGAGATGATGCTGACACCATTGTTACCTTATATATATACATAGTACACACTTGCACGCTGACACAACACACATGGAGGCATGTCCTTAAATGACCCGAGATGTAAATAAAACGTTAAACAAAATAAAACCAAACCAAACCAATCCTTACATCCATCAAACATGGTAGTGTATACTTTCGTCTATTTACCAAGGAAATTTGACTTTTATCAACATAAAGAGGCCCATTTGTGATCACCATTTAGGTTTTCAGTATTAAGGTCATTTGAGTGTATTGATAAACGGAAACAGGAAGTACATCCCTAGGTAAAAAATCCAATGTAGGGAGACAGTATCACAATTTCTGCAAAATCTAATGTTTAATATTTAACTGATGAATATTGTATGTTTATTATTGACAGAACAGTGTGTTCTCTCAATATTAAAGTATTTCAAAGCAATCCAGGCATTAATTGAGGTGTTTTTTTTATCAATGATTCACATGTGTCCATTTTTCTGTACTTCAGGAACCCTGCTGCCTATTTCACTACTGTGAAGTTTTTCAAGAACGATAACTCTTACGAGCAATTACTATGTGTCTATGGTTTTATTATAAAATGTCAATTTTTATATCGTGTTTAGAGAATTAATTTAACACAATTTCAGCATTTATTAAATTGATATACATTAATGCAATACTAATATATGTCAGTATCATTTTTATTGACATTTTTTGTAAAAATATGGTGTCTTTCAATTTTTCTTCAAAATTCACTCCTTTTTATATAAATTTACATTTAAAATCCTTAAAATCCTGACAACCTATATTTTTTTTGTGGCAGAAAATTTTCTTTATTTTAAAGCAATATAACTACAAAATTTGAAGAAATTCTACTGAGAAATGGTGACACAATCCTATTACCTTAAGAAGGATAGAAAATATTAGAATTTTTGTGAGACAGTTGAACAAAGACGTTATAGAAATTTAGTGGCATTGTTTGTAATTGAGAGATTTTTCTGTGATTACAGGTGTATTTAACAACACTGAGTTTTTACCTGAACGGTCCAGGCCCTGGCTACACTACAGCAAGGACTCTGGACCTGGGCAGTCCTATACTGGACGGTCAAGGTGAAGCTAGAATTGGTCAGACTTTGTCAGGTAAACACCTTAACTTCTCTTTTAACATCAACAGCTGTCTTATTCTCTATTTGTCAAATGTAGAATTTATTTTGTGATGTTTTATAAGCAAATCTTATAAAAGGCACAAAATATATAAGATTTATATATTTTCAGGAACAAACCAGTTTTTAGGAAGGATTCAGGACTTTGTGTTCTTTGATGTTACACTGACAAACAGGTATATATCTTTATTTCCCAGTATAAAAACACAATTCATGTTTTGGGGGGGGGGGGGGGGGGGGGGGGGCAAGTGCAAGCAGTATATTAAACCATACAGTTCCATACACCTTTTTAGAAAATAATGATCTCTTTTTGTTTAAACCAAATGACAAACAATTCAAAATGCCTTTACCATATTTACAATGACCTTGACTTCACAAAGTGCTTATGCTAGAGTGAAACATACTTCAAGCTGTTGCAGTAAATTTGTTGAATTTAAAAAAAAGCAAGATGTAGAAAATTCTTTTGAATTGAAAATTTAATAATAAAAGGACTGAAAAATTGAGTCTTCCTCAAAAAGGGGAAACTTGGCATGTATGTGGACTTACCATGCTTGTGACCATCTAAGCATGTAAATTCTTTGCTCCCAGGGAAATCTCCCAGTTGTACACAGGGACCTTGCCTGAGACTCGCGCCCAGAGCGAATGTCTCTGTCCACCGTCTCATCCTCGCATTAAACCAAACCAGGAACACTACTGTATTCCCAACGGTGTCCCCGACAACCAGGGCGACACTGAACTACGCCTGAACAACCAGTCACACAACCTCCAGTACATCAATGACGGTGACACTCGCTCTATCTGGATCTCAAAGTTTCAGGACACAGCGAACATCACTGTGGATCTTGGAGATAAATTCCAGGTATAGATTTCCTCTTATTCTAATGAATTTACCTTCAAATCCTCCTATTTCACTTGTAGAAATATCCAGTTAGATTTTACCTTTATATTCATGTATCTGCAAGCATTCAACAAACAATGCTTAACCAGTAGTCCGTACCGGAGAATTTGTAAAAGACGTGTGCTTCTTGCCAAACAACAGGTACTTTCTGGTTATTTCAAACTGAATTTTAAGTGATTGCCTGTTAAAGCTTGTGGAAATAATAAATATATGTAAATGTATGACTTGCTTGCAGGAATCGTACATGTATGTGCAGAGAGAGAATGCATGTGTGTGTAGTACTATAAAACAAGCTTTGATATATTTTACCAGATAACCATTTTATATCTAAAGAAACATTTTTGACACACTTGGAATTACTACTGCAAGTTAGTAAGTTTTAATGGAACAATTACTAATGCATGTGATGGCACCAGTCATATATTATATATTTTTCTGTGTTTCTAAGACACCTATACCTTTCTTAAAGGTGTTCTACATTGAGCTGCTGTTCTACAGCCCCATGCCCAAGGCTGTGTCAATAGAACGCCAGAAAAACCTGACATCTTCCTGGGAAATGTGGCAGATGTATGCCGAGAACTGTTTTGATTACTTTAAACAGCCTGACAACGGACCTTTAACTTCATCAACATCTGTCAACTGCATCAAGTTTGGCACGTGAGTTTGTGATGGTGATCTGCTTTGGAGATATACATTTACTGTCAAGGCTAATTATTCTCCTGGGAATACTATGAATGCACATTAAGAAGTCAGTTTTGCAGCGGTTTTGATTTTTAAAATGTCATATAAATTACATGGGTGTGATAATATGAGGTGACGTGATCCAGGACTCTCTGCAGAATCGGGGTTTGGTCTTCTTATTGGAGACATTGAAGATACCAAAATAAATCTACTGTCTCCATTCCAACACTGGAAACCTTAACTTTTGGTTTTAGATGGATTTTCTTTTCAGCATTATCTTAACAGAGACCTTTGATTTGTATGTAGATAGAATAATGTAGCCTAGTGATGTGTTATGTACAGTGTATATCGCCATGTTATAACGTTTCGGTGTGGCAGCACTAAAGAAAGTGGACCCACCATCCAGTAAAATCAAAAATCAACATTGTTAGTTCAGTCCTCCCTCTCAATCTGTTTGTATATTTACACGCAAATTATACTCATATCAGGGGATGGAGAAGGTGCATGATTGGTCGCTTTGTTGGAAAACAATTGTTAATTTTATGTCTATTTGTGTTCCTTATATCATATTTTGTAGGAGAGTAGAGGATGTGCCATATTCTAAGGGTAATATTACAATGAGTCTGCTGGCTTCTGAGCCTGTGGCACGGCCTGGCTACACCGACTTCTACAACACACCCGAGCTGCAGGACTTTGTGGAGGCGTCGCGCATACATATCCAGTTTATAGATCACTACTATGTCAATACCCTGAGACACGAGTATTACGGAGTGTACGAGTTCAGTGTCACAGCAAGGTAACTTCTACATCACATAACTCAGACAAATATTACATGATGATTAAGTGTAGCCTCACAGCAAGGTAACTTCTACATCACATAACTCAGACAAATATTACATGGTGTATCAGTGTAGCCTCACAGCAAGGTAACTTCTAAATCACATAACTCAGACAAATATTACATGGTGTATCAGTGTAGCCTCACAGCAAGGTAACTTCTACATCACATAACTCAGACAAATATTACATGGTGTATCAGTGTAGCCTCACAGCAAGGTAACTTCTACATCACATAACTCAGACAAATATTACATGGTGTATCAGTGTAGCCTCACAGCAAGGTAACTTCTACATCACATAACTCAGACAAATATTACATGGTGTATCAGTGTAGCCTCACAGCAAGGTAACTTCTACATCACATAACTCAGACAAATATTACATGGTGTATCAGTGTAGCCTCACAGCAAGGTAACTTCTACATCACATAACTCAGACAAATATTACATGGTGTATAAGTGTAGCCTCACAGCAAGGTAACTTCTACATCACATAACTCAGACAAATATTACATGGTGTATAAGTGTAGCCTCACAGCAAGGTAACTTCTACATCACATAACTCAGACAAATATTACATGGTGTATCAGTGTAGCCTCACAGCAAGGTAACTTCTACATCACATAACTCAGACAAATATTACATGGTGTATCAGTGTAGCCTCACAGCAAGGTAACTTCTACATCACATAACTCAGACAAATATTACATGGTGTTTAAGTGTAGTGTCACAGCAAGATATAACCACTATGTCAACACACTAACACGAGAGTGTGGTACATGTTTTATTTTTGATTGAAACTACCCTATTGCATTATTTTTAGATATTGTTGGGTAGTTCAGTGAAAATGGATGCCTCAGTTAATATGATCACTTTCCAGTATATCAACACCACTAAGACACTTAAGTACCATAGACTGTACAAGGTCATTGTTATAAAAGGATATGAAGGCTTATTTCTCATCTAATCTATAATACAATTACAAATCTGTAAATGACTTAATATACACAAAGGATAAACAAGTATCTTAAACTTAACACAATTTCGCCCTCAAAGTTAAGATTACAACATTCAAAATCAGTCGTTTATGACATTGTATTCACATTTTCACATTGACTGGAAGACAGGATTTGATATTGATTTGTATGGTAACACAGTGTGTTTTTTTTTGTTTTTTTAATATTACCTGATAAATATACCTCACTAACATCTGTCTCTTATCATTGTAGATGTGTGTGCAATGGGCATGCATTTGACTGTGACACTTCTGTTCTTCCATACAAGTGTAACTGTACTGCGGATAGTCACACCATTGGAGATAAGGTAAGTACACCTGTGTAGGAATGTTTGACACCTCTGTCCTTCCATACTGTACAGCAGATAGTCACACCATTGGAGATAAGGTAAGTCACCGGGGTAGGAATATTTGAAACTTCTGTCCTTCCATACTGTACAGCAGATATTCACACCAATGGAGATAAGGTAAGTACACCTGGGTAGGAATGTTTGACACTTCTGTCCTTCCATACTGTACAGCAGATATTCACACCAATGGAGATAACGTAAGTACACCTGGGTAGGAATGTTTGACACTTCTGTCCTTCCATACTGTACAGTAGATAGTCACACCATTGGAGATAAGGTAAGTCACCTGTGTAGGAATGTTTGACACTTCTGTCCTACCATACTGTACAGCTGATAGTCACACCATTGGAGATAAGGTTAGTACACCTGGGTAGGAATGTTTGACACTTCTGTCCTTCAATACTGTACAGCTGATAGTCACACCATTGGAGATAAGGTTAGTACACCTGTGTAGGAATGTTTGACACCTCTGTCCTTCCATACTGTACAGCAGATATTCACACCATTGGAGATAAGGTTAGTACACCTGTGTAGGAATGTTTGACACCTCTGTCCTACCATACTGTACAGCAGACAGTCACACCATTGGAGATAAGGTAAGTCACCTGGGTAGGAATGTTTGACACTTCTGTCCTTCAATACTGTACAGCAGATAGTCACACCATTGGAGATAAGGTAAGTCACCTGGATAGGAATGTTTGACACTTCTGTCCTTCCATACTGTACAGCTGATAGTCACACCATTGGAGATAGGTAAGTACACCTGTGTAGGAATGTTTGACACCTCTGTCCTTCCATACTGTAGAGCAGATAGTCACACCATTGGATATGAGTAAAATGTAAGTAGCAAGGTAAACGATTGAGCATCAACACAAAAGATTCTATAAGTGTAGGTTTTGTTATTTTACATATTTCCAATGGCCAATTGCAAGCTTACCATCATACAGTTGAGTTCCAGAGAAATCCAGTGCAAAGTTAATTTAGCAAAGTTTTTGAATAACTTTTATATTTACTCAGTATCACATTGATCAGTGACTATATTATTAATATATTAACATTATTTCATAACTTAAGATATCTTATGGTTAGGAACGTGTATGACCTTGATAAACTTTGACCTTTCAGTGTGACCAGTGTGACCCTTTGTACAACAGTAAACCATTCAGGAAGGGTGACCAGATCAATGCCTACAACTGCAAGGCTTGTCAATGTTACGGTCACGCCTCTAGCTGTGTGTATGACAAGGACCTTGACCTTTTCCCAGCCGACCATGACCTTGGTGGGGGTGGGTTGTGTGTCAACTGTCAGCACAACACTGCGGGGCGGTTCTGTGATACCTGTGTGACTCTCTACTACAGACCTGTGGGCAAGAGCAAGTTTGACGAGGATGTGTGTACTATGTGTCTCTGTGACAAAACAGGCATCCTTGGCTTCAACACAGACTGTGAAAAGGTAGGCTACACCTGTAGATATAGCACTGGTAATAGTACATAAATAGGACGTTTAATGAAAGGCATTAAGCAGTCAATATTAGCAACCTCAGGCAAACAATATATGTCCCCAAAGGTAAAGCTAAGGAGACTGCAAGTACTTTTCTTCTCGTGAATGTAAAATTAGGAAATACCAAATATTAAACTTCTGTTCCAGCATCTTCAGTTTGTTGTTTTGTAAACTGTTGCCCCTTGCTTTTCTTCTTAATTCTAGATCAATAAGATGAAACGTTGAAGTGTAGTACATGTTATATCTCATCAGCATGCGTACATGTTTCACTTATGCAACATTTTACACTGTCTGATGGTAATATATATCAGCCTCATTCTATTTGTCTTTGCATTTCTAGGAAGTGGCATTTGCCAAACAAATATAAAGGAGAAATTGACTTTAGGTTGAAATACATGTATTTTCAAATCTGTTTTACAAAAATGCATACATTTGTTTCTAAAGATTTGTCTATGGTATTGAAAAAAATATAAAACATTGATTATCATAATTTTTTTGTTCATGTTCAGGAGGGGGGCCAGTGTCGTTGTAAGAGCAATGTTGGTGGACGTCGCTGTGATGAATGTAAGCCAGGATTCTACAATCTCAACTCCTCCAACCCATTTGGCTGTGCATCCTGTGGTTGTGATGTCCAGGGGACAGTTGCGGCAAACCAGTCCTGTCACGCAATCACAGGCGACTGCTTCTGTAAACCAAACGTCAGGAGTAAGTGTTCATTATGACAAGAGCTATAGTTTTTCGCATGTACGGCTCAGTATCATACTGTATCTGGTCAAGGTCCTGTTTTTATGCCCCTGCCATAAAAGTGTGGGGGGGGGGGCATATAGTGTTTGCCATGTCCCGTCCCTTCCTTTCATGTTGCTTCCCATCACGTCCCATCCATGAGCGGGGGCATTTATGTCTTACAGACATTTTCTAGTTTTAACTAACTTTTGTTTCAAGGGGGAAAAAAAATAAGCTATAAGCTGTAATATAAAGATCGTTTTTGATCTTCAGCTAGAATTTATACTGTTTAATGGATAATTTTAGTGGTGGTTCAATTTTCACATTTAAGTTTATATTGTTACACCTCTTGTTGACATTTAGTGATACTATTTTCTATATTATGTTGTACTCTCGTGAGAGACCCATATTTCATTGTTGTATGAAGTCTTTTCTTTGATACAGATGCTAAATGTGATGCGTGTCAGTACGGGTTCTACAACCTTACTTACGACAACCCGCTGGGTTGTACCTCTTGTCAGTGTAATCCACAAGGATCCACCTCCAGTTTCTGTAACTCCCAGACTGGTATGTGCAGCTGTAAGGATAACATAGTAGGTCGTCAATGTGATCAGTGTGCTCCAGGCTTTCATGATTTTGCCCAGGGTTGTCTCCCCTGTCAGTGTAATGTCCAGGGTACGGTAGAGGACACGTATTGTGACGTTGTGACTGGCCAGTGTGTTTGTAAGATCAACACCCAGGGACAGCGGTGTAGCGAATGTCGGGATGGTAGTTTTGGGTTTGGAGCATCATCTGTGAAAGGCTGCTATGACTGTACTTGTAACCTGGCAGGCACACTCAACAGCTCATTGACCTGTGACAAGACCACGGGCAGCTGTATGTGTAAAAACAATGTAGAGGGCACTAACTGTAATGTGTGTAAGGGCAACACTTTCGGCCTCACCATCACCAACCCAGAGGGCTGTGAGCCATGCAATTGTGATCCATCTGGAACCCAGGGAGGAAGTCCTGGTGGGGTCAGCAGTGACCTCTCATGTAACCAGAACACGGGTCAATGTACCTGTTTGGCCAATAGGATTGGGCGCCGCTGTGATGACTGTGATAAGGGTAGGCTATCAAAAACTATATACAATAACATTCAATTAGCTGTAACACTTATATACTTGATTTCTTATCTGTTCAGGCATTGTAGTAATGTAACAATTATAGGTTTGTGACATTACATTAGAAATTGCCAACCACAACAGCTTTAACAGTACGGAACAAGATTCATCATTTTGGTATGAATAATAAAGGCTACAAGCTTGTTTTGAACACAAACAGGAATTGAAAACTTAATTTTAAGCTTTCGAAAACGTCTGTTTCCTTTGCTTTATCAGTGTTTAAAGGAATTTCAAATTACTTTTGATGCAGAAATAATGCATTTGGAAGTCTCATTAATAATTTAAGTAAAGTTATGTATATGCTTTTTATCCGTTACAGATACATCTTGTGAGGCACGGTAGTCTAGTGGTAGGACGCCGGGCTCGTGACCGAAGGGTTGCGGGTTCAAGTCATGGCACAGCACTGTGTTGTATCTTTGAGCAAGATACTTTACTCCGCTTGTTCCAGTCTTCTCAGCTGTAAATGAGTACGTGGTTAGGCAGCGCTAGAACTGTTGAATGCTAACTGTGAGCGCCGAAATTGCAACACTGCTGTATGCTCAAAAGGGAGCTGAGAAAATATTGCAAAGGCCCTATAACTACGGATAATAATTTGTTAACCACTTTGGGAAACCTACGAACTAGGTTGTGATAAAGCAGTATAAAAGAACCTCAAATTATTATTATTACTATTATTACAGGATATTACTACAACCCTGACCCGGGCGTTGGGTGTAACAGCTGTGGTTGTAATATAGCAGCCACAATCCCACAGACCTTCTGCGATTCACAAACTGGGCAATGTCAGTGCAAGGGGGATAACTCAGGGGTTATTGGCAGAACCTGCTCTGAATGTATGGAAGAATTCTACCAGTTTAACTCTTTAACAGGAACGTAAGTAATACCATGAACCAATTGAATTTTATATAAAACCCTATATTTAAAGGCTTTGCTCAAGAATTTGATTCTATATATCATTTGCAAACGTTTCGTGTTCTTCTGCAATGAGATTGGGATCATTTTATCAATATGCTGTGGTGATATGTTGTATGTGTGTGTGTATAAGAATGTTTTGATCAGATTGTTGATGTTGGTAGGTGCTCCAACTGTGATTGTTCCCCTGCTGGGACTGTGAATAAGACTCAAACCTGTGACCCTGTGTCAGGCAACTGTATGTGTAAGATATTCGTCACAGAACGGAGGTGTGATACCTGTACCGCTGATGCTAGTTTCCTGGATAGGGCAAATCCCTATGGCTGTAGTAAAGGTAAGAATTCTTACCCGAGATCCTTTGGGTCACTCTCAAAAATGATAAAACTATACCACTGTGTCAAACACATACATGTTGAATGACTCTGTCTGATAGTTTATGTTACTAGTACATGCTAAATTATAATGTTACTTATACACGCTACACTACAGTCAAAGCTGCTGATGCGGACCCCTCTATTAAACAACCACACCTGAGTTAAAAGACCACTATTTTGCCTTTCAAGGGTTAAATATTTCTTAACATAGGTTTCGATCTCACGTGCTAAACTATATAATTTACAGATGCTAAGTTATGTCAATCATACAGGCTAAATTGTACGTAAGTCTCAGATGCTAAGCTATTCACATGCTAAATTATCCTACCATTATCTAAACTTTTTCACTTATTTATGCTAAACTGTTACTCAAGCTAAGCAACAATTGTATGTCACTTGTACCTGAAAAATGATGTCACGTGTACATGCTAAACTATGCCACTGACATGCTTAACAACTTATATTGTCTCTCACATTCTAAACACTTCAGTGTCACATGCTAAAACAACATTCACATTTGCTGAACTATGGTATTCTTATACAGAATTATTTCACTTACATTTCAAACTATTCTGCTTATGCTAAATAATGTCCCTTTCATATACTGTACTAGAATATGTCGCTCACAGAATTATGCTAAAGTATGATACAACCATTTACTAAGAAGTGCAAAATCAGACACCGACTCTGTATTGACATAAAATGACATATTCTGTTCACATGCTAAATAATGCTATTAAAACATGTTCCACTCACATAGCCAATTTGTTTGCAGAAAAAGTAAAACTGACTTCAGATTAACAATTGTCGGATTTCTATTTATTTTGTCTGGTACAGAACCCACCCAGCAGCCACCACCGTCACATGACCAGATCAACTCCACCACCCTGAAGCTGATGTGGCAACAGCCGGACTATCCCAATGGCATCATCATACAGTACAAACTCTACAGAAACGGCACACTGGTGTTTACTGGGGGAGCAAATGGTCAGAATTCTAATATATACATGCATATGTATCATGTTTACTTTTTACAAAACTATACTGCTGTAACTATTAGTCATTATGATAGCGCTAAACATCTGCCCGGTTTGTTGGACTTTTGCAACCTTCTTTGGTGCATCTTGTTATATTTTTTCCCCATTAACGAGAGATGAATGTATGTTACACTGTCATAACATTCTCCACATAACATTCTCCAAGTTATGGCAATAGATCCACAAAACAGGCCTATAATATCAACTGCACTTCATAATAAACCAGTATATGGTCTTTCCTCTTACTCAACCAAATGTTAAACTTTGGTTGAACATGGCAAATATATACCATTTTCAAGATTTGCATGGGCAAGCTAATATCTGATCTCTGAAGAAAGAAAAAGATATTTCCACTGAGATCAATTGTTGAAATATATCTGTAATATGATTCTGCTTTTATGAAATGTTCAATTTTAGGGAACATAAAATTAGAGCTATCTGTATCTAACATGAACATTTTCTGTCTGATTTTTAGCAACTGAATACATGGACGTAAAGTTGGCAGCGTATGTGCGCTACACTTATGTGGTGGAAGCAACAAATGACTTTGGCAGTGTCCTCAGCTCACCGGTAACATTCCGCACCCTACCTGGTAGTCCAACAGGTATGGTCATTGTTTACATCACCAATGTCCATTCCAGGAGTGCCTCTTTCTCCTGGAACCAACCTGTGAACATGAATGGCCCCCTGGTCAACTACAGTGTGACAGCATCCAGTCCTAGCCGGCCAACACGAGCTGTCCATTGGACCGGTCTAAGTCGCCAGGCCAACGTCACAGATTTTGTACCATTTACAAATTACACCATCATTGTGGAAACATGTACACCCGGGGGATGTCTGGACAGCTGGCCTGCTATGTTTTTAACCAAGTCTGATATGCCTTCCGGGATGATGGATCCTATCATCACAACCCTCAGTGAAACAGAGCTTCTCATCAGCTGGCAACCACCCACAGAGGCTAATGGTAAGGCTTCGCATCCATCTCAGAGTCTGAAGTAGGGCTTCAAGTCACCTCAGAGGCTATAGTCAGACTTAAAGTCAACTCAGAGGCTATAGTCAGACTTAAAGTCACCTCAGAGGCTATAGTCAGGCTTCAAGTGACATCAGAGTCTGTAGTAAGACTTCAAGTCACCTCAGAGTCTAAATTAAGGCTTCAAGTGACATCAGAGTATGTAGTATGGCTTCAAGTGACATCAGAGTATGTAGTATGGCTTCATGTTACCCAAACGTAGAGGCTAACAGTAAGGCTTCAATTCACAAAAAAAGTCTAAAGTAAGGCTTCAAGTCACCTCAGAGTCTATAGTAAGGCTTTAATTCACCTCAGAGTCTAAATTAAGGCTTCAAGTGACATCAGAGTCTGTAGTAAGGCTTAAGTGACATCAGAGTCTATAGTAAGGCTTCAATTCACCTCAGAGTCTAAATTAAGGCTTCAAGTAACATCAGAGTCTGTAGTAAGGCTTAAGTGACATCATAGTCTATAGTAAGGCTTCAAGTCACCTCGGAGTCTATTGTAAGGCTTCAAGTCACCTCAGAGTCTGTAGTAAGGCTTAAGTGACATCATAGTCTATAGTAAGGCTTCAAGTCACCTCAGAGTCTGTAGTAAGGCTTAAGTGACATCATAGTCTATAGTAAGGCTTCAAGTCACCTCGGAGTCTATTGTAAGGCTTCAAGTCACCTCAGAGTCTGTAGTAAGGCTTCAAGTCACCTCAGAGTCTATAGTAAGGCTTTAATTCACCTCAGAGTCTAAATTAAGGATTCAAGTGACATCAGAGTCTGTAGTAAGACTTAAGTGACATCAGAGTCTATAGTAAGGCTTCAAGTCACCTCAGAGTCTATGGTAAGGCTTCAAGTCACCTCAGTCTAAATTAAGGCTTCAAGTGACATCAGAGTCTGTAGTAAGGCTTAAGTGACATCAGAGGCTATAGTAAGGCTTCAAGTCACCTCAGAGTCTATTGTAAGGCTTCAAGTCACCTCAGAGTCTATTGTAAGGCTTCAAGTCACCTCAGAGACTATTGTAAGGCTTCAAGTCACCTCAGAGTCTATAGTAAGGCGTCAATTCACCTCAGAGTCTAAATTAAGGCTTCAAGTAACATCAGAGTCTGTAGTAAGGCTTAAGGGACATCAGAGTCTATAGTAAGGCTTCAATTCACCTCAGTGTCTAAATTAAGGCTTAAGTGACATCAGAGTCTATAGTAAGGCTTCAAGTCACCTCTGAGTCTGTAGTAAGGCTTCAAGTCACCTCAGAGTATGTAGTAAGGCTTCATGTCACCCAATCATAGTGTATTCCACTTATCACCAATCCATGGTTATGATGGTAAATGCTTTATACTACCTCAGAGCCTTCAGTAAGACTTTATGTTACTTTACTTTAGAGGCTCTAATGAAAGGCTTGTAAAAGCATATCAGAGTTGACTTCAAGTCACCCACTCACAGAACTATAATAGTAGGACTTGTCAGCCACTTGATATTAAAAGGAAGGATTCAAGTCAACCATTCACAAAGAGTGGTACATTTTGTAAGGCTTCAAATCACCATCAGGCTAACAGTAAGACTTTAAATCAGCTATGAGGCTTTAAGTCACCTACCCAGTATAGCTAATGGAGAGGCTTCAAATCATTTCAGAGGCCAATAGAAAATACTTCAAATCATCCATACACAATAGCTAATGGAAAAAATCAAGTCAGTCATAGTTTAAAGGTCAGCCCAAGGCTTCAAATCACGGTATTAACTAACTAATAGGCTTCAAACTATCCAAAAAGGCTAACATTTAGGTTTCAAGTTACAAAAATTAAAGGTAAAACAATAAATTATCCAAATAAGCTGATGATGAGATTTCAAATCAGATGGCTGTCTGTATATTCTATAGCAGCTAGAAAAACTGGACTACACACTAATAGATGTTTTACAGAACCGTAGCTCTCAACTGAGTCTCTCAAAGTTATATTGGTAAAGCTGTTAAAACAAATGATTCAATGAATATAAACTGTTCAAACCTGATTTACATTACAGGTGTGATAATATTCTATGAGTTATGGATTCGAGGCTACTCTATTAACGGGACACGTAACCCTCTAGAGACGAGGATTTTCCATCCTAGTGGACAATTTAACCCACGCCCTACTCTCTCCCCACAAGAAAATGTCCTACCTCCCCCGGATACATCATTTAAGGTGACTGGACTCAACCCGTTTTCCCTGTACGAATTCCAGGTAAGTTTAATACAAGTTCAGCAAGTGTTAATGTTAACAAGCTGCCTAAAATGAACCCAGGTGTCTAAAGTGAACCAAAGTGTCTATAGTGAACCCAGGTGTCTATAGTGAACCAAAGTGTCTAAAGTGAACCCAGGTGGCTAAAGTGAACCAAAGTGTCTAAAGTGAATTCTGGTGTCTATAGTGAACCAAAGTGTCTAAAGTGAACCCAGGTGTCTATAGTGAACCAAAGTGTCTAAAGTGAACCCAGGTGTCTATAGTGAACCAAAGTGTCTAAAGTGAACCCAGGTGTTTAAAGTGAACCAAAGTGTCTAAAGTGAACCAAGGTGTCTAAAGTGAACCAAAGTGTCTAAAGTGAACCAAGGTGTCTAAAGTGAACCCAGGTGTCTATAGTGAACCCAGGATATTTCAGGCATAGATATAACATATGTAGCCTTCATTTCTTCATAAATATACCACTGCATACAGTTTATGATTGAAAATTCATGAAAAAAAGAATGAATATACATTGCCTGTATGACCTATTTTTACCTGTCCAGGTGCTTGCTGAGAACAGTGTGGGTAAGGCCGCAAGTGCCTGGGTGATGGCCAGAACAGGAGAGGCCCCACCCCTGTTTACTCCCGCCCCTACCGTAACCCCGGTCAGCAGTACAGAGTTACAGGTGAAATGGACGGCCCCCACTATGGAGGAATCACGTGGCACAATACGGTCATACCTGCTATATTACCTGAAGAAAAGCAATCTCACTGCTCATCCCTTTGCTCCCCCTTTTATCTGGACAGTAAGTTATGATATATATGTTCATCATATGCCATCTTAGCATTGTCATCAGGCCTTTACAGTGTTCAGTAATCTGCTTACAAAAATTAAGACAAAATATTTCAATCTGTCAATCATAGTTTTTGGCAGTTATACTTTAAAAATTGGACTGAGATGTATCATTAAACTAGCATACTTATGTGGTTCAGAAATATCACCTTCAAATAAGAATGTTTTATTTTTGCACAATCATGTTGGAAAATAATTTTTTTTAAAGCTAAACTTATATGTAATCTTGAAGTAATTAAGCTTAATGTATAACATGTGATTGCTCTTTGTCCACCTTAATTTGTCTAAATTAAGTACAGTGTTATAGGTAAATGTGTTATAGGTAAATGGGAATGGGCTATGTTCTAGATGAAATACATTTGTAACCCAGGTAACTAGTAATATGACATAATGACTTTTGAATTGCAATATGTCACATTTATCAAGTTGTCATTTCTCTGTTTCTATAAAAATGAAAAAATATATATGTTCAGTTGCTTAGTAACACGAGTGGAGATACGATGACCCATGTGGTGGACCAACTGAAAGCCTACACTAACTATACATTCATGGTCGGTGCCTGTAACAGCATGGGCTGCATCAACAGCACTGAGGGATATGGCTTCACGCTCCAGGATGGTAAGGCAGGGTGTTATATGATGGATGTATTTTTATAAAGACACTAAACTCTGTAATGGATACATCATGTGGTACAGTCTATTTTGTATGCAGGTTACTACTTCTATTGCCAATGTACAGCAAAGTTAATAGGGGTGGAGGATTAGTGTTACTCAAGTCTTCTTCATTCCATCCCATCCCTTTCATTATGTCCAATTACCCAATTCAATGTCATCACTCTAGAGACTTTGTTTAGATTCAAATGAGTGCCAAAGGAGCTTATGTCTTGTTACAGCATCCATTTTCTGTGTCTTCTGGAAAAAATCCTGCTTGTCCAAAATGGCTGAAGGAGTTAAATTGACTGGCATAAATCATACCTAAGACAAGGGAATTGAGTGTTGCATAGGTATCACTATTCATATGGATTAACATTGCAAACTTCTAGGTAGACAGGCATGCTGTGTGGTACTATGTGTATGATTCTTGTTTTGCCAGCTCCTAGAGTGATGGGTAAGCCTGCCGTAGCCAGCCTCAACTCCACTGTCATACAGGTGGCGTGGGCCCCACCCCTTTACCCAAATGGACCAGAGCCGCAGTACTCTGTACAGAAGACCACACCTGCCCTCAGCTTCCCCCCACAGGTGGTGGCAGGTACCAGATTTCCCGGGGGAGGATACTATAAGTTCCCAGCAGAAACCATACCCTCCAACGTAGGGTTTACAGGTAGGTTTTGTTAACCTTATAATGCTGTTTGTGATTAATGTCCATTACAACATCAGCATCCTAAGATTTCATTTTGTTTTGAAGCATTTTGTCAACAAAAAAGTAAAATAAAGGTGTAGTTATTTTATCTTTTTCATCAACTTAGGTGAGTTTACTGAAATCAGCTTGCAGTGATGGTTGTTATAAATTCATGATGTAGTTATTGCCGTTCCTTTGATTTTGTTTTGTGTCAACCATTATTGGCAGAGATTTTACCATTTTTTGTACTCCATCATTTTAAATATATATCAGGAAAACCTAAATAAACTAATCAACAGCTTTCATTTAAACTTTGTGAAATTCAACATCACCTGAACAGCTAAACCTGAATAATAGGTGTTTTTTTTAATGTCCATTATGTATTCATCTTTGTTAAAATTCTAAGATAGAAAACTCATCTATCTATTGGAAATGTAATGTTCTTCATTTAGTTTAAAATTAAATAATCATCTTTTAGATTTTGTAATGAGAAAATATTTGTTTTTAACATCAGGTATCCAGCTGTGGTTCCGTACTAGACAGCGAGATGGGCTGCTGTTGTATGCAGCTTCGGCTGGCAAACAGGAGGAGTTCTTGGCTCTACAGTTCCGCGCAGGGAGGCCATGGTTCTTGTTTGATCCTCAAGGTGAGTCCCAATACATAAAAATATGCCAGAACTAGTCTTCCCAGTATAATAGATGTAGGCATAGTCCGTCATTTAATTGCAGTCGTTTTTAAGATTGTAAAGTTCTTTTGTCTTTAAGTTGTATTTATTTTGAGCTTTATTGTTAGTTTTGAAGCCAATAAATGAAGCAAGTTGTTGAATATCACACTGAATGTGTCTACCTAGAAGAAAAGGGAGCTAACAAATATAAAGGTTGTCAAATATTATGAACTATGAATTACTGCCAAAATATTGCAAACTTTTAGTATTTATTCAGAATCATCTTCATTTTTTTTTTATACTTTGAAGCAATTAATACATTTTGACCATGTTGTTTCTGTATGTTGTGTGATATTTACAGTACTTTACATAGTTGATTTGCTGTTGGACATGTACATGTAGTTTCTTTTTGATACTTGAAGCACTTACATATTGGTGTATGTCTGGATTTGTGTAGTTTATGGAAATGTAGTTTCTGTATGATGTATGAAGAACTTACAGATAACAATTGGGGTGTTTCTGGCCAGGTTGTGTATCATACGTAGAAATAGATCCCCAATCTGATAGTGACCGTACCTATGACGACAACACCTGGCATTTCCTGGAAGCTGTGCGAGATGATGAATATGCTGTTATCACCATTGATAATGAATTTAAAGGTTAGCTTGATGACATCATCATTTAGGGTGGTTTGGCTGATGATGTCATCACTTTGCGTGATGGTTTGCTGTGATATGTACTTCAACTTGAGATACTGTAATTAGCTGTTGCTAATTAACTGCTTCTGCTTGCCTGCCTGGCACTAGTAGTGTGTTGTTTTTGTGCATAATTGATTGTTGTCATCTATGCTATTGTCTTGCTGTCTAAACTCAACTGGCCCGATATGTACATTTTGTATATTTGAAACAACAAAACAAATATTTTGAAGAAGTTTCTGCATAACAATTGATGACATCTATTCCATATAATAAATATAATAAAAATCAGTGTAAGAAACAAATCAGTCGAAAGGTTTAAACAGCAACACTAGATGCATGAGAGTAATGTACGCACCAAACTGAAGCCTGCTCTGTTCCTCTTCGTCCTGCATGGCCAAAGATGACTAGCTTCGTAAGCACAGCTGGGATCAAGTTTTTTTTGGACTCGGGGATCAGATGTGTGTTATAAATGTATGGAAATATTTTTTTATAAATTATAATTTATAAAATACAGTATTTATAGATTTTTCCAAATTCTACATGATAGTAATTATTTGATAAATTTTTGGTTCAGAATGTAGGCTCCAGTTTGGTTTTTATATGAAATAATAACAACAAAATCTAGTTGTAGGAAATACAGATGTGTATTCAAATTTCTTCTCCATTTGTTTCCGATTCCAGATAACCTTGCCGAGTAGTTGGTGCTAGATCCCGAGCTTTCTTACTAAGCTAGTATGACTGATAAGCTTTAGATGGATGCAACTGGCATGACTTATCTTTTAGTAATGATTTTTCTTAAAATCCGAAATAGAAAAGAACAAAACTTGCTTTGGTGAATCAGTATGATCCATACAAAATGGCTCTATAAAATAATCTGATTAGTTCCTGGTACAGTTTGGGTTTTTTGATAGAAAGAGATTACTTCTGTGCTAGATGTTTTATTAATTTTCTGCCTGTCAGTCATGATAAAAGAGAACTGATTTCGCCTAAAAATGTATCTAGAAAATTAAAAAGTGTTTAAGTTGTATAGATACTAATTGGAAGATTGGATTTTCTTAGATGTTCCTAAAATTTCAGTCTTCTAAATGAATTATTGGCTTAAAGTTTAAAGCATTAGATGTATCATAAATGCAAAATTTGACTTTGTAAATATATTAATAACCTAAATTTAAATAATTAGATCTATTATATTTCTAAATTTTACAAGGTTAAATACTTTATTGTTAAAATTTATTAGGGACATGGGACTGTTGAGGTGTTATGGCTAAGTTTATTACATATACATTAAATGTTATATACTAATCTATTCCTTTTCCGAACTAAGTATGCATACAAATCAGAAGGTGGAGTCGTATGGAAGTGGATGGTGCTGTAAGATACTGGTCATTCAATGCAAGTTTTTCTATACGCAGGTTTCAATTTAGACTGTCTGCCAGTTAAGTCTGTAATTTATAATTACCAACGGTATACTGGTATATTACTGATTTCTCCTTGTAATCTGTCCCGATCACCAGGGTGTGCGTCGTTTGTAACGCCCACAAATGACGAAGGGCTGCCCTACAACGACTTTACATGGCGACACATTATTGCAAAGCGTATAGACAGGATGGCCAACATATCCATAGACGTGTATTGGTCAGGTTTGCAGTGATCACCTTGTTTACTTATCTGTTGTACTGTTCACACTCTGCACAGAGCACTTAACACTCTGATAATCTAGTAAGGAAACTCTTTCTATCATATATGATCTGTACTTGGCTTTTGTCATCTGAAACTGCTATACAGTTGTTATACCATCTGAAGATTTCATCTGAAAATTTAGTGACTGTATAGTTGCCAATATTTTCTGGGTATTTAATGTTTTAATGCTTGATACTTGTGCTAAAATTATTTTATAGTATCTTCAGCCACTGTAATGTGGTAAAGACTGCATTGATTCAGATTTAGTGTAGTTTAAAGAGTTTCCAGACTTCAACCTCCCGCAGACAGTTTCCTGACATTTTAACCACGCAGTTATTATGTATGGTATTTGTTATATGTTTTCAATATGTATTCTACTACTTCATTACACACTAAATATCATAGCTACAACAAAGCCTTTATGATGGCATCCATAGCATGGAGTAACTATGCAGACATGCTTTCAATAGCATTCATACCATGGAGTAACTATACAGACATGCTTTCAATAGCATCCATAGCATGGAGCAACTATACAGACATGCTTTCAATAGCATCTTTTGACAGTATTATTATTCATGTGATTACTGAACAGCTGTATCAATTTTTAGGTCACCTGGCCCGAAGGGGTTATTCCGTCTTTGCGTTTTGCAGAGTTATCTTCTCTTGGCAGCAGGTATTGATTGTTACGTCACTTGTTTGTGAGAGTAACGTCATCAATTTTTTAGAAAACGACGGAATTTTCTGACACAAACCAATGACGTAACAATCAATACCTGCTCCCAAGAGAAGATAACTCTGCAATATGCAAAGACGGAATAAGATTTGCTCAATTGAATGACCTGTTTGCCTTCAAGGTCACAGGGGTCAAATGTGTTTGACTTAGAGTCATAGATACTGATATTTGGTCTCTAGATTTATTTATTTAGTGTACTTTTAAGGCTACAAGTGTGAGATTAATACCAGGTGAGCGATGCAGGCCCATTGGGCCTCTTGTTCAAGAGAGACTGGCTATTCTGAAAGCACATTGCATGATCACTATTCCATCAATCAGGATAATAGGTGTAGACTTAAGTCTATATAAAAGTTAGTTCAGCAATATTATAAGGGTTAATATGACAGTAGACAATCAAATAAAATGCCAATACATGTACACTGTATCTCCAATAGTAGGTATGATAGTTTTAGACTGTCATATTGGAGATTTCCCTTTGGTTTAAAAAGATAAACATACCTATGATATGTTTGATATATGTATAAAATATAGATTTCCCTGCAATAGACATTACTTGGAAGGTTTACTACAGGTATGTGTAGATTATACATTTATATGACTAATATTTTTCATGATTTTTTCTCTTTATATTTTTTTGGTGGAGGATTAGGTTGCATGTACATTAATCTTTTACAGTATCCAAAATATTTTCAAGACATATCAGACAATACATTATATAAAAGAAAAAGTTTGCTTGTCATATGCACCATAACATAAAAATGTGGTAAGTAATATGTTTAGTTCCTTTGAAAAACAGCACCATTATTTTGATGGAAACCTTTAACAGATCTTAATATTTTCGTCTCTGGATTATATCGCATATCTCAAGGAATGCCAAATATACATGGAAAAGGAACAAGCTCAGTATATTATTATCATACTTATTCTCACAGATATGAACATTTTCAGCCTTTCTCTGAAATTAGTGTAATTCAAAACTTCTAATTTTTCCCATAGACAGGTTAAACAATTTAAGTTCAGGCTTTTTGCTCTTAAACCCATTTTCATCTGTGATATGATTTGCTGTACCTTACTAAGTATATCATGTAAAATAAAAAAAATTGTCACAAATTATAGATAAGTGGGGAAGAGGTGGGGGATGGGTCGAGAATAACCAGAAAAATCCCACAATATTTGCCTTTCATTATGTAGTTATCATAAGACACCATGTTTGCCATGGCATCTAAATGAGTTGTATTCGCATGTTACTTTTGTGAACATTTGTGATAGTGATAATTACACTGTATCATTTGATATACAAAATAAAATCAAGAGGAATGAATATGGTTTCTGTTCATAATTAATTTTTAACTTCATATTTATGTACCGGGTATTTAATATTTCAATTTAAAGTATTTTTTCTTACCAACAAGTTGCATAGTTTTGTCCTTACACATGCATGTCTCATTTTTGTAATAAATTATTAATCACAGATTTATAACAAGAACAACTTTACTAACTATATATTTGATTTATGTATTTGATAAGAAAGAGAAATTCTTTGTAATTCATCGTTAGCTTAAAATTAATGTAAACAATATAGGCAATTGTAAAATTGACAAGAGTTTTCAAATAAGAGAATGTTCATCAAATTCACGGAGGTAAAGATTAATTCAATGACTGATACAGTTGTATAATAGTATGTAAAATGTTGTTTTAAAGGAATCTACCCAGCATTTTGCTATCATGATACTGTACAGTTGCACATGTAACCCATTCCAACTCTGTCTTGTCGACTAAGTCATCAATTGTTACGCAGGGCGCAGAGAAAACCGGTGTGCCAGTGGAACCATCATCGGACCAAGCTCCGGATTATACGTTGGCGGTCTACCCACGGACTACGTTATACGGAGACAGGATGATGACACTCGTGTACAGGTACTACATGATCAATAAAATAAAGATGGAATCTCATAATAACTGATTGCAAAACATTTAGATATGCATGTTTTGAACCGTGTATTGGAGGATTAAAGTTTTCCAAATCTGTAATAATGAACCAGCTACCCATTTTTTTGTTACAAGATTATCCGTCAGGGGTTCCAGGGGTGTATACGAGACATCATGATCTTACACCAGGTGTATCCTGTGGAGGTGTGGAAACCGCTCGACTGGAACACTGCCGAGACAAATGACCTTGCCTACTTCAACTGGCAGGGTTGTCCCATTAACCTGGACCGAGGGTACCATTTCCAGGGTCAGGGTTTTATGACCCTCCCCAATGATTACTGGACTCTTGGGGACAGACAGGAACTTCGTTTCTCCTTCCGATCAGACATGCACACAGGACTTCTATTCTTCACACATGGAGGGCCTGGAGTGTATGCATTTGTTGCACTTATAGATGGTTCTGTGTATTTTGAATTCTCCAATAATGTTGCTACAGGAGGTGTTACATTAAAACCCACTGACAATGATTTTTGTGACGGGAGGTGGTATGATACCTTGATATACAAGAACAACCAGGAAGCAACGATATCTTTATCGAATGGTGGAGGAACAGCAACTCAAGGGGATCCTAACTTCAAGCTGAAGGTCCAACCCATATCAGACCTGTTTGTGGGTGGAATACCTGTTGATTCTGATGCATACAATTTCATTATAAGACACAAACTCTCAGCACCATTGGAGGGTAAGCTGCATACATTTACACAGGGTCATTCAGAATTTTCACTGAATCTATGTTGAATTTGGGGTAAATCCTCTCATATAAATAGAACACACAATATACCTGTGTACCAGCTTAGATCTTGAAAACATAATTACACATTACTTGTTCGAACTATACATGTATGTGTGTGCCTTTTAATTTGGAGTAAGGATATATATTTATGCCCCCGCCATGAAATGGGGGGGGGGGCATATAGTGTTGCCCATGTCCGTCCCACCCGTCGTGTCGTGTCCCGATTCAATGTTAACACTTAGCAACTTCATTCTTTCACGGATTTTGGTCAAACTTTATGCAAAGGTCAAGTATTAGTATACTTCGGACATTGTTGTTTTTCACGTTTTCAAGGTCAAGGCCAAGGTCACTGTTGCTATATATAGAAAATCATCAACTGATTCAATTTCAACACTTAGCAACTTCATTCTTTCACAGATTTTGGTCAAACTTTATATAAAGGTCAAATATGGGTATAGGTTTACCTCTGACATCCTTGTGTTTCAGGATGGTAATAACACACAGAAAAACATATGAATATTAAGATCAACTTATCAACTTTAAGTGTAGTACCTTGTGTTTTTTTCAGAGTTTGGTGGATGTCTGGCCGATCTGAGGATTGGAGAGTTCAGTCCTTACTACCTGGTTTACATGAACGCAATCTCCCTTGTGAAGATTGTAGAAAATGTGAACCTAGACGGCTGTACGCCCTACCATCTCCCTGCTGTAACCTGTCGTGATGACGTCGTGGAGTACATCTACAACGGCACAGAGACCACTCATCTTGATGCCGACCTTCACCCTTACTCAGGTCTGTCAAAGTCACAATGTATAAAATATTAAAAGTCAAAATTTAAAATTTGTAAATGTGATGTGTTCAACAATGTTGAGGAATAAAACTAATTAGATCTTACATATCTGGTTTTTGGTCATTCTAAAATTGCAGACTAAGGAATTACATTTCTTATATCTGGTCTTTTCTTTAATGGGAATTAATTATGTTGTGTTTCAGATTATCTGTACAGAGTGGTGGCAAGCAATGATGCAGGCTGGGTGTCCAGTTCCTGGGGTTACGGCCAGACCAAAGAAGGGGGTGAGTATTAAGAGTAACAAAAATATCTTCTGTTGAAGGCTTTAACTTTTGAAAATAATTTCATGGTATAGATACAGCTAAACAATTAAAATATAACCAGTCAGTACCTTGTACAATCCAGAAACTTGTTTAAGAGAATCTTTGCAATTCAGAAACTGTCTATTACATATCGTCTAAGGGTCACTCAGTTTACTATAAAATGGTAGGGGAGCATATTTCCCATATCATTTACTCCGTGCATCTGTTTGACTCATATTGACTTCATTTGTAATCAGATTGCTTGAGGATGTTTACAACCTAGGATTTACAATGTACCCTGGATCTATGTCATTGTAGCTAGGAAAAAGAAAAAATGTCTGAGTAAGGTGAATTTGATAAGTTTCAGCATTTTGTACCCATAGTCAAGGTTACTGTTTCTATTTTTAGAAAACAAATGTCATTGCTGTAGTACCTTTGTTGTGGTTTGATTTCTATGAAACTAGAATTACATGGCAGCAAGTACGCATCCTTTTCTATTAAACAGATGTTCAGTGGTATTTAGAGTAATGTACAGTATATCTATAAAAAAATATAGACGTCATAAACAAGTTATGCTTTATATTTTATCCTGTATTTAGTGTAACTTAGTAATTTAATGAAGTAGTGAATTGTATATGATATACCAACATCTAACATACCTTTGTTGTAGCCCCTATTGGAGTGAAGCCCCCTTTTGAAGTAAAAGTATTGTCCGGATATGTGATTACTGCCCGCTGGCAGAGTCCTCTCATTACCGCAGGTCTCCTCACCAAATACATCCTGCTGGCGTATGACCGAAAGAGTCCTAAAGTACCCCCAGTACAGGAAGAGTTCACCATTGACAAGATGTATGGTATGTAAAGAAGTACACTGATGACCATGTAAGATGTAACATTAACTATGATGGTATTAAGGATTCTGTGTTGGAGAAAATTGTGCTGAAAACATTTCCGATAAGTGCAAGGATGTAAAAATAGTGTTGCATGAGTAGAAAATAAAAATAGAAGAAAAAAAATGTTCTAGGTAAGTTATGAAGGCCCAGTAGTTAAGTAAAGTTACACCTGTGCTTCTTAGTGATGATATATTGTACCAATGTAATAATTATTTTAACTGTCATGTTAATTTAAGGGGAGATAACGACAGCCATCCCAAGCACCAACTACTCTGTGAGGGTGGTTGCCTGTACTGGAGGGGGGTGTAGTGAAAGTTCCACCGGTGTCAACGTCACCACCAAGGAGGAAGGTAGGTCCAGCAGACAGCTGAAGGACTAAAGTCTCAAATATGTATCAGCTAGCTCTGTGTAAAACTTGGATGGTTACTCTATCAAGGATAAATGTGTTGGTTGAGCGTATAATGTTGTTAATTGGTAAACATGTGTTTTATTTAAGATGGAACTTTCTGTAAGATGTTGCTGCAAATATTTTGTTAGAGGCATCAAAATGTTACCAGGTTTGGCTACTTTTTGTATATGAGATGTATGTGCCAGGCTTAGGGTGTAAGCTTAACTGGTAAGAAAATAAACAGATCTATATGATATGATACAGCCCCAGAGGAAGTTCCAACTCCTACTGCTGTTGCCGCGACAACCTTCCTTACCGTATACTGGGACATTCCGGGCCGGCCCAATGGCGTCATCACTGGCTACTTCCTCTACCAAGATGGCCGCCAGATCTACAGTGGTGGTCAACGATTGTTCAACATCACTGGTCTACAGGTGAGAACAAGTAAATAAAGAAGGTACAGTCACGTGCACTAGTACAGTCGCATTTAAATTATGTACAGAACATAATTTACAAGTGACATTCTGTACATTAGCGATATTAGTGATGTTGTAAATATTCTAATACGCAGCAAAACAAATTGTGTTATGCTATCATGCTGTCCATCCATCTGAATGTGAGCGCAACAATGTAGTCCCACATTTTTCAACCGAGTGTTATAAAATTTTGTATGTGTCACAGTAATCATATGAAGATAGGTATACCATAAAACAGGACCCTGCATCAGTTTTACAACATTTGTTGTGGGCATTTACTAATGATCCACCCACCGTGCCATTGTTTATGTATAGCTCTGAAATTTCGGCATATCTTATTGAAATAAATACAATGTTGGCAAATATATTCATGGGTTTTAAACACATGTGTGTGTAGGAAAAACAAAATCAGGTATGGTCTGTGAAGATATTTGTATGTGACACTGTAGAATGGCCATCAATTATGATTGTGTTGTATTACAGGTGTACACTTCCTACCAGTTCTATGTCCGAGCCTGTACACAGGTAGGGTGTACAGATGGACCTGCCACTCTCCTCAGTACAGCCCAGCTCCCCCCTCAGTTTGTAAAGCCTCCTGTCCTAGTGGCTTTAGGTGAGTTAAATTATTTCAGTATCATCCATAACCCCTCCCTCCCTCCATCCACAGTATCACTAAGCTACCCCCTCCCTCTTAATTATCAACCAGCTTCCCCTTCCTTCCTAATATCACCCAGATACTTGATCCCCTCTCAGTTTGTAAAGACTCCTGTCCATGTGGCTTTAGGTAAGTCACTTTTATATCACCAATCTCTCCCCTCCCTCCTCTGTACCCTCCAGCCACCCTCTCCTTCCTTATTATCACCTTAGTTACCTCCCTCCCTCCCTCCCTCCCTCCCTTATATTACCAGCTACCCCATTCCTCTTCACTATGACACTTTTCATTTTTCACTTTTGTATAGAAGTGTGTTAGTAAGCCGTATGTAATGGTGAACCCAGTGCAGACTTCCCTCGTATCATTTATACAGGTACAACTCGTGTGGACGTACGCTGGGAGAAGCCGGAACAGATGAATGGTGTGTTACAGCGTTACCTATTGTACCTGTCCACAGAGGCCAACTTTATCGGTGAAGTTGTCTACAACACCTCAGACTTCTTCACCAACTATATTGTCCCCGATCTGACTGCTGGTACCACCTACTTCATTACCCTCTCTGTAAGTACTCTCACAAGAGAATCATATTGTAAATGTGAAGTAAAAATAACATTTTTGGTCTAACTTTTGTTTTACTTTTTAATCTTTTGGTTACTGTATTTTGCAGAAAACCTGTCTTAAATGATATACTTTATATATTTCCTTTTACATTTTATACTGACAGGCTTGTACTATGGGAGGGTGCACCCTGAGTACAGTGAGTGAAGTGCTGACAGAGGAGAGTGCCCCTGAGGGAGTGCCTGACCCAGTCATAACCTCGCCCTCCCCAACAGAAATCATAGTCACATGGGATGTTCCTTCACTTCCGAATGGTAGGAATGTAGTATTGGATAGATACATTCAATTATTTATATTTATGTCAAAGCAATGCCTATGTTGTGTTAATAAACATGAAATTACTGATAATTAATGTAGCTATTGTACAACAGTATGTTGAATAACAATACATTTTATAACTTGTAACCCTTCATTAAGTAAGCAGTAAGGAAAATACAGATAAGGTCTATCTGTTGAGTTTTAATAAACAAACTTTTATTTCACAATTACCCTGAATCAGAAAGTACTATTTTCAGACTGTCAGCTGTTAGGTGGACTGTCTATAGCTGTCATGCATTAGCTTATACTTTAGCATGGTATCTGTTGTTTGTCAGCAACGATTTTTTCAAACAACTTCATCTAAATTACTGTAAAGCCTAGAGTGACAATAATTGGGACTCAGCTTGCGTGGGTAAACAGATTTTTTATAGATGCTTTATAAGAAGACGTTCTCAATAAAACCCTACATCTCAAAGATAGAGAAAAAATGGAAAAAATGGAGAAAAATGATTTGAGATGCTTGAATATGTCATGTATTTTTCCAAGATTAAATAAGGTGGCAATTCCCAAAATACTGTTGAAAAGGCCTTGAGCATTATAAAACAGTTGAAACATTAGGCCATTGTGATTGGTTGTTTTCTAGGTCACATAGTGCGGTATGAGCTGTACCACAATGAGGTCCTAGTGTACCAAGGGATGACAATGACCTACCAGGTCACAGGTCTCCTGCCGTATAGTCTCCACACATTCAGGGTCCGGGCCTGTACTATCCAAGGATGTGGCTCCAGCCTCATGGTGGACGGACGCACACTCGAGGCAGCTCCACAGGGCTTCATCGTCATGACAATGGAGGTGGAAGGTCCACGTACTGTGAAGGTCAGCTGGAACCCTCCAAGTGAGCAGAATGGAATCGTCTATTACAGTGTCAACTTTGACGGGTCATTCTATGCTGATCCAGGTAACCTTCCCCTGTTTATAGTGTGCTTATTTACCATTTAAGCAGAGGATACATTTGTTGAGGTTGTTGATCTGTATATCATTACGTATGTTGTACATATATTTGTTTCTGTACGGTAATGTGGGTATATTTTTGTATAGCAGTTATATTCATAAAATGTAGCTGTAATATTTAACCTGCATAGTTGCTATATTTTGGGGGGGGCTGTATTTGAGCTATATCTTCACTCTTAAATGCATTCCTCAAATTGTGAACTACATTCTACATATGAAACCATAATCAAATAAAAGCTATTGAGAAGCAAAACATGAAATGAGATCACTGCAACATAACTCTTTTTCTAGGCACAAGAACTGAAGCCAGGCACTGGAAATTCATTACATTAATAAGGTACCCGGTATTTACATCTGACTGTAAATAAAAACTTTGTGCTGTGTGCTGATTACATTTGTACTGTGTGCTGATTACAGAAAACTGGGACTATGCTGTAATACAGGATGCCAGGAGTCTATTTTACGGAACCAATCATTCCCAGTCAATCTCCATCACCGGCCTCATTCCCATGTCATCTTACGACATCCAAGTCAACGCCTCCAACACTGGGGGATATATCCTCTCCAACATACGTCGTGCTGACTTACCTCAAGGCTGTAAGTATTACTTAGACTACCCAAGGGCTGTAAGTATGACACAGACCTACGCCAGGGCTGTAAGTATGTATGACACAGACCTACCTCAGGGCTGTAAGTATGACACAGACCTACCCCAGGACTGTTAGTATGACACAGACCTACCCCAGGGCTGTAAGTATGACACAGACCTACCTCAGGGCTGTAAATATGACACAGACCTACCCCAGGACTGAAAGTATGACACAAACCTACCCCAGGACTGAAAGTATGACACAGACCTACCTCAGGGCTGTAAGTATGACACAGACCTACCCCAGGGCTGTAAGTATGACACAAACCTACCTCAGGGCTGTAAGTATGACACAGACCTACCTCATGGCTATAAGTATGACAAAAACCTAACCCAGGGCTGTAAGCATTACTTAGACTACCTCAGGGCTGTAAGTATGACACAGACCTACCTCAGGGCTGTAAGTATGACACAGCCCTACCCCAGGGCTGCAAGTATGTCTGACACAGACCTACCCCAGGGCTGCAAGTATGACACAAACCTACCCCAGGGCTGTAAGTATGACACAAACCTACCTCAGGGTTGTAAGTATGACACAAACCTACCTCAGGGTTGTAAGTATGACACAGACCTACCTCAGGGCTATAAGTATGACAAAGACCTAACCCAGGGCTGTAAGCATTACTTAGACTACCTCAGGGCTGTAAGTATGACACAGACCTACCCCAGGGCTGCAAGTATGTCTGACACAGACCTACCCCAGGGCTACAAGTATGTCTGACATAGACCTACCTCAGGGCTGTAAGTATGACACAGTCTACACCAGGGCTGTAAGTATGACACAGACCTACCTCAGGACTTTAAGTATGACACAGACCTACCCTAGGACTGTAAGTATGACACAGACTACCCCAGGGCTGTAATTTATAAGTACAACACAGACCTACCCAAGGGCTGTAAGTATGACACAGACCTACCTCAGGGCTGTAAGTATGACACATATACCTACCCCAGGGCTGTAAGTATGACACAAACCTACCCCAGGGCTGTAAGTATTACATATAAACACTACCCAATGGGTACATATTGTATAGGTATTACACTGATCTACCCCAGCATATTACCTGTGTGTTTTATACTACAGCCCCTGATGGAGTAAAGCCACCCAACCTGTTGTCTGAGTCCCCCTCCAGTATCACAGCTATGTGGGAGCCAGTCGGACGTGAAAATGCCCAGGAATCACCTCAGTTTGTCTTACAGTTCCGCAATCTGAACAACGATACCATGGTGGAAGAGTAAGTATTCAAATGGGGTTTTTTTATTCTCCTTGATGGAAACTACATTTTCTGATATGATTAAAGATAATTGTCACAGAGAAGTGAAGAGCTATAATGTGCTACACTTGAGAGCAAGATCAGACAAACCTTTATTTGTAGTAACAAGAACAGTAATTGTTTCAATGAACACTGAAGTCCCATGCTTGTACGCATGGTGTACAGCAATGATAATGCCAAATGTGTTTTTGGTCAGTGTGTTGGATACCAAAGACACAAGAGGTCCCCAATTATTGTGATATAAGTGATGGTGACTTGTAAACTTTATGCGTCACTCATTTACGGGATGTTTCGCCTGTTGATATAGAGTGTATACACATCATGTTGTCACATCGTACATCGTACAGTTAAACAATACAAAACCGCTCACTCAGTCATAGCTTGACCAGTCAGTCTTGAAACGTTGCAGCACCTTTAATATGTACATTGTTAAAGTACATAAAGTAAAACTTTGAGATGACCGATTTCCAAACTGAGGAATCTTATTAGTTATTAGCCAAATGTTATAGGACGATAACAATGCACATGTATGTATTGTTTTCCAACAAACCATGCATATGTAATACTCTTCTGAAAGCCTTCACAATAATCACAAATGGTAAGCAAGACTTGTCTTGGATGAATTACTTTGTGGAATGAGTAAACATGCATGTATGTGCATATCATTGGTATTCTGACATATTCCCATGTTTAACTGCCAGCAGGAAAAGTAATGGCTGCAATATCCAGAAATTATGACATCATCTGTGTGTGGCTTGTTGGTAAAATGAAATCAATGCATTATGGGACAATTTTTCGTATGCTCAAAAGAGCAGTCTATTTGAAGTAATTGGATCAATGGGTCACGTTATCTTATAGGCAGGGAACTAGACACAAAAGTACACTCAGTTAAACTTTCAGGTAGGATAACAAATAAACCTGATAATCAAGGTGTATTTGATTATGGTGAAATTATAATATAACATTTGATTCAAAAATGTAAGGAATAATAATTAATACTGGTCAAAGTGGCCTTTGTTAATGATTGTTTTAACTTGTTCTCACCCTTGTAATAAATGTATGAGGACTATTTCTAAAATAGTAGATCTTGTGAGGAGAGACACACATAGCCTTTGGGCTGTTTACAAACCTCAAGAAACAAATTGAAAAAAATATTATACTTTAAATTCAACCATCATTGCACAAGTCGGTATTTATCTAGAAACTGAAAATATATTCCATCAAACCAAAATAAAATGGATATAAGTATGAAATTAGTAACATTAGAAAGTGAATTTTCAACAATAAGGAAGAAAATGTAAAACACTTGGTGATAGAATTGGTATGATGTTTCAGTATATTTGGTCCTACCACTTCCTTCATCCACACCACGAGGGACCTTGTACCTTACACTGTGTATGAGTTTCGCATGAAGGCGTTCAACAGTTACGGCTACACGCTGTCCAACTGGATCTCTTACCGCACACTACAAGACAGTAAGTACCTTACATTCAACATTACTGACGCGCTGTCCAACTGGATCTCTTACCGCACACTACAACACAGTAAGTATCTTACATTCAACATCACTGACACGCTGTCCAACGGGATCTCTTACCGCACAATACAAGACAGTAAGTATCTTACCTTCAACATTCCTGACACGCTGTCCAACTGTATCTCTTACCGCTCACTACAAGACAGTAAGTACCTTACATTCAACATTACTGACCCGCTGTCCAACTGGATCTCTTACCGCACACTACAAGACAGTAAGTATCTTACAATTCGGTTCATACATTCAACATTACTGAAAGTTACAGAGGTCAAGAATGTTGAAGACTTTAACAAACTGTTGATGTTTGACTCGTAGCTTATGCTGATTATAAATTAAATGATTAAATGGCTTTTTGTTTATAACAGAGCCTGGTAGCTTTGACCCCCCATTGATCGCGGCTGTAGGAGCTCGCTACATTGACCTCACCTGGCAGCATCCACTGGAGGCTAATGGAGTCATCAAAGAGTACAAGGTTTACCAAAACAATGTGTTCAGGATCTTGGTAAGTACATGTGTACCAAAACAGAGTGTTCAGGATCTTGGTAAGTACATGTGTACAAAAACAGTGTGTTCAGGATCTTGGTAAGTACATGTGTACCAAAACAGTGTGTTCAGGATCTCGATAAGAACATGTGTACAGAAACAGTGTGTTCAGGATCTTGGAAAGTACATGTGTACCAAAACAGTGTGTTCAGGATCTCAGTAATTAAATACATGTGTACCAAAACAATGTGTTTAGGACCTTGGTAAGTACATGTGTACCAAAACAGCGTGGTCAGGATCTCAGTAATTAAGTACATGTGTACCAAAACAGTGCATTCAGGATCTCAATAGTTAAGTACATGTGTACCAAACATGAAACTGATATATGGTTAGATATGTAGCATTTGTACATGATCACAAAACTTTCTGTGCACATTGTCATTCACATACTACTAGGAAATTTAAAGATTTCTTTTCTACACAGGTGCTAGGCAATGACACTAGTTACCGTGCCATTGACCTTGACCCCTTTATCTTGTACAACTTTGCGCTGGAGGCGTGTACTGAGGGTGGCTGTTCCCGTACAAATGACTCCAGTACTGTACGGACATTGGAGGATGGTAAGATGTTATGTACCATTCATAGCTATAAACCATAAAGATATGAAACACTGTAAGGGGTTAAAGGTCAAATCAATTTATTCTTGTCCTAGTCATAAATTTTGAACTTCACATGTATATATTATGACTAGACAGTGTGCCTCATAATACTTGTGTCGACAATGTTTTCCAGACAATATGGCTTTTTTCTCTTACATTTGTGATCCTTGTGAATTTCATGACAAGAAGATTATATATTAACTTCTGACACTTTACATCCTTTCAGTACCGGCTGGTTTTGAACCACCCACAGCAATATCTTTGACACCAACTTCTGTTGAGATTAAATGGACCGCCCCTCTGTATCCCAATGGCCTTGTGAGTGCCTATGAATTGGAGCGGCTGGCCAATGGGTCGGAGAATATCTACTCCATCCGGACAGTTTTGCCCACATCTACCATGGTGTATATCGATGATGCGGCAGAGCTGTCCCCATTCACCACATATTTCTACCGTGTCAAGGCTGTTAACGGAGCTGGGTCCACCGCCAGTGACTGGGCAACTATCGTGACCATGTCCTCAAGTATGTACGACCTTCACCTGAGTGACCTTGTCACCAAAGATCCACATGTACCATTCATGTCATTATATAAGTCTATAATTTACTTCTTACGTCCAGCAATCTTTTCTTTAAAATATTGATACTATTTATTTAGAAAGTTTCGAAATAAAAATATTTATTGGTGTCTTTCTTTACGTAGCAATTTTAAATTGATTAACTTTTTTTGAAAAAGATGATCTATGATTATTGATGCATCATTTACTGAAACATTCATATCTGATTCATTGATTTTTTCCTTACATTTCTGACTTAAGGACCAACTGGCATGTTACCCCCCAATGTCCAGATTCTGGGGCCTCGTGCTATGCGTATCACATGGCAAGCCCCGCTGAAGCCGAATGGCCTCCTGGAGATGTATGTGGTGCGCTTGCCAGAGCCGCGACAGGAGATCAGAAACACCAGTGTGATGTCACTCAACATGACTGACCTTCTTCCCTTCAGTACATTCTCTGTAACTGTTACTGCATGCACTGGTAAGATGTTGCATGATTATTAGAATCTTTCCAGACAATGAAACTTTTATGATGAACCTTAACCCTTTCACCACTGTAGACCATAATGGACTCATCCAGATAAATGTATGGGTAGAGTCTACTAAAGTTACCTAGGGGTGAAAGAGTTTAAAACTCTTTTTGAATTTTGATAACAGTATGAGTGTTAAGAACACACTCATTGCAAAGTCTTGCTTATGAGGAAGTCATAATTACCTGTGGTCCCTTGCAATGGACATCTCATGAACCATAAACTTTAGTACAAATGTTGTCTACAGCAAATTAATAACCTTTTATGGTTTATATACATAATTTACGGTAACTTTAAACAGACTAATGAACTTGAACTGTATTTTGGCATTTTGGTATTAAAGTAATTGTTATGGGAAATGACTATCGTATAATTTCAACCTTCAATGCAGGAATTTTCCTACCTCATTTTGATGTATCTCAGTAATCCTGATGGTTTGTGACGTCTAAACATATTCAAGAGTTTGAATAATCCTGCCGAGGCTTACCTGTCCCTTTTCCACTCCTTTGACATACCCCTGATGATCAATAGACACTCAATACATGTTTTACAGATGGTGGTTGTACTGAGAGCCCTGCAGTCAGCGTGAGGACTGATCCCACCATCCCTGAGGGTCAGGCCCCACCCATTCCCCACCCTGTGTCACAGAATATGATAGCCATAGCATGGCAGGGCCCTGGACTAGCAAATGGTCCTAACATCAGATTTGAACTGTCACGCATGAAGATTCTGCAGCCCCTCCTAAGTAAGTGTTAATAAAATATCTGCAGGGTGTTTTGATTTTCATTATAGTGCCTAAGGTATTTGATGTTTTATAAAGACCTCAGTGTTCATGAAAAGATGCATTATTTATATGTAGGATAATTATGAAATAACCATTACATGAGCAGCGATAAAAATTGCCAATTAAATAATTTATAGTTACCGATTTCATCCATGAGATCATTGTTTCAGCTAATCCTGTGGGTTTGAACGTGTGGAGCAGTGTATTTATCGGGACAGTGACGTACTATGAGGACCGGGGTCTTCCATTGTTTACCACGTTCAAATATAGAGTAACTGTCTACAACGATGTTGGTCAGCTGACCAGCGATGCTTCAAGGGAGGTAACTACTTATGGTGGATTCCCAAGGAAAGAGGCAAACGTGACTGTGGTTCCACTGGATCATGTGACTCTCCAGGTGGACTGGGTGACCCCAAGTATGTATAAATTACTGGTGAATAATCTTAAGTCCACATCTACCATTAACCAGAATCAAACTGGTGATTCTTGTTATAGAAGTGGAAAGGAAATTGTATATAATTATGTATTGTAGGGTAACAGGAGCGAGAAAGGCCCAGAACAAACTACAACCGTTGATTCAAACAGTTTGAAATCCTGTTCCATAGGACTGAATCTTTTGTCTTGTGATTTATATTTTATGAGTTTAGGAGGTCTTAATTTTGTGTTAAAAGATCAGTTTAACAGAGAGAATTCCAACTTCCATCTTGGTAGCCTTATTGAATATCCTATCACCAACAAAGACTAAAGAGTACTGTCTTATTGTTTACTGGATCAGATTTTGGATTTACTCCTTTCACTACCAGTTGTACACTGGTATACTCGATAAAGTGCGATTGGACAGTCATCTCTGTACTTAATTGGAATTTTGAACATTTAATTATACTGAAATAATTATAATTAATCCAGGAGAGAATATGAAAATAAAAATGGTAGGAAATAAATTAAAACTATAAATCTTCCACAAAAATGGTCGATACAATTATCTCTGAGGAGTTACCTCCCCCTCAAAATGATATATGATGGGGAACCCTAAACTGATATGTGGTATAGAGAGACGATATATGATGGGGAACCCTAAACTGAGATGTGGTAGAGAGAGACGATATATGACGGGGAACCCTAAACTGATATGTGGTAGAGAGAGACGATATATGATGGGGAACCCTAAACTGATATGTGGTAGAGAGAGACGATATATGATGGGGAACCCTAAACTGATATGTGGTAGAGAGAGACGATATATGATGGGGAACCCTAAACTGATATGTGGTAGAGAGAGACGATATATGATGGGGAACCCTAAACTGATATGTGGTAGAGAGAGACGATATATGATGGGGAACCCTAAACTGATATGTGGTAGAGAGAGACGATATATGATGGGGAACCCTAAACTGATATGTGGTAGAGAGAGACGATATATGATGGGGAACCCTAAACTGATATGTGGTAGAGAGAGACGATATATGATGGGGAACCCTAAACTGATATGTGGTAGAGAGAGACGATATATGATGGGGAACCCTAAACTGATATGTGGTAGAGAGAGACGATATATGATGGGGAACCCTAAACTGATATGTGGTAGAGAGAGACGATATATGATGGGGAACCCTAAACTGATATGTGGTAGAGAGAGACGATATATGATGGGGAACCCTAAACTGATATGTGGTAGAGAGAGACGATATATGATGGGGAACCCTAAACTGATATGTGGTAGAGAGAGACGATATATGATGGGGAACCCTAAACTGATATGTGGTAGAGAGAGACGATATATGATGGGGAACCCTAAACTGATATGTGGTAGAGAGAGACGATATATGATGGGGAACCCTAAACTGATATGTGGTAGAGAGAGACGATATATGATGGGGAACCCTAAACTGATATGTGGTAGAGAGAGACGATATATGATGGGGAACCCTAAACTGATATGTGGTAGAGAGAGACGATATATGATGGGGAACCCTAAACTGATATGTGGTAGAGAGAGACGATATATGATGGGGAACCCTAAACTGATATGTGGTAGAGAGAGACGATATATGATGGGGAACCCTAAACTGATATGTGGTAGAGAGAGACGATATATGATGGGGAACCCTAAACTGATATGTGGTAGAGAGAGACGATATATGATGGGGAACCCTAAACTGATATGTGGTAGAGAGAGACGATATATGATGGGGAACCCTAAACTGATATGTGGTAGAGAGAGACGATATATGATGGGGAACCCTAAACTGATATGTGGTAGAGAGAGACGATATATGATGGGGAACCCTAAACTGATATGTGGTAGAGAGAGACGATATATGATGGGGAACCCTAAACTGATATGTGGTAGAGAGAGACGATATATGATGGGGAACCCTAAACTGATATGTGGTAGAGAGAGACGATATATGATGGGGAACCCTAAACTGATATGTGGTAGAGAGAGACGATATATGATGGGGAACCCTAAACTGATATGTGGTAGAGAGAGACGATATATGATGGGGAACCCTAAACTGATATGTGGTAGAGAGAGACGATATATGATGGGGAACCCTAAACTGATATGTGGTAGAGAGAGACGATATATGATGGGGAACCCTAAACTGATATGTGGTAGAGAGAGACGATATATGATGGGGAACCCTAAACTGATATGTGGTAGAGAGAGACGATATATGATGGGGAACCCTAAACTGATATGTGGTAGAGAGAGACGATATATGATGGGGAACCCTAAACTGATATGTGGTAGAGAGAGACGATATATGATGGGGAACCCTAAACTGATATGTGGTAGAGAGAGACGATATATGATGGGGAACCCTAAACTGATATGTGGTAGAGAGAGACGATATATGATGGGGAACCCTAAACTGATATGTGGTAGAGAGAGACGATATATGATGGGGAACCCTAAACTGATATGTGGTAGAGAGAGACGATATATGATGGGGAACCCTAAACTGATATGTGGTAGAGAGAGACGATATATGATGGGGAACCCTAAACTGATATGTGGTAGAGAGAGACGATATATGATGGGGAACCCTAAACTGATATGTGGTAGAGAGAGACGATATATGATGGGGAACCCTAAACTGATATGTGGTAGAGAGAGACGATATATGATGGGGAACCCTAAACTGATATGTGGTAGAGAGAGACGATATATGATGGGGAACCCTAAACTGATATGTGGTAGAGAGAGACGATATATGATGGGGAACCCTAAACTGATATGTGGTAGAGAGAGACGATATATGATGGGGAACCCTAAACTGATATGTGGTAGAGAGAGACGATATATGATGGGGAACCCTAAACTGATATGTGGTAGAGAGAGACGATATATGATGGGGAACCCTAAACTGATATGTGGTAGAGAGAGACGATATATGATGGGGAACCCTAAACTGATATGTGGTAGAGAGAGACGATATATGATGGGGAACCCTAAACTGATATGTGGTAGAGAGAGACGATATATGATGGGGAACCCTAAACTGATATGTGGTAGAGAGAGACGATATATGATGGGGAACCCTAAACTGATATGTGGTAGAGAGAGACGATATATGATGGGGAACCCTAAACTGATATGTGGTAGAGAGAGACGATATATGATGGGGAACCCTAAACTGATATGTGGTAGAGAGAGACGATATATGATGGGGAACCCTAAACTAATATGTGGTAGAGAGAGAGGATACATGATGGGGAACCCTAAACTGATATATCGTAGAGAGAGACGATATATGACGGGGAACCCTAAACTGATATGTGGTATAGAGAGACGATATATGATGGGGAACCCTAAACTGAGATGTGGTAGAGAGAGACGATATGTGATGGGGAACCCTAAACTGATATGTGGTAGAGAGAGACAATATATGATGGGGAACCCTAAACTGATATATCGTAGAGAGAGACGATATATGATGGGGAATCCTAAACTGAGATGTGGTATAGAGAGACGATTTGTGATGGGGAACCCTAAACTGATATGTGGAAGAGAGAGAGTTAATGTTTTTTACTTAATGCTTGTCGTACGGCAACCTAAACAAGGACAAGTCTCTTAAAGCATTGTAAAGGCATGGGCTGTCTTCATCTACCTAAACAGTCATTATCATTATATAACCCTATAACTTTATCTATATCACAATAAATGCCAGATAGTTATAAAAAGGTTTAGGGAGGAGTTTGTGAATAGTGACAAGATCAGCTTTAATGTTTCACCGTACCTTCCACAGGTGTGGTAGACCTACAGGGATCTGTTACAGTGTTTACATTGGTGGCTGTGGGCAAGATGAGGACCATCAAACAAGACTACACCCCTGACACTCACGGGATTCTGCTCCAGAACCTTACACCCAACACTGAGTACTCCATCACTCTCACCATTACTATCCATGGTGATGCTCAGATCACCAGTCTACCTGTGGTGGCACAGACCTTGGACGGAGGTAAGTTATAGCAATGTGTGTATGGTTACAGGTTTCTCACCCTAGGGTGAAACATGGTAATCCCACACCAGGAAAACTATAGATATGCCCCTCCATGATTTGAGAAACTTAAGTCTCAGCCTGCATGATTCTTATAATTTTCCTTCAAAAATTTGGAATACTTCACTGACATGTAATTTCATTTGTATGTGCCCAGCATAATCAGTGGAGCAGTTTTTAATATTGTGTATAATGTACTTTTAGCTCCTGAGGGTTTAGCCAAACCCAGCCTGACTGTTGTCAATGACACAGCTCTGAGAGTGGCCTGGACCAACCCTGTCAAGGCCAATGGGGAGATCACCGGCTTCAACATCATCATCAACAACAACAAAATACCAACAGGCATGGTGACTGCGGGGTCAAAGGTCATCACTCAACTTCTACCCTATACTATCTACACTGTCAAGGTATGTAGATGTGTAGGGAAAATAGTGAGAAGGGTGTAAAAATATAGGAAAAATAGGGAGAAGGGTGTAGAAATAAAGGAAAAATAGGGAGAAGGATGTAGAAATATAGGAAAAATAGGGAGCAGGGTGTAGAAATATAGGGAAAATAGGGAGAAGGGTGTAGAAATATAGGAAAAATAGGGAGAAGGATGTAGAAATATAGGAAAAATAGGGAGAAGGGGGTAGAAATATAGGAAAAATAGGGAGAAGGGTGTAGAAATAAAGGAAAAATAGGGTGAAGGATGTAGAAATATAGGAAAAATAGGGAGAAGGGGGTAGAAATATAGGAAAAATAGGGAGAAGGGTGTAGAAATAGAGGAAAAATAGGGAGAAGGGTGTAGAAATAAAGGAAAAATAGGGTGAAGGATGTAGAAATATAGGAAAAATAGGGAGAAGGGTGTAGAAATAAAGGAAAAATAGGGTGAAGGATGTAGAAATATAGGAAAAATAGGGAGAAGGGGGTAGAAATATAGGGAAAATAGGGAGAAGGGTGAAGAAATATACGAAAAATAGGGAGAATGGTATAGAAATAAAGGTAAATTAGGGAGAAGGGTGTAGCGAAACTAAAAATAAAAATATATAAAATTTATTGATTTTATGAACTAGTTTTTTTAACTTACCTATAATAATCACTCTTGTTGGCCCGGATTTTAGCTCATGGGGAGTCTTACTGTGGGAGGAAACCAGCAAAGCTGGAGAAAATCCACATGGTCAGGCAGGTGACCCCTCACCTTTTCACAATTAGGGAATTGAACCCCGAGTTCGTTATCCACTGTGCCACTTGACCACCCACAATACAAGGGAAGTAGTACAGGAAAGGGGGGAGTAGGGTACAAATGTACAGAAAAAGTATAGGAGAGAAAAGATACAAATGTGAAAAAAGGAAGGAGGAAAAGGATACAAATGTAATAAAAAAGTATGAATGGAAGGAACAAAGATGTACAGGGAGATGGAGTCCCAATGTAGGGGAAATGGGGGGAGGATGTGGGGTGCCAATTTTTACAGAAGTGGATGTCAAAATTAACAGGGGAGGAGGTCACTATGTTCAGACATGTAATGAAAGGTTTTTTAATGTCTTACTGTTTCAACATTCATGCTCCAGTAGATTGCTTTTAGAATTATTCAAATTTTACTCTAAACTAGTTGTGTTTGCTAACCTTGTTTGAAAAATCACTTTTTTTACATAATTTACGAAGCACTAGCTGTATTGCAAACATGTTATAATGAATAACAGAGAGACAATTCCTTACGATATGACTACAACCTAAACATGAACTCGCTATGTCCATGTTTGTACTATAGTGTTTTACTTTACTGTTTTAGTGTTGCTTAAATCTGTTATTACAAGTAATAGGGGAAATGGTTTAATACTAACATTCAGTGATATCTATGTGGTGGCGTTTAGGTGGAGGTGTGTACTGTGTTTGACTGTACTACCAGTGAGTCTCTACTGGTCACAACTGCCGAGGCCCTTCCTCAACAGTTCACCCCCCCTTCTGTGACGGCCCTCAGCTCCATATCTGTCCAGGTAGACTGGACATCTCCTGAACGATCCAATGGAATCATTCTACGATATGACCTCTTCCGCAGCACCATCAAGCAGTGCTCAGAAATGTAAGTGTCCAAATCTCATTCATGCTTCATATATTTAATCATCTGTTTACTTTATGAAAAATTTGTACGATAAAAAAATGTTTGGATCTCTATGAAAACTTTCTTTTACTCCTATAGTGAGAGTGACTACTGGTTATTGTTTCAATTTTATCTATTTTGACATAGTATGTACAGTATAAAATAACAGCAGGAAAAGAAAATCAGTACAATTTTGCACGTGGAAGATTCTTAGTTTATGGAGAAGCATACCAAATATTAATCGTAAGAAGGTATCAGAACTACAGGCAAGATTCAAAATCGATATTTTGGTATTTGGTTTGCTGTTGTAGACCCCCAGCTACTGTGAGTCCTGAGATCACCAAATGTACCTACATAATGTGTGACATCTTGGAGAACCTGTGTGGGGGAGTGTGTTACTCTGGCCCCAAGGTGTGCTGTGACGGGGTTCTACATGACAGTCAGCTGGGCTTCGACTGCTGTGGAAGGGATTACACAGCCAAACAGAGCCCCGACGACATCTGCTGTGGTGGACAGTTTCACAGGAAGATCAATGATTACAAGTGCTGCAAAGACAGGTAGGACAGACATAAAGATAAGTAAAACAAATTATGGACAGTAGGACAGACACAAGGACAGGTAAAACAGACATAAGGACAGGTAGGACAGACATAATGACCAGGTAGGACAGACATAAAGATCAGGTAAAACAGACATAAGGACAGGTAGGACAGACACAAGGACAGGTAAAACAGACATAAGGACAGGTAGGACAGACATAATGATCAGGTAGGACCTACATAAAGATCAGGTAAAACAGACATAAGGACAGGTAGGACAGACACAAGGACAGGTAAAACAGACATAAGGACAGGCAGGACAGACATAATGATCAGGTAGGTCAGACATAAAGTTCAGGTTAAACAGACAGAAGGACAATAGGACAGACACAAGGACAGGTAAAACAGACATAAGGACAATAGGACTGACAGTAGGAAAGACACAAGGACAAGTAGTATAGACAGACATGCCAGGACAAGTAAATTAGACAGACAAACAAGGATGAATAGGACTGACACATACTGAGGTATTGCACAGACACACAAGGATCAGGACTAATAGTCATATCTGCTTTGTTAGATTATTTGGGTTGTCAAGTTTGAATGTCATATTTTCAATGAAATGAAAGTTGTTAAGAAAATATTCATATGGTGAGGTTTAAAATAATCACCTTCATGTTAGATACACTAAAATGCCCATGTTCCTTCACCAAACAATGTATATATCCAATAATTTATTTTGAAATCTCACATTTGTTTGGACATTTGGCTTTTGTTTAAAAGCAAAAGATACTATTTGTGTAGTCCACGCACAGACACAACTAATATTACTAAAAGTTTTGATTTTGCAGGTATGTGAGGGTCCAGACAGGGGAGGTTTGCTGTGAGGACAAGTATGAGGACCGTATCACAGTCGGGATTGGGGATAAGTGCTGTGGGTCTGTACCCTACTCCTACATGGGGGCCCAAGTTTGTTGTGGGGGTAGGTATTATATCATCTATACATAAAGGTAGTGTTTCGTATCCAAATTTACTTATAATTTCATCTTGAATATAACCGACACACCTCAATCTTAAAATAAAAGTTCTAGAAACTAGAAGATGGAAGAACTCTAAAATATACAGACTGATGGACGACTTCTAGTGAATGTTTTCATGTCCCAACAGACAAGCTGTACGATGGTTACAACCAGCAGTGTTGTGGAGGAGAGGTAATATCCAATCACATGGCCTGTTGTGGCGACGCACAGGAGGGGAGCGCCTTCACCGCTCGCCCTGGCATGGAGTGTTGTGGGATGAGCTACGTCATAATGAACCGGACCCTGTGCTGTACCAGTGATACTGGCCATTCTAAGGTAAGGAATACAGAACAATACCAGGTAGTAACAAATGTATAGTTTTAACATTCCAGGTAGATTAAAAGCTCTCTTCTGTTTGATGACATGTATGCTGTACTTAATACTTGAAACATTCAATTTCTGTTTCTTATACATTATACATAAACATCTCACATGTATTGTAAGAATTTTCATTTTAACACACATTAGATGAGATATATCCAGCTACCTTCACATAAAAATGATTCGAAGTTGACATCGCATTAAGATTTGTCAGTTCACTTCTGTGATGTCAGAAAGTTACATGGTGTCAAATATTTAAAAAAAAATATACCGTACACAATGAATCCTATTTCAATAATAACAAATAAATATTTGAGAGTATGAGAAAAGTAATCAAATGCCACAAATTGTGCTTATGTAATAATTTAATTCGGCTCCTCATCGTCCCATTACTGAAAGTGTTAACATTTAACTGTGTATGATGGTAGGATTCAGAAATGTGTTCAAGTGCACCATACTGCCTTAACTACATTTTGATATTTCACTGTCAGGTTCACATGTACAAAGATGAAGATGCCAAGCTATCAGCCAATGAGAAGTGTTGTGGAATGGAGACAATTTCAAACAACTTAGACTGTTGTAACTTTGTGGGCTACAACCCACTGACATATGTCTGCGCTGACTCATCCAATCAGGAGCCAGGTAGCAATCTATCACTTTTAAATGCCCAATCAGCATGTGGTTCTCTTCGTAAATCTTTACCGCTGAATGTTTCAATAAATGTTTCTTAATACTGTGGGTTAACCCTTGTATAACACCTGGAGTACATAGCCTTATATTTGATATGAAATATCTACAAAAAAAAATTCTAGATACCATATGTTTTCAATCACTGTGACTTCCGTCATATCTAGAACATCTACCCGGGTACAATGAAACTGTCTATTAATACTGACTGTTGTCATATGCTCTGATGGTCTGATTTAGTGTATAAACTTAATGAAATGTATGACCAATATCCTTACGATAATCGTAGTAATTTAATTTTCTATGAATTGCTGTTGCTTATTCTATGAAGGTTGCGGACAAGGAACAATTTGTCCACTGTCTGTCCAGGACTTTGCCTTCTGTGACATCTGTAATTTTGACAAAGGCTCTGAGATTTGTGGGTCAGTCCGAGGCCATCATGGAAACAACCCGTCTCCAAACCCGACCCCTGACCCCACAGCTGACTGTATAGCAACAGAGGAGAGAATATATTCAGGCATGGAAATGACTTACACAGGTATGATAATATACCAACAAAACATCAGAAACTGACATTATATATAGGTATGAATGTGTGACCACCAGTGTTGTTGTCATTGATATTAAGAGTTATTGCCCTTTATTGTCCAGTCTACCATCCCTACCTTGTTGAATGGATTTCTTCAGAACTGTGCAAATATCGTAACTATTACTTGAACATGTGTATGAGAAAACTGCCTTGTTGTTTAAACCCATATTAAAAAAATGTATGGCCCTTAATGTGATTATTTTTTAAATACCCTAAATGCAATTTCACTTTCATGTGAATTGAAGAGACATTTGATATCTTGCAGTCAAAATTTTCATCAAGCAGTTCTTTTCATTAATATGTGCTGAATATCTTCTGTAACAATTAACTGTAAATTTTGAAACGAATTGAAGCATTGTCGGTAGCAATTATCCTATTTGGGTTGCACACATTTAGACTGTGAATATTAGTTCTCTAGTTATTGACAATGTTTCTACCAAACTCATAAGTTTTGTAAAGGTTCATCAGCTTATATAAATCTTATTTAGAGAAACTAACAATTATACATAAAGTAATTAGCATATGATTTTGATTAAGATGAATGAAATTCTTTCTCAGTAAATTGTTCATATTTTGAAAATGAATCAACTTCATTCTAAGCTATTTGTCTATTTCTATAGTCAATTTGGTTTGTGGTATAAGGTTCCTCGTTTTCAAGCATGGTTGCATATGATCAGACTTAAATTCCATGGAAAAGAAATTGAAAATGAAGAGGCCTGGTACATTTTGATCATGTGTGATACACATATAAATTTGATAACTAATACTTCCAGATATGTAACATTGACAAAATATTAAAAAGGACATTTTTTCAGATGATGTGCTGACCCCATACTCCACTTATGGCTATGCATTTGCGGCGGTCAATAGTGCTGGAGGCTCCACCAGTAGCTATACTAAGGTCATGACCTTACAGGCCCCTCCAGACAAGGTCAACCCTCCTAAGGTCAACATTGACCCCTCACAGCTTTATGTGATTGACCTCATCTGGAAATTGCCACAAAAACCAAATGGTCAGTTAACATGAAGACATGGGTAACACAATTGGATATCCCTGTAGCTGATTTAAGACAGTGTTTAGAAACACTACTAATGAACCTTCTGATTATCTCATATGACTACTGTATTACAAACATGCCACCATTTCACATTTTGTAAACTATAACTTATTGTGTAATAAACCGCTGTATAGTTCACTCACAGTTACAATATACATATATACAGTTTACTTTCACTTTACGAATACGATGGACATGACTACATATATGATATCACAGGTTTTATTATATAATTACATTAATAAACACTATGAATGAAATAATGATGAGACTTACCACGGACCTGGGAAGGATAGACAAGGTCCGTCCTGCTCGGCAGCATGATATAGTGTGAATTGAATGAGGGTGGTGACGTGCGTGTACGAATACGACGCACAGGGTGGCATGAGTATGTAAATACTCATGCAGATCACTCTCTCACAACACTCCACGCACAGGTTATGACACGAGTACGGGACAGACAACACATGGACAATGTGTGACTATAAGTGCAATGAGTACACCCTGTTACAAAAGTAAAGAACCAAAGTTAGCCTATTGATATTAAAGGAACATTCTTGCATATTAAATATTTTTATATTTTTCAGTACAAGTGTAATTGGTTTAAAATAATCTTCATATTGTTCCTTGTTTAATAAGAAGAAAATTTTAAATTCAAACTGGACAGCAGAACCAAAACCTTGTCCAGATCACCTTAATGTAATAAAGAGTGTATATATGTTTTTAAACTGCCCATTTACACACATACAGTGTAAAACAGTGATTTTGCAATTTTCTACTGTTCATTCTTGATATCAGATGTCAAAGTTTAAGATTGAAATATTTAGTATAGATAAAAGGAAGAATGTTTTACATGTTTAGAATGTAAGAAAATATGATATTTTTGTGCAGTTTTCCTTCTATGTCCTTTCAAGTGATATGTTTGAAATACAAGTATAAATATAATTTGTCAAATGAATAATATGTGGTAGTACCAGTACAAATTTACTAAATGTCACAAACCGGATCCTAATGGTGAGCTTCCTAACACTGGTTTCACACTACATTTTCATGGTGCATTACAGGTGTGATTACGAGGTACATCCTAACACGTGACGGGATAGAGCTGTACCGTGGTCTGGCCCAACAGTATACAGACGACACAACTGTACTACCCTACAGGTCCTACACCTACATCCTTACAGCCTGTAACACTGCAGGTTGTACAGCCAGTGACAAGGTAAGATGTTGGTTTACAGCCAGTGACAAGGTAAGACAGTTGGGCCGAAGGTTTACAGCCAGTGACAAGGTAAGACAGTTAGGCCGAAGGTTTACAGCCAGTGACAAGGTAAGACAGTTACACTGTAGGTTTACAGCAAGTGACAAGGTAAGAGTGTTACACTGTAGGTTTACAGCCAGTTACAAGGTAAGATGTAGGTTTACAGCCAGTGACAAGGTAAGACAGTTAGGCCATAGGTTTACAGCCAGTGACAAGGTAAGACAGTTACATTGTAAATTTACAACAAATGACAAGGTAAGAGTGTTACGCTGTAGGTTTACAGCAAGTGACAAAGTAAGAGTGTACTGCAGGTTGTACAGCCAGTGACAAGGTAAGACAGTTACATTGTAGGTTTACAGTCAGTGACAAGGTAAGACATTTACACTAGGTTTACAGCAAGTGTAAAAGTAAGACAGTCATACTGAAGGTTTTCAGCAAGTGACAAGGTAAGACAGTTACAATGTAGGTTTACAGCAAGTGACAAGGTAAGACAGTTACAATGAAGGTTTACAGAGAGTGACAAGGTAAGAAAGTTACAATGTAGGTTTACAGCAAGTGACAATGTAAGACAGTTGCATTGTAGGTTTACAGCCAGTGACAAGGTAAGACAGTTACAATGTAGCCAGTGACAAGGTAAGACATTTTCACTAGGTTTACAGCCAGTGACAAGGTAAGACAATTGCAATGTAGGTTTACAGCAAGTGATAAGGTAAGACATTTACACTAGGTATACAGCCAGTGAACAGGTTAGACATTTACACTAGGTTTACAGCCAGTGACAAGGTAAGACAATTGCAATCTAGGTTTACAGCAAGTGATAAGGTAAGACATTTACACTAGGGATACAGCCAGTGAACAGGTTAGACATTTACACTAGGTTTACAATCAGTGACAAAGTAAGACAGTGACATTGTAGGTTTACAGTCAGTGACAAGGTAAGACAGTTACACTGTAGGTTTACAGCCAGTGACAAAGTAAGAGTGTTACAATGTAGGTTTACAGCCAGTTACAAGGTAAGACATTTACACTGCAGGTTGTACAGCCAGTGACAAGGTAAGACAGTTGCATTGTAGGTTTACAGCATGTGACAAGGTAAGACATTTACACTAGGTTTACAGCAAGTGTAAAAGTAAGACAGTCATACTGTAGGTTTTCAGCAAGTGACAAGGTAAGACAGTTACAATGTAGGTTTACAGCAAGTGACAAGGTAAGACAGTTACAATGTAGGTTTACAGAGAGTGACAAGGTAAGAAAGTTACAATGTAGGTTTACAGCAAGTGATAAGGTAAGACAGTTGCATCGTAGGTTTACAGCCAGTGATAAGGTAAGACAGTTACATTGTAGGTTTACAGCATGTGACAAGGTAAGAAAGTTACAATGTAGCCAGTGACAAGGTAAGACAGTTGCATTGTAGGTTTACAGCCAGTGACAAGGTAAGAAGGTTACAATGTAGCCAGTGACAAGGTAAGACAGTTACATTGTAGGTTTACAGCAAATGACAAGGTAAGAAAATTACAATGTAGGTTTACAGCACGTGACAAGGTAAGAAAGTTACATTGTAGGTTTACAGTCAGTGACAAGGTAGGTAAGTGACAATGTAGGATTACAACCAGTGACAAGGTAAGACAGTTACATTGTAGGTTTACAGCCAGTGATAAGATAAGACATTTTCACTAGGTTTACAGCCAGTGACAAGGTAAGACAATTGCATTGTAGGTTTACAGCAAGTGATAAGGTAAGACATTTACACTAGGTTTACAGCCAGTGACAAAGTAAGAGTGTTACAATGTAGGTTTACAGCCAGTTACAAGGTAAGACAGTTACAGTGTATGTTTACAGCAAGTGACAAGGTAAGACAGTAAGATTGTAGGGTTACAGCCAGTGACAAGATAAGAAAGTTGCAATGTAGACAGTGACAAGGTAAGACAGTTGCATTGTAGGTTTACAGCATGTGACAAGGTAAGACATTTCCACTAGGTTTACAGCCAGTGACAAAGTAAGAGTGTTACCATGTAGGTTTACAGCCAGTTACAAGGGAAGACAGTTACATTGTAGGTTTACACTCAGTGACAAGGTAAGACAGTTGCATTGTAGGTTTACAGCAAATGACAAGGTAAGAAAATTACAATGTAGGTTTACAGCAAGTGATAAGGTAAGACAGTTGCATCGTAGTTTTACAGCCAGTGATAAGGTAAGACAGTTGCATCGTAGGTTTACAGCCAGTGATACGGTAAGACAGTTACATTGTGGTAAGAGTGTTACGCTGTAGGTTTAAAGAAAGTGACAAAGTAAGAGTGTTACAATGTAGGTTTACAGCAAGTGATAAGGTAAGACAGTTGCATCGTAGTTTTACAGCCAGTGATAAGATAAGACATTTTCGCTAGGTTTACAGCCAGTGAAAAGGTAAGACAATTGCATTGTAGGTTTACAGCAAATGACAAGGTAAGAAAATTACAATGTAGGTTTACGGCACGTGACAAGGTAAGAAAGTTACATTGTAGGTTTACACTCAGTGACAAGGTAAGACAGTTACATTGTCAGTTTACAGCACCTGACAAGGTAAGAAAGTGACATTGTAAGTTTACAGCACGTGACAAGGTAAGAAAGTGACAATGTAGCCAGTGACAAGGTAATTAAGTCAGTAACACACCAGGTTGAAATAACCTACTCTATAGCCTCAAAGTTAGTTCATTGATTTCAGTTGACCATAATAATCATAAATACTCATAATTTTTTATATCTTCACTGATGACAGGTTACTGTAGCAACAGCGGAAGGGAAGCCAGAGGATGTTCTGCCTCCTAGTGTCAATGTGCTAAGTTCTGCCTCACTTGAGGTCTCCTGGTCGCCTCCAGTCAAACCAAACGGTATTATATCACACTACACAGTCACGTTTGAGATGGAGAATGGCTTCACCTGGTCTAATACCACCATGGGAGTTTCCCTGACCATCACAGGTAAACCCTGTTGCATACAGAATTGGTAGGGTAGGGGAAACCTGATATTAATTGACCATATAGAAGCTGTGTTTGCACTGCATGATAGAAACATTCTCCTCTTTCTATCATTTAAATCAGATATATATATATGTGTACACCATATTGATACAGGCCTGATGATGTAGGCCTAGTACAGAATAACATGTATGATTTTATCTACCATTTAAGTACAATACACAGTTCTGTACCTGAAAGGGCTTCGGGCATACACCCAGTACAGTACATATTTATATAGATGAATTTTGCTGTACTTGTAGTCTTGTATTTTGTTTTGGGTTTGACTGCTGACGCCCATACAGTGTATATTTATATAGATGTTTTTTGCTGTAGACTAAGCTCTGTAGTTCTGTTTCAGGTTTAACACCATACACTCAGTACAGCGTGACCCTAGAGGTGTGCACCAAGGGAGGCTGTACTGTCAGCCCTACCGTCCTTTCACGCACTCTCGAGGATCTACCAAAGGGTAGGTACAGTTCTCCGGTATCTTACTGCCATTATATCTGTACTCATTAAATTGTTGCTGTTGTCTTCCTTATTTTGGAATAAAATACATGTGTTGCAATTGTTATTTTCTTGTTACAATAAATGAATTGAGCTTGATGTTTATTTCTTGAAGGAAAGGAAACATATGTACAATGTTATACATAAACACATTTACAGATATAAGATATAATGAAGTCCCTCTGGCAAGAATTTTTCATGAACATCCAAATCTATAACCAATATTTCTTAATAGAGAAATAATTCATTTTCGTCCACTATATATAAGATATGCTTTTTATGTTATGTAACCTTTGCAGGCGTCATACCTCCTCGAGTAGTTGTACTAAGTTCCAAGTCAACGCTTGTCTTCTGGAACCCTCCAAGAAACGCCTATGGCATAATAAAATTCTACTCCATACTGAGAAGATGGGCCACAGGGGCCATGTACATCTACTTTGGTCCAGGACTGTTTACGACTGACAACTTCCTGATGCCAGGAGAGACCTACGACTACTTCCTCATCACCGGAAATAATGCTGGTAACACTAGCAGCCACCCAAGAACATTAACTATGCCACCAACAGCCTTAGTCAACGTTCCAGCTGCAAGGGAGGTAACTGTGCTTAGTGCCACAAGTGTTTATATAGCCTGGGATGCCATTGTGTCGGGACAGATTCCAATTGATCAGTACAGGGTCCTTCTAAATGCTGGTCAGGACTCAGAGGTAGATAAGGGAGTTGGTCTTGACTTGTCTACTACAGTGACTGGACTGAAGCCAAATTTTGAATACTCGGTGCGTGTGACTGCTTGTCTAGAGGGTGTATCCAATGGTTGTGCCACAGGGCCAGGAGTGATAGCGCACACTCTGGAGGCGCCCCCTGAGAACCTGGCTCCTCCGCGTGTCAAGGCCACTGCCCCAAATGTAGTGGATGTGTCCTGGACCTCGCCTCAACAACCAAATGGTGTTATCACACAGTACCTTATATACTACAGAGAGGCTGGGTCAACAGTGGACCTCCTCATCAACAGGGTCATGGGTGATGTGATGTCTATTAGACACGCAGGTCAGGACCTCGAGCCCTACACCACCTACGAGTACAAGGTGGTGGCCGGAAACTCTCAGGGAGATGTGTCCAGCACCTGGACAATGGTGCGAACGTTAGAGAGTACCCCCGCTGGACTGACAAAGCCGTTCATCAACTCTACTGGAGCCTTTAGCTTCCATATATCCTGGCAGCCCCCTGCTTATCCTAATGGGGTCATCACCATGTACACCATACACTACCGCATCCTCACCAATGACCCTACACAGGAGGCACCACTTCAGATGGTCCAGGTGTCGGAAAACACCCTGACAACGTCAGTCAGTGGACTCGAGCCATTCTCTAACTATCATGTCCACATAACAGCATACAACAACGTAGGGAACACCTCCTCAGACAAGGTACTGGTACAGACCGCCCAGTCCTCACCGTCAGGACTGGCAGCATTTGTGGTGGAGAAGATCAGTACAGGAACATCTGTCATACTGAAATGGGATGTCCCAGGGAAACCCAATGGAGTCATATCCATCTACAACATTTATGAGGTAGGCTCTGCAATTGCCTTATACAAAGGTCTTAACAGAGAGTTTGAATTCCGTCGACTTCAGCCCTATACTGACTACCATGTTCAAATGGAGGCATGCACAGTGGCAGGGTGTACCAGGGGGCCAGTCTACACCTTCGTTACCGCGGAGACCCCCCCTGCTGACCAGTCCTCACCTACCATAGGAAACGTCACCTCCTCTCGGGTGGTTATAACATGGACAAAACCAGTCAGGCCTAATGGTATGATATCCATGTATGAGGTTTTGCGACGGTCACAGACTCGAGTGGTACGGAGAAGTCTGTCGGCCCCTGAAGTGGTGTATACAACGACAAACGTGGATCAGGACAGCTATCAGTATGTTGACATGGACCTGGATGCCTTTTCAGAGTTCCAATACAGCATCCGCTCCAGTAACTCCAAGGGATTTATCCAGAGTCCCTGGACTTCAGTGTTCACTTCACAGGCTGCGCCTGAGTGGTTAGCCCCACCCACAGTCTCATTTATTAGTGGTCACCAGGACAGTTTAAACATCAAGTGGGTACCGTCGTCCCAGCCGAACGGGATCCTGCAGAGTTATCAACTACAAAGGAATAACAGTGTGCCTCTCAGCTTCACCATCCATGACCCAATGGAGTTCAATGACACCGGCCTGCTGGCCTACACCTGGTACAGCTACAAAGTCACAGCGTGTACGGCAGGGGGCTGCACTACTAGTGACCCCACTCACTTCCGCACCAAAGAAACGGCACCCCTACTGGTCTCACCACCCTCCATCAACACATGGAACTCCACTACACTAAGGCTGGAGTGGCAGAGTCCCCTCACTACTAATGGCAAGATTAGTCTGTTTAACCTTAAAATGGACAATGCTGTGATATATTCCGGAATAGCCACTGTTTACATTCAGACAGGACTAACACCTTACACAGAGTATTCTTTTGTACTAACAGCATGTACAACTGGAGGATGCACTGACAGTGGAGAGGTCAAAGGTCGACCTGATGATGACATACCTTTAGGATTGAATGCCCCAATACTTAATGTCATAAGTTCCAAATCCATAGAGGTCACATGGGGACCTCCACAATACCCCAATGGTATTATCAGCTCCTACGACCTGAGGAGGGATGGGGAGCTGATCTATACGGAGAGCATCAGTGTGACAGGATCACTGAGGACCAGCTATGTAGACTACAACCTGGAGCCTGGTACGGAGTACTCCTACATCATCATCGCCCGCAACAGAAAGGGCAGCGTAGATAGCTTGGCCTCTATAGCAACCACATATTCTGCCTCACCAAGTGGCCTTGATCCACCAGTCTTGAGGGCTCTCTCATCAACTTCTGTCCAGGTTACATGGCAACCACCTGTACAACCAAACGGACCAATCAGAAACTATACAGTGTTTGAAAACAACAATGTAGTTTTCTCCGCTGGGCCAGAAATCCTCAGCTACATTGTGCCAGGCTTAGAATTTTGGACGGAGTACTCATTCCGAGTGAAGGCTTGTACTGAACGGGGCTGTGAGCTGAGTGGCATGACGACCGTCAGCACTCTTGAGGCTCCACCTGAGGAACAGAAGCCCCCGAAGCTGCTGGCTCTGGCAGACCAAGACGGGGCCCATGCAGGGGTACTCATTACCTGGGAGCCCCCACTGAAGCCTAACGGTATTGTTGTATCGTATGAAGTATACAGGCGACAGGTCATCAGTGAGTTAACAGGTAAGTAAGGATAAATCAATCAACAATATATTGTAGAAAACACTGCCTGTATGAATCAGTTCATGTCTTTTATTATATTAAGAATACTTAGTAGCGGGTATCAGGGTCATCGTGCCTCTGTATTCGGGGCTGAAATTTAACCTTATTCCGATTAGATTTATATGTTTTTCATCCGAATTTGAAAATTACCCAAATTTTTGATGTAAAACATTTATTGTACAGAAAATAACTTCAAATCAAAAGAGTTCTTTCACATGACTTTATTTTAATGACAGAGATATAAAATGAAGTTTGGTGTTACAGGTACCTCATACGGTAAGATAGCTTTGGTGTACAACTCCAGCCTGCTACGGTACTCTGACCTCGCTGACACCCTGTCAGCCTTCACAGACTACCAGTACATGGTCACTGCGGTCAACCGTGCAGGCAAGGTTAGCAGTGTGTGGGCAGTGGCTACCACCAAGGAAGGGCCACCACAAGGTCTCGGCCCACCAATTATAAATGTAAGTTCATACTATGATTTCACGTAAAATTTATCAAGTTCATGGTCAGTTATCTTAACCCTTTCACCACTGTAGACCGTAATCGACTCATCCAGATCAATGTATGGTAAAGCTTACTTAAGTTACATAGGGTTGAAAGAGTTAAGGTATATAGGTTACATTACTGCATCTTTAGTCCAAAAGAGTCCCATGCTAGCTAAGGAGACTTATCTCAGCAACACAAAACAGTTGTAGTCAAGTACATGTATTACATAGTAAAAGGGGAGTGTGAATGTAAGCACCAGGAATAGTTTACACTGAAGCATTTTACTGTTATTTAGAAGGAATAGCATGGGAAGACAAACACCCAAATTGTAATAATGAAAGATGTATCAAAAGACTGAGAACACCATAACACAAAGCATTTATGTTATTTGTTGGTACAGTCCACCACGGCTACCAGTATAACAATGACGATCATCCCCCCTACACAACCTAATGGAGTTATCCGCCACTACACAGTGCTAGTCAATGGTACTTTGGTAAGTTTTTACTGCATAATACCTGGCTATGTGCATCATTAAATTTGTGTATTAGCCCTGACACTATATATCAGCATGATATTTTGAAAAAAATATACCTTTCCATCCTTGTATCACTCAAGGACAATCTAAATGTACCACTTTACTATAATGTCATGTTATTGTCAGTAACAAATAGTGTTGAACTAGAGGTACCTAAAGGGACACATGTGAAAAGAAAAAGGGAAAGAAAATATTTAGATCCCATGTGGGAGTAGCAGATTAATAATGGTTTCTTCTGTGCCCTATAGAAAAGAAGAACGACCCTGATTCTGTAAGGGGCCTCACATCAGTTGCATCTTTCAATCATGCAGTGAGATACAGCGGGTCGTTTCTTTTATTACATGCTGAACCTGCACTTGAAAATGTATAAGTTACACTATATTTCAATATTTCAGTGTCTGATATCATTATGAAAAATATTTTTGAATCTTATATGTATATCATGTTTGTATTAGTGGAATATTATAAAGACAATAAAATAATATTCCAATTAAAATTTGAAGTAATCTGCCAAATAAGGACTTTTGTTTTGATTGAAAGAAATAAAAATTACATTTATCCATGAAATTTATATGATACTTTGTGAATGTAGGGGAGCAGTGGTCAGCGGCTGACTCAGACTGTAGGAGAAAACATGGCCTTGATGCCCTTCACTGTTTATGCCTTACAATCCCAGGCCTGTACTGGAGGAGGCTGTGCCACCAGTGGGACAGCCATAGCCAAGACAGGAGCCGCTAAACCCACAGGACTGGAGCCCATCAGAGTGGTGGATACCAACAGTTCAACCATCAGACTTGGCTGGTCTTACCCAACCAGTCCTAATGGGGCCATTGTCAGGTATATTTCCCACCCAATTAGTCCTAATGGGGCCATTGTCAGGTATATTTCCCACCCAACCAGTCCTAATGGGGGCAATTGTCAGGTATATTTCCCACCCAACCAGCCCAATGGTGTTTCCATTTTGTCTATTTAATTTTCTACTCAACCAGTTCCAACATTTCCATCATTGTTATCAATGGGGCTATCTTATGCTTGCTTGAGTCCAGTATTATGCTTGAACATGAAGTTTCATTCTATGATAGTTTTATTTACATGAAATAACCTTTGTAAATATTTATTTTTGAGCTATATAAAATAAGACATTCTCATTAACTACCTGTACACCTCTATATTTTACCTGTATGTTTCCTGTTGTAATAACAGGTTCCTGATCTACCAGCGGAGGGCATGTCCTCCAACAAATCAGCCCTTTCCTCAGACGTGTGTGGTTGGCGACCCCTCGATTGCCTTCGATGGTCTAGCCATAGAGAGGGCCATAGTGAGCCTACTGCCTTACACAGCTTACGAGTTCCAGATACAAGCAGAGAACGAGGCTGGCTACGTGGACTTCCCTACCTGGGTTTGGGCAGAAACAAGGCCTGCAGGTATACGGTAGACATGGAAGCATTATCTGGTATTGTGGTATGGTTTTGAAAATGTAGGATATAAGTTATAGTTGGAATGATTTTTTGTGCTCGTTCAAGGATAAAATCTGTACTGTATAAACTCCAGTATTCTTGCGCTGTTTTATTTTCTCTTGTGTGGATTTCAAAACAAGTCCAGCAATTCTTTACATCATCTCTTGTTGGAGACAAATATAAAATCTTACAAATTCGCAACAATTTGTAACATTTTAATTTGCCCACTTTTTCAAGGTGAAGGAAAGATCATAAAAAACGTACAGTTGATCAAAATCATTCATAATCATATCTAACCAACACACTGTATTAACAAGTTGCTATGACTATTTTCTTTCCTCAGCCCCACAGTATGTGAAGTTTCCGCTACTCTACATGAACGGTACAACAGCAGTGTTTGATTGGCTGCTTAGTTTTAACCTCCAGGGGGAGCTACGTGAGTTCATCCTGCTTGTGGACGGCCGCGTTGTGTTCCGTGGGGTCAGCTTCCTGCACCAACTCCCAAACATTGAGCAGGACAAAAGTAAGACACTAAATCAACATACAATAGACACTGACACTTTAAACTTAAATGGTTAAATATATTGCCTTCAAACCTGCTCATTATACCACCTCCATTATGGGAACACCTGTGTTAAGTGACCACTTTTAATGTTTCCTATTGCAGGGATTCATTGTGATTTGAGCCTGTATTAAGAGACAACCTTGTTAAAGAGATTACTTTTGGGACTTTCTGAGGATGTCTTCTAAATACAGGTTTGATTGTACAAGTTAAAATTAATACATAACCGTGATAAAAAAAGCCTGACATCCATATTTTTTTCTCATTACAGCAATGGAGTTTGCGATTGCAGCCATTACAGAGACTGGACAGGTGGAATCACCAGCAATCATCTTTGATCCAAATGCTATTGATAACATTGGCACCACCCCTAAACCTACCTCAGGCCCTGTACTCCTCGTCCAGAAAATGTTCTACCAAGAGGTCTGGTTCATCGTCCTCCTTGTACTCATCACTGTCCTCCTCATCTTTATCATCATTGCCCTCTGTCTCCGTCACATCCATGGACGCCGTCCCTACATCCGTGAGCGCACACCACTTCGTCCACGGCACAGGAAGGGGTCACAACCATTCACGTTCAGCAGTAGCGATGACAGTATATTTGAAACAGTAAGAGTCTAAACAGTAGCAGGAAGTTTGATATGACATTAACATTGTCATCCTTAATTTACCAACTGCGTAAATCCAGAAAAAAATCAACCACATTATTTCTTGTTTTCAAAATAAGATATGTTGTATGCTGAAATTCTTTTTTTTAAATCAAAGTTAAGTGTTTAAAACTCAAACAATTTCTCCTTCAGAACCATGATGTCTAGAATCAGTATATTGATATATAGTTTGCTGGGGTAAGGGTTATCAAAATAGTGAATATAAATTGATTTGATCCACTTTTAATGTCAAGTTTGAAATGTCAGAAACTTTTGCATAACCATTAGGCCTAGACTTATGATAGTTGCATGCTCATTCATTTGCTGAGATGGCAAACTATTAACCTCATCCAAATGAATGACCTTGACCCAATATCAAGGTTACAGGTGTCAAATGATTTCTACAGATTGATGAGCCTGAGAGAATGATTTTGTTATATAGCTTTATAAAAAAAACAATTAATTAAATAATTGCTGTGTGTATGAGGCCTTGCAAATTATTTTACTTGTTTTATAGCTTTCTGGGGGTGGAAAGCTATGCATTTCTTTTTCTGACATTAAGGTCAAAAGTTCAGATATGTTAGATCACTTTCTGTTACAGAGCATTGTGGATCAAGTATATAAACTAAAGTATGAAAAAAATCTTGTTTTCAGGAAATGTCTGGTAGACCTTATCATACTAGTAAGCCAGGTCACATGTTTAGCTCCCGAGGGGAGGGAGTAACCAATCCTGCATTCAGTAACAGACGAATGATGCATCTTGACTCGAGTCCAGAATCTTCTTCATCCCGGTCAAAGTATGAGGATGATTTTGATGATGTGTTGGATGATGATGACATAGATTATCTCTGGAAGAAGGGAAGAGAAAGCACTCTGGTAAGATATCCCATTACTGTAGCATATCTGGTAATATTTCAATACTGTAGTGTATATGTGGGATGTAGAAAGGATGCTTAGCAGATTTTTTTCATCTAAAGCTCTAACAATTGATAATTTGATATGAAAATGTTTACAAAATATTTTGACTACTTTAACTTAATCCTTTCTCCTGCATTGAAATAGTACAGAATCGGGATTACACTGCACACAAGTAAGTCATCAAACAACTGTTGGTTGACGACTACCAGTAGTGGCGTTCTATTTGCTCTATGTTCTATATTATTTCAGTTTGGTGAGGAAGATGATGACAGTGGGGAACTACCAGCCTATAGTATTACAAAGGAACAGACAGTGTTTACAGATACCCACCTATAACCTCATCCTTGTCATAGAGATTTATACGGGGCACATTTACTTTGATACTGTGTGTCCAGTGCCATATCCCCGACGTCATCCCCGGACTGTCACCAACCTGCCTTGTCATTGTGATTTGTAGATGGCCAGCTAACAGATACTGTATGTGCCCTGCCATTTTCCCAGGCAGAAAGCCTGATTCCTTGATACAATGTGTAACTATTCCCAGACTACTGTAGTAATGATCCTGTTCAGACGTGGTACTAGAAAGCGGGTGCCATGGGCGGCAGGCTACCACTTCAACTTTAGGAGTCTGTAATCTTTGCAGTCATGTACATGCAAGGAGGAATATCACTCTATTAAATTCTGTCTATTTTAAATCATTCATATGGATACAATTTTGCTTTCTACTAGAAATGAAGTTGTGCCTTAACTTCATACATATGTAGATTCCATTTATGATGTGCAATAGACACTACACAGTTTGAACTTGTGCAAATTTAAATTGTATTTATTTAAACACTCTAGACAGTGAAGCCCACATGTCTTATTTGATCAAAGCAATTTTGCCAATTGTAATGGAGACTTCATACATTTAAGTGAACAAATGTATCATACCTTTCAAGATGACCCACCGTAGCTATCAAACTTGCCAAGCTGATCTGTACTAATGGTGACCCAACATACTTACATACCTGTAAAGGTGACCCAATATACCTACATACCTGTAAAGGTGACCCAATATACCTACATACCTGTAATGGTAACCCAACACACCTACATACCTGTAAAGGTGACCCAACATACCTACATAGCTGTAAAGGTGATCCAGCATACCTACATACCTGTAAAGGTGATCCAACATACCTACATACCTGTAAAGGTGACCCAATATACCAACATACCTGTAAAAGTGACCCAATATACCTACATACCTGTTAAGGTGACCCAATATACCTACATACCTGTAACAGCAACCCAACACACCTACATAGCTGTAATGGTAACCCAACACACCTACATAGCTGTAAGGTGACCCAACATAACTACATACCTGTAAAGGTGACCTAACATACCTACATACCTGTTATCGTGACCCGACATACCTATAAAGGTGACCCAATATACCTACATACCTGTAACGGTAACCCAACACACCTACATACCTGTAAAGGTGACCCAACATACCTACGTACCTGTAAAAGTGACCCAATATACCTACATACCTGTAAAGGTGACCCAATATACCTACATACATGTAACAGTAACCCAACACACCTACATACCTGTAATGGTAACCCAACATACCTACATAGCTGTTAAGGTGACCCAACATACCTACATACCTGTAATGGTAACCCAACACACCTACATACCTGTAATGGTAACCCAACACACCTACATAGCTGTTAAGGTGACCCAACATACCTACATACCTGTAAACGTGACCTAACATACCTATAAAGGTAACCCAACATAACTACATACCTGTAAAGGTGACCTAACATACCTACATACCTGTTATCGTGACCCGACATATCTATAAAGGTGACCCGACATACCTATAAAGGTGACCCAACATTTCTGAAAAAGGTCAGAATCAACATTACCCATAAAAGTGTCACAACTTACCTGTAAATGTGACCCAACATACCTGTAAATGTGACACAACATACCTGTAAATGTGACACAACATACTTGTAAATGTGACACAACATACCTGTAAATGTGACACAACACACCTGTAAATGTGACACAACATACCTATAAAGGTGACCAAACTTACCTGTAAATGTGACCCAACGTACCTGTAAATGTGACACAACATACCTGTAAATGTGACACAACATACCTGTAAATGTGACACAACATACCTGTAAATGTGACACAACATACCTGTAAATGTGACACAACATACCTATAAAGGTGACCAAACTTACCTGTAAAGGTCAGAGTCCAAAATTACCCATTAAAGTGACTCAAGATACCTATAAAGGTGAGAAACATACCTGTTAAGGTTACCCAGCATACCTGTAAATGTCAGTTTTCCAATTACCTGTAAAAGTCTCTAAATTGTATTTGATGCAATGGTAATTTCTTATACTGTATTAATTTGGATAATTTATCTCATATCTGTGTTAAGCTATCTAATGTATAACAACAACCATGATGTGATGTAGATTATCTTTTATCTATTGAATTGATTGTTAATGTGACAGTGACTTCACAATGAAAATGATTGAATGACATCATATTAAACCTGTATGTGTGGAGATACAAAGTAATCACTGACAGGGGTATACGTACACCACCTTATCATATCTAATAATATGCCCAGTCAACTTACCAACTTCTCTGGTCGTTTGAACACCTAGAACCTCAAGTATTTTGTATCAATCAATACTGGTCCTTTTTGAACAGCCTGTGTCTCAGTTGTTTTGTATATTATCCAGTTATTGTCCACTCACCTTTACATGGGTCAAAGAAGTGAAAATCTTTTGGAAGTTCAACAGTTTAATTTGATGGTAGCAAACTTTTTTGATTTTATTGAAGAATGTTATTCTGATATTGCTGAAAGATTGTATTGATAATACTGAATGAATTGCAACCACACCAGAATAATTCAATGTTGTTCAATTTGTTGTATGAACCAGGTGGTAGTGCACTAGTTGTTTTTAGCTCACCAGGCCCAACGGGCTAATTGAGCCTATCCCATGGCATGGCACCCGTTGTCAACCTTTCCTTCAAAAGACAATTACTCAAGAACAGCTGAAGGGATTTTGACTAAAGGTGTGGAGCATTCTGGGCACAAAAGGGGAAATGTGGGTTAATCTTTAAACACTATTCCTGAAGTATGGGTATCAGGATTTTTACCTTATCAGGGTGTAATTCATGACCAAGGGAGTTCAATGTTTAATAAAGGGGAACACTTTCATTGCAGTTGTCCCAAAGGTGAAATAAGGACTCATTGGTCAGATTATTTCTAAAGCTTATGTGAAAGATTAATTGGCATGGAGTATCCTTAGGTCAAAGAATTTCAGCACTGTATAAATGAAGGATACTGCCCCTCTTGGCGTGGAGTAGCAAAGCAGTAGATTAAACTACTTCATAGAAGTGAATGAAATGAAATCAATATGAATGAAGGGTGTGACAAAGTACTATCGTATTTTGGCCATATCACAATCAAAGATGCTCATTCTCAACTTCCCATCAAGCTAATGGTAACCAAACTTGGTGTGAATAATGTGCTGATGGTCCTGACCAGGTTCCATTAAATTTTTCATTAATTTGGAATCAGAACTATTCTATGATTTGCTGATACATTTGCTATAAATCATCAATTCCATGAGATCAATTTGAACCAAACATCATACCATGTACCTGTCATTACTTTTATTATGGTGGTTTTTTTTTTAATTCTTTGGGTCAATAACAAATCTGAAATGGCTAAGTAAATTTCAACTTCACTTATTTAGTTGAACAAAAGAAACAGATGAGGGTTACAGGCCTTTTATATTTTATCACACCAACGTTTTAACACATCATTTATGTACATATATGTATACTGGTCACAGTAAGTTTTACTCCTGGCAATCAGAAATGACAATACAATCAATTTTAATTGTTGAGGCAAAATATCTATAACATTTACTGTGATTTCACATATATCATCGAAAGTTGTATTTATAATGATTATTATAATAGTAGATTTTTATATCTAAATAAACTTGTTTTTGTTTATGTAGATTTTATGTGCATGGCTAATGACTACAAAGGGAGATAATAAAACATGAGAAGTTAAGAAAATTCTGATATGTTATGAAGATTTGAAATATTTGATATTTTCTTCAACAGTATATACTTGTCTTTGTACAGAAGATTGAATCACAAATGACCTGTGATTGGTTTTAATGTACACAGTAATCTTTAATATACACAACCCTGAACATTTCTTTGTCAAAATGTGCAATATTAGTTTTAATGAATATTCTATGTATAAACCACATTCCACGATATATTTATTTTTATGATATTGTTTATAATAAAAAAAAAAATACAAATTATAATCAATCTTTGTGATTGTTTTGATATGGTTGTTAAATTTCTCAGCCATCTCATCTATACACTTTCTTGAACAGAATTTGGCAATATTTGATGTGGCTACCATAGATAGATAGAAATGTAAGGTGTTTATCAAAGCAGGTACAACTGTTGGCTTAGTACAGGTTATGGGGTACAATTGTGTATTGTATAGTGAGGTGGCCACCATAGACAGGTAGAAATGTGAGGTTGCCCACCATAATCAGTTGGATAATTGATCACGCTATATATATTGCTGGTGGCAGAGAAAAGGTTTGTCTTGTGACATTGAAATATTCGCTGCATAACACAGTAGTTATGTAATGGAAAATACACATATTGATCTGATGTCTTAGAAAGTACGACATATTGTGCATATTGTTATATTTCACAAGGACTTCAACCTGAGTAAAGTATACCCATTTGCACTGAAAACAGCAGCAGTCTGAGATGTCAGGTGAACACACGATTTTGGTATCGCTTTTATTATATAACTAAATTTCTTTTCTGCAACACATTGTCATCATTACCCCATACTGATGTTAAATACTTCCCAAAATCTTGAAATGGCCAACAAGGTAGACAAAACAACATCAAGGATGCAATAAAGGTACATAAGATGGCACTAAAATGTTCATAACACATTCCTGTTTCATTTTGTCAATTTTATAAATTGGATAACAACCAATTAGTGTCTGCCAAGAACGAGTTTTGGCTACTTAGGAGTTCCAACACCTTGTATTATACCTACGGTTTAATCCTTATTATTGTGAGATAAGAACCAGTTTTTGTATCACCCTTATTTGAAGTTTAGTATTACCTGTGTGTATTGTGTAACTGCTAAAACACAACATAGGGGATAGAATAGCGTAACCCGTAGGAACTGTTGGCCCTTGGTAAAGAGATGAATTTAGAGGGAGCAACTCTACAGAAGTATGTGAGTGAGCAGAAGGCATTGCAGCGAGCTGATAGAGCAGAATTGAAAACAGAGTAACAGTCGCATGCACAGAGAGAACATGAGTTGAAGATGGAAGAACTTAGACTACAGGCTTTATTTCCATAGGAAAGGAAAAACGAAAGACTGTGACTGTCACTAGGCAGGAGGAACTGCTCAATGAGAGACTGGAACTGGAACAGCAGGTAGCTGAGAAGAAACATTTAAGGAAGATGGAGCTATATCTAGCAATAGCTGAAGAGAGGAAACCAACCCAGGTGCTTTTGCATACTACTACAGCGACGGTAAAGGGTCGTAAGCTACCACCTTTTGAGGAGGGGAAAGATAACATGGACACCTACATTAGCAGATTTGAACGGTATGATGTGACGCAAAATTGAGAAGCAAATCTCGGAGCGAGCATTGGACATGTTTTTTTTGGACTTCCAGTAGACCGTGCATTATACTTCGATATTCTGAAAGCAGCACGTTTAAAGATATTTGAATTGACTGAAGGAGGGTTCAGGGAGAAGTTCAGATCAGTTAGACCGGAATTAGGAGAGACATTTACACAGTTTAGCGTTAGACTGGCTATATCTATTTCCAACGTTGGATTAAGATGACTTGAAACTAATAAGGACTTTGATTCATTAAAGGACCTCATTATCAGAGACCAATTCCTGCATTGCTGTGGAAAGGAATTGTTTTTATTCCTTAAGGAGAGAGATACAGGTAACCTTGGAGAAATGTCGAAGTTGGCAGACCAGTTTGCAGAGGCACGGAACGCTACATATGGTTTGATGACTGGTGTCGGAGGGAAACCTGCCAAGACCCAATCACCAAGCCAACGCGTCAAACTATGAGAAAACTGGAAACAGAAACAGGACATGCTACATTTGTGGGAAGCAGGGCAGTGTGCCGTACGAATGTAAGAACAAGAATAGTGGTAACAAACAGATTACATCTGTTAGTATTCATGACGAGGCTCCTATTAGCTATTAGGGCGACCAGTTTGTTACTGTACTTAGACACAGCGAAAGTGACGGCATTGTGGTAAAGAGAAGTTTGGTGGAAACAACGCAGATGACTGGAAAGACACAAGTTTGCTACTTGGTGGATAGGACTACGATTTACGCACCTATGGCTGAGGTATTTGTTAGATACACCATTCTACACTGGATTCTGTGAGGTATGGTCGTTAGAAACTCCACTATACCACCTAATCATTGGTAATGTAAAAGGTGCAAGAGAGCCAAATTATCCAGATCGAGACGGGAAAGTGGAGAGACCAGTTATTCAAGCAGTAGAGACGAGGTCACAGAGACGAGCCAATGAGAAACCTAACAGACCTTTGAAGATTCCAGCTCCGCTTCGTGTGTGGCGCAATCAGTTTAGATGAGCTGACGAGGCAGCAGCACGAGGACCATTCACTCAAAAAGATAAGAACATTCGTGGAAAAGGGGGATGTGTTTGAAAAGGAAACTGGAATTGTATCATCATACTACGAACGGAAAAGAATATTATAAAGAAAATTGAAGAATGAGAAGATTGCAGGAGATCAAGAATTTGGACATGTTATTGAGACGCTGAGAACGAGGGTGATTAAGATGGCACACGAGTCTATCTTGGTGGGACATCTTGGTATTCGTCGAACTAAACAGCGAGTTCTGATGGAATTTTTCTGGCAAGGAGTGGAGGGGGATTTCACGAGGTATTGCAGGTCTTGTGACATTTGCCAAACGACGTTTCCTAAGGGACGAGTCCAGAAAGCACCTTTAGGCACCATGCCGCTGATCGACACACCATTTAAGCGTATCGCTGTCGACTTAGTAGGGCCACTTGATCCACCTACAGAAAGAAAGAACAGGTACATCTTGACAGTCATGGACTATGCGACGAGGTATCTGGAAGCTGTTCCATTATCGGGGATAGGGACAGAAAGGGTAGCAGTAGCATTGGTGGACATATTCAGCAGAGTGGGGATTCCTTTAGAAATGTTAACCGACCAGGGCGCCTCATTTACGTCGACAGTGATGAAGGATGTCAGTCGGTTGCTATCATTTCGACGCCTTACTTCAACTCCGCACCATCCCATGTATAATGGTCTATTGGAAAGGTTTAACGGAACGCTCAAGCAGATGCTGAGACGGATGTGCTCAGAGAAACCTCAATATTGGGATAAGTAAATAAATACACAACTCTTTGCATATCGCGAAGTGCTACAGGAAAGCTTGGGGTGTTCAACATTTGAGATACTATATGGAAGGACAATCCGAGGACCCATGATGATCCTTTGGGAATTATGGACCAAGGACATTGATGATGAAGAGGTTAAGACAACTTATCAAAAGTAGTTGCTATTATGAACAGACTCGACGAGACTTGTCGGATCGCAAGTGATAGCTTGAATACATCAAAAGTACAACAACGGAAGTGGTACGATAGGAAGGCCAAGTTGCGTCACATGAAAAAGGGAGACAAGGTTTTGGTTCTACTTCCAACGAAGGCCAATAAACTCTAAACGCAATGGTGAGTTCCATTCATGATTGAGGGGAAACAAGGAACTATGAATTACCTAGTGAAAATGGACGACGGGAAAATCAAGACACTTCACATTAATCTCCTAAAGTGATATCTAGACAGGTATGTATTGGATGAATCTCGGAAGAAACGAGGGAAGAAGAATGATAGAGTAGAGACTGCTGACGCCGAAAATGAGGTATATGTAGCTTGTATAGGAGCAGTAGTGGTTGAAGAAGACAGCAACACATCTGCGGAGATGTGATACAACATGGTTGATGAGTTTCCGAAACAGGCAGGAAAGGAAACAGTCGAAGATGTCGTAATCAATTATTTACCTTCTGACCAGAAGGTGGATGTGAAGCGGGTATTGGAAGATTTTAAGGATATACTTACCAATGTTCCTGGACAGACGGATGTTGTTGAGCATGACATACTTACCATTACCAAAGATCCAGTCAAAGTCCGACCATATCCGATTCCATTAAGCACTAAGGAAACATTAAAGGAAGAAATCGACAAGATGCTTGAGATAGGAGTCATCGAACCGTCTTCACCCCCTTATGCTGCTCCAGTGGTAATCGTGAAGAAAAAGGACAGAACCAACCTGTTTTGTATAGACTATCGGCAGCTTAACCACGTTACAGTGTTTGATTCTGAGCCGATGCCGAACACCGAGGACATGTTTTCGAGATTGGCAGGATAACATTATTTTTCGAAGTCGGAGTTGACGAAAAGATACTGGCAGGTTCCAATGGCAGAATCAGCGAAGGAAAAGACGGCCTTTATCACTCCTGTAAGACTTTTCCAATTTCGAGTCATGCCATTTTGCTGGGTCAACGCCCCAGCTTCGTTCTTCAGGCTCATTAGGTAGGTTTTGAACGGATTACAGAACACCGACAGTTTCGTGGATGACATTCTGATAACACTAGAAAATTTTAAGAAAGCCTCAGCTGAGAGTAAGGATAAGTAGGCTTCTACAGGAAGTTTATCGCAAACCTCCCTGTCATTGCGGTGCCACTTACAGAGTTTACAAAGAAAGGACTTCCTAATAAGTTAAAATGGGACGTCACTCTGAAAAAAAGCGTTGACGGCCAAGCCGATTCTGAAGTTACCAGACTTGAGTCAAGACTTCATACTCAGGACTGATGCGTCCAGTACCGGGATCGGAGCGGTGTTACTGCAAGTTTCTGCCTTGAGAACGAGCTTACCCATTGGTAGAAAATGAATGTCTTGCTATAGTATGGGGTATTCAAAAGTTTGAGCAGTATTTGTACAGCAAAGAATTTTTCCTCAAAACAGACCATCAACCACTCATTTATCTTTTATCGACCAGTGAAAGGTTGATGATATGGGCACTCCTTCTGCAGCCGTATCGTTCCGGATCGTTACGATCAAAGGAAAGGACAACATAGGTACCGATTACCTCAGTCAGACTTAGATGTGTACATAGTGAGGATTCTGCAATTTTCCTGAAATATGCATCGTGTATGTTAAAAATGTAAACACTTTCTTGGAATAGGTGAATTTGGTCAGGAAGCATATCAGGATAGTATTGGGTATTTATGTATCATATGTTATTCATATTTCGTTTAGCTATTCACGGGTAAGTTATAATATAAATTAGACTGACCAGGTAAGTAATATTCACAATGTCATTATATATTAATTAGCCTTTGTTGCGCTAAGACGTGTGTCATTTTGTGAAGACCGAAAAACCAGACAGAGTCATCAGCGGTCCTCAGAAGATATGTAGATCAGCTACTGCTATTCATTGCCGCAATGTACATGAAAAAAAATCCATTAAATTCATATACTTACGTTTTGTAAATTTATTATTTTTGATATTAGTATCGGACAGAAAACCATAAAAAAGAAACAGCCAGAACTCCAGCCTACACCTAAACTTCAAGTGTTCAACTTCCACCGATCAGCTGATTTTGTTGAAACGAAAAATATATATCTAGAATCTAATAACCAACACTTGATATTCCTTTCATTTTTAAAAGTTGATCTTATTTGATATTTTCTTTTTGGCATTTGACACCGCATATTATATATTTTATGTCCGCACTATTTCAAATCATCGGTCACCATAGTAACTATCCAGGACACCCGTCGGCACTAGGCATAGAGCTCATTTGTACTGTTTGCCAAAAACCCTGCAGATGTAAATGATAATAAATTAATAGATGAAGTGCCCTGTGTCATTACAAAGTTATCTTGGTTTAATGTGCAAGTTTATGTCACGGGGATTACCCAGCCGGACGTTTGGTGTTAGGAAGTTCGTGACCAAGAGGAACCGATTGCTAGTCGGAAGTCAGTATTTGATATGACTGTTATAAATATATTTTTTTAATTTCAAATTAAGAAAATAATAATAATAGTACAATGGTTCACCATTTATGAGTTTTGCAATGTTTATAATTATTTCTCGCAACTAGGTTATCTCGGAGAAGGGGATATAACTCTTCTCAGAAGCGGTTCTATGCGTACATGTATCATGTATCCTTTAAATCCTATTAAAGGTACATCGTCGTAATTTAAACCATAGCACAAAAATAGATAATATGTAAGCAATAAAGGAGATTGGCAGACAGTTTGGCAGACACTCATTGAACAGTACAAGTGCATACTGGGTATGTTTTTGTGTGTATGTGTTTATTGATACCGACTTAGCCGACAGGGTTTTAAATTTTGTATTGGACAATGATATGTTCAGATAGGCTGGAGAACATAGTCGAAAACAAACTGTATAAAGATAGCAGGTGTCTGGTTCAGTAAGTTCAGTCAATGTATACACATGCAAATAAGGAGACTTAGAACTACATTATGTGCCTATTTTCATTATATGAAGTTTTTCCAAGTACAGTCGATTTTTTTCATATGTTGGTTGTGTCATTTTGATGTAGTCAATGATACATGTTATTGTACCGATATTATCATCATTGTCCTGGGTTTACAAGTGGTTGCAAATCCTTTAATATAAATCTTACGGTACGTCTTAAGTAAATTAGTTTGTCAATATATGAGATGGATCTTGTATAACAAACTGCACCCCTTGTATGGTTTCAATGTGACAATGACTGATAAATCCATAAACTGGTCCATAAGTCGAGCCCCGTCAATTGTAAGCCAATAAAACGCGATACAAAAAACGATGCCATATGGTATTTTATATCAGACTCTGAGCCACTTGGTTATTCAGGATGAAGTACTGATGACAGAAGCCGTGCCAATGTCCTAGTCCTTTGGGCAAGTGAGGCGAAAAAGAGAGGTTAGTGATATATAGCAAGCTTCTAGAAACTTGTTATATCCTTATGCCATATACTTAATCTTTTTTATTTTAACGGTACTGTTTTTCAGGCATTCAAAAACAACAATTCTTCAAGCAACAAGTTCAAATATTCATTTCTATATTTCTATTGTTCACAGTGATTTTTCGATCGATAAACAAACTGACAGGTTAAAGTCGGATACTTGTTTCACTCTTTATCCACCAATATAGGACAATGTTCCCCTTAAATTTAAATAAGGGTACATATGAATGTGTATGATAAATACAATTATGAACAGGTGCATTTATCAAAAATGTTTCAATGCCGATAGTCAATTTTGCTGTGTTTGATCATCAAAAAAACGTCCGATAATAGGCAAAGTTGACAGAATATCTTGCAAACTTGGCCATCCGCTTTTCCCCTCTCGGTACACCTGTATTTCCCCTTTATTGTCGTGTTGGAGGGTAAATTTGTACTCTCCTTTCCCAGCAGTAATAGCTATTGACTGTCCGTACATGTCCTGAATAACAATCTTAGCATTCTTCCAAACCTCGGGTTTTTCCTTTTGTATTTGGTCAATCGCTGCATGAAAGAATTTTCGTAAGTCCTCTTGTTTTTCATCCCCAACTGTTCCTTCATTTCCACACACCTTGACCTCCAATTTAGCCATGTGTCGTTTGTTAATCTCTGGTACTGTGTACTGGTCATTATAACCCTACAACAGAAATACTGGATTTACATTTTGCTGGATTATACTGCATGATACTTGATTTTGATTTACAGATATAAAGTCATTTATTTTCATGTATATTTGTGTTTTAATTTTGGGCTAGAAGATTAGTAGGTAATATGCAAACATGTTTTTCATTTCCATTTGAACTGGGTTTTTTTCACTTTAACCAATAGTTTGTACAAATATTTACTAGAAATAGACATTCCTTGTAGAACAATACAGAAGTGAAACTAGTTAAAATTTTATTCTAAAACTGGCATCAGGAAGTAATCACGAATAAAATCTAAACAATCAATTCTATTTTTTTATAATTAATATGATGGCATGATGCAGCACACGCATACGCACACTTTTTAAACCAATCAATAGAATATACAAAATAAGCCTGCTTACCTCAATCTTATACTGGTCCAAATTTTTACAAACCGCCATGACCTGAAAAAATCGTTGTGAAGATGTAATTTATTAATGTCATGACTTCGGAATGCTAGAAGAAGAATTACAGTCATGTCATACACAGCTAAGTGAATTTCAATTAAGAATATCTGAGGGAAAAACACAACTTAAAAAAAAATGTGGAGGGGGGGAAGTAGGCCTAGATTATCTTACATACATATATTTTACCCATGAAAAATGAAATATTACTTTAAATCAATTCCTAACGTATCCTAAAATTTCTGCAGCAACATATATATTATTACTCTTAACGCGTGTCTTTCACTGGTGAAGCTACCCATATAAAACTAATATGTAACACGTGTAAAAGTGAGTATTAAACCCCAGGTAGGAGCTTACTGGGCCGTTACACGATTTACAGGAATTCACATATCACAAGATATATTATTGCAGTAATTTGACGAAAGAAAAAAATCATTAAAATCCCATGCGAAACAAGAAGGGCTGAAAAATAAGCCACTGATGGCTTACTATCTAAATAGTAACAAAAGCCGATACGAAAAACGAAACAAGTCGTGGTTTGTTATCGTGATTTTGGGATATTATCATTGGGTGAAGTTATCATAGGACATGTCATTGCCAATTGATGTTATGACCACACATCAGAACAGCCCCATCCTAGACTTTCTTTCACTCTGGAAAACGGCAGCGTTTATGTAAAATAGTCGTTTTGAACTTGACAGCAATATCTTTCTTAATTCCCTGGGAGCATAAAACCGGTGCTGCCATTTCGGCGCTCACAGCTAGCATTAACAATTCTAGCACTGCCCAACAATGTACTCATTTACAGCTGTGTAGACTGTAACAAGGGGAGAAAAGTATCTTGGTCGAAGATACAACACATTGCCGTGCCGTATCTCGAATCCGCAAACCCTTTGGTCACGAGCTCGGCGTCCTCCCACTAGACTACTGTGCCTCCACAGGCATACATACAGTAAAGAAGCGATGGGAATCTATATGTTAACATACCTGTGAAAATCCCTCAGCTTTCCTGCACAGTTCACTCCTTTAATTCGCTTTACAAACCGAAACTGTAGATTTAAGTCCACGACCAACTATAAAAGATATTTACAGAAGCCGAATAGGATCACAGAAAACATTTATCTGAGATAATAACGCAAATCTTTTAACTTTAGCTAAAATATCGTTATAAACAATTGTATTGGCATCAATATGGATAAAGTTCTCAAACTTTTGCAGCTTCCTTCAAGTAATTACAGGTTACTAGTAGCATCCCCTGCAACCTTTTTCCTATTTTGGTCCTTATTTGGCCTCCATACATTACCCTAAAAATAAGAACATGTCATAGGCATTTCCTATTACGCAGGTTCCAAGAAAAAAATTGAAGCGTTCCAATTGAATAAGGTCCAAGTCACTTGACTTGTCAAAACATGTCTCGTGATTTGTGATATTTAACGTGATTTTGATATCCTTCCGTCAAAACAATCGCTACCAATATAGACGAGGTTCTGCCGTGTCTGTGAGTACAATTTAACATTATTTTGTATTTATGAAATATATGTAACTGATAACATTCAAAGAGGTCCTAGTAGCACTTATAATCGTTTAAGAACAGTCATTTGATACATAATTAAAATCAACTTTTTCAAAAAGGTAAACCTATAGCACATTTTGATTTTTTGGGTGGAAAGAAATGAGAATATAATGGAGGGAGCGTTCTCAAATAAGTTCCCATAACTTACTTGTAAACGTCCGTTTGTTGATGTGTGGAGCATGCTACTGTCTTATAGTCTAACAAACTTACTGAAAAGGCCCTTTATAGCTTTAGTCATTCACGTGGTGAAATTCAAATGTTAAATCAAGTATCTGAAATGCTTAGCAGTATCAAACATTAAGGAAAACAATAAGATGAAATTGTACAATGCACAGATTGTAGTGTAGTTTGGCATGAAATACAAGTTTCTCATTGTGCCAAAATGATCTCGATACCAAGATTGACCAACTGCATCTTCAGTCAATAATAATAGTCCTCGAAACCTCAGACATGGTAAGGCAATTACCATCAATTTTCTGTATATTTTCCACAGATAAGGGTTCTTAATTCGTTTTGAATATTTAATAATGAACAAAATACTCATACACTGTATTTGAAAAAATAAATAAATAAACTAATAATATTTATAGAAGCACAGTTATTTTAAAAATCTAAGACATGATTTTTGTAAATTTCATATGAATTTGCATTTTTCATAGTTTTAGTGCTTTGCATGAATACTTTCTTTTCCATTCATTTTACGTCCTCTTGTCAGTTTAATCACACGATGTATTTTAACTTGTTGTTTTTTTGCAGGAACTTGATTGACAGCATACGAATAGCTCACCATCAGACTACCGAAATCCCGTAACCTCAGCATTAAAGTTGTAGAAATGGGCAACTGTGTATTTTCCCGACCGGAAGTTGAGGTAATTACACTGTCTTCTACTTTCTGTATCACTCGAAATGAAGTATTTGATTTTTTATTAAGACAATAGATGGTTCACCCGATATTAGTTTTGACAGTTGCATGCTGGGATGAAAGCCTAGCAAGCTTGTTCAAAGCAACTATTGTCACCAATATTCAACATCACGGGGGCAAAATGCATCAAATGTGAAATAACTTCTTCAGAATAACACAAATGCCTAGGCTGTTGATATTTGGCAAGTAGCATACCTAGAGGATGCGGTATCAAATTTGTTCAAGTTAATTACCTTCATCCATATTTAAGGTCACAGGGGTCAAATGTGTTTTTGAAAAGCCTTAAAATGACTTCTTTTGAATAACCAAAATGCCGAGGACGATGATATTCGGCCAGTAGTATGTATTTGTAGCATGTTTTGATTAAGATTTTTGAATTGTTTTTCAAATAAATGATTTTCACCCATGTCAGATCACGGGGGACGAAGGTGGTAAATAACCAAATGGCCTAGAATGGTAAAGATATCTGTCAGGTAACATGCTGAGATGAAAGAGATCAAATTTGCTGAATTGGGTGACCTTCGTCCATATTCAAGGGCAAAGCGATCAATTGTGTTGGGAAAATATTGAGATACTTCTTTGAGTATCTAAAGAGGCCTAAGGTGATGGTATTTGTGTAGTAGCACGTTTTTGATAAAGAAGTCCCTTTGTTTAATTAAATGATTGACCTTCATCCATTTTTAACGTCGCAGGAGTCAAATATGTTAAAAAATCCTAAAGCCAACTTTTCCAAACAACCAAAACCCTAAGTTGGTGATGATATTTTCCCAGTAGTATGCAGGGATGAAATACTGTTAATTTTACTTTAATATTTTTGTGCATTTCACCTATGTTCAAGGTCATTTGGGATAAATGTGTGAAAAACACTTCAAACGACTTGTGTTGAACAACCAAAGAGGGCGATGAAATTCGATTTGTAGGTTGCTGATATAAATATCTGTCAAGTTGATTCAAATGAATGACCTTCACTGATAATCAAGGTCAGATAGAACAAATGCATTAAAAACATTTAAATGTTGTGGTATTTGGCCAGTACCAGGCTCGATTAAAGTCCTATGCAGTTTGTTTAAAGGGACATCACGTGAAAAGGCGGGTTTTTTTTAATGAATATATGTATTGTATGCACTTCCACTTATGTTACCTCGCTATCCCCATATTCATAGTCCGTTCCAAATGTCCAGTTTGACCACTTGAATTGTTCGGGAAAGCCCTGCTAAAAATAGCGCCGATTACCGTCACCTGACTAGGCAGTAAACACAAGTAGTGCGAGCGAGATGAAACGGTTTCCAAAGGGGCCCCCAGAGAGGGGCCGTCAGGCAACTGCAACTTCTTACCGCACTATGAAACCAAGTTATATGATTTCTAAGTCCGTATTCAAACTTATTGAACAGTAATTATTCATCATTAGAAGTTAATTGCACACTTGCCAATATTCAGAATTTAAATTTATTTAGCTTTAAACATAAATGTGTTGCCAATAAAATTAAACAAGGGATGGGGCACAAGTTTTTACAATTTATCACAGCCTTCTCCCGTCATACATTTACAATTAAATGTCAACAATGATAATAGGCATAAACATAAAGTAGATATATTTAAATATGTATTGAATTTAGTACCGGAATGTGGCCGGTACAGATGGTGCGGGGCTAAACACCTTCCCTACACCAAGGGACAAACCTTTCTGATTTTTTTTATATGTTGCCGGGGCAGAGGAGGCCGGGTATTCATATTAGTACTAATTTAAATCTTGCATGTAAAAACAAAAATAATCGTTTAATTCAGCAATATAATTAAATCATACCATTTTATTGAACCCGGTAATATTATAAATTATCTTAATCCACGAACTTCGATAACACGTATCTCGGTGACCCAGAAAATACGCCGTGGGCCATCACAACAGTTATCCCTTGGAGGACCTCATGGAAAAATCAAACTAACCAGTCACTTATTCCTTCCTTTCGCATAAACCACTGTATAATTATAGAAACACAAAGGAAACTCTATCCAATACATGCCCATTAACATATTAAACTAAGTTCATCTGTGTTCAAACTCAGACAAAGATACTAGGGAGCTTAATAGTTTTAGATATTTATTCATAACATAAACAGCGCTAGCATTTCTGTCGATTCCTTTTCAGCTTAATCGGCTATCCGGAAGAATACATGCACCGTACTAACTGCTACGGCAGTTATTTTCTCCTTTGAATACTGCCCACCTGCAATAATGATTCCGTTACGTACTCCTTGCGCTATCTTTCGACCATTTGTCAACTTTTCGTTTCGTAGCTGACACGGTACAACACTTTTCTTTCGCTTACTTCACACGACCAGTCATTTTGTTTACAAAGAAATGGTGTGCTATGCGCATGCGCTAATAGAGGGAAATCCCTGAACAAAACGTTGGTCAGACAAGTAGAAATACCGATGATTTTCTTAGATTTAATCATTTTTATGAATCTATTTCAGCCAAATCCGGTCGTTATTTTCCATAAGGAGTTTCACTTGATATGATTATGTAGTATTTGAAAAAAAGGCAAAAAATAAAGTTACTTCACCGTGATGCCCCTTTAAGTGAATAACCACCACTCATATTTAATTAAGGTCACGGTGTAAAATGCTTGCAACCTGGAGGGGAGAATACCAATATGGTGGCAACTACCCGTGCTGATAGTGGCGATAGCACGTGATCATACAAGGCCGTTACACAGAAAGCTGACTGTGGTTGGTGTTTAAACATTCGTGTATTAGGCTAATAAGAAACCACAGAACATGTGCGGTCCACTCAAGCGTGACTGAGTTTTGCAATTTTATTTCAGCGAAAAACAGGCATTTGAGCGCATGCGATTATTTTCGATGGGGTTAAATTTGCATACTTAAGTTACGGTAATTATTACTGAAATGAAATTCGTTGTTATTGTATGGGGACAATTCGTCGGGATTATAATCTTGGAAACGATAACTTAAAACCCTGTATTTTTTCTGATATTTAAGAAGTTTAAATTATAAGGCGAGACGGCACAGTGAAGGTAAATAAAGTAAGGTAAGATCGGGCGACATTTACTCACTCAATGGGTATCGTTAAAATTCGTCACGTTCTATAGCTTATATGTGATTCTAAGTTCTTTATTATCTCGCTTTCACCGAAAAGGGGGATATTAATTTGGGTTTGTCCGTCTGTCTGTCTGTCACGCTTAGTTTCCGAGCAATAACTACCACAAAAGTTAACCGATTTTCTTCAGACTAGGTCAAAGGGTTAAATGTCTGAAGGGCTCGGCTAAGTTCGATGACCACTTAAATCGGAGCCCATTTGGCGTAGTTATGGCCCCTTGAATAACAAAAAACGTCATTAACTGCCGCGCTTCGTTTCTATGCAATTACTACAACAAATGTTAACCGATTTTCGTCAAACTTAGTCACGGGGTAAAATGCCTTACGGCCCCTTGATAAACGGAAAACGTCATTATCTGCAGTTTCTGCTTACCGGTAATAGCAAATATTTACCAAATTCCTTCAAACTAGATAACAATGTTTGTGTTCCTCTGTCTTTCCACTTATCTAGGGCACTCTTTGGTTTTCGTGTGATAATTGCTGTAGATATTGTTCAGATGTTTCAACCAAATTCCGTATGCACATCCGACTCATGCTAAGTTTGCCAACCGATGTGATTTGTGCATATTTACGGATAATCAATGAGGTATAGGGCTTTTTTCTCTTCAAGTTTTACATTATGTCTCAACAGCGCGATACTCACGTGTTTAAACCTTACCTCAATAATATTTACCTACATTATGTCCTGCAAGCGGGTGATATAAATTCCACGGATTTGCTTGTTGATCGTAAACTGATACAGTTTATAGATACAATATTTGCATTAAATCTAATTACAACAAATAATTCCAGGGCCATTCCATTATTACAACATTTGATTATCTACTAAATAATTTGCTCGTAATATGTTTGCTTGATGGACAATTTTTCCTTGATTACACAATTCTTTCGTATTTCCAGATGATAGAAATATAACTAATTTAAAGGGGCATGACGGTGAAGTAACTTTATTTTTTGTCCTTTTTTCAAATACTACATAAACATATCAAGTGAGACTCCTTATGGAAAATAACGATTGGATTTGGCTGAAATAGATTCATAAAAATGATTAAATCTAAGAAAATCATCGGTATTTCTACCTGTCTGGCCAACGTTTTGTTCAGGGATTTCCCTCTACTGGCGCATGCGCATAGCACACCATTTCTTTGTAAACAAAATGACTGGCCGTGTGAAGTAAGCGAAAAAAGAAAAGGGTTGCGTGTCAGCTACGAAACGAAAAGTTGCCAAATGGTCAAAAGATAGCGCAAGGAGTACGTTACGGAATCATTATTGCAGGTGGGCAGTATTCAAAGGAGAAAATAACTGCCGTAGCAGTTAGTACGGTGCATGTATTCTTCCGGATAGCCGGTTAAGCTGAAATGGAATCGACAGAAATGCTAGCGCTGTTTATATTATGAATAAATATCTAAAACTATTAAGCTCGCTAGTATCTTTGTCTGAGTTTGAACACAGATGAACTTAGTTTAATATGTTAATGGGCATGTATTGGAGAGAGTTTACTTTGTGTTTCTATAATTATACAGTGGTTTATGCGAAAGGAAGGGATAAGTGACTGGTTAGTTTGATTTTTCCATGAGGCCCTCCAAGGGATAACTGTTGTGATGGCCCACGGCGTATTTTCTGGGTCACCGAGATACGTGTTATCGAAGTCCGTGGATTTACATAATTTATAATATTACCGGGTTCAATAAAATGGTATGATTTAATTATATTGCTGAATTAAACGATTATTTTTGTTATTACATGCAAGATTTAAATTAGTGCTAATATGAATACCCGGCCTCCTCTGCCCCGGCAACATATAAAAAAATCAGAAAGGTTTGTCACTTGGTGCAGGGAAGGTGTTTAGACACGTACCACCTGTACCGGCCACATTCCGGTACTAAATTCAATATATATTTAAATGCATCTACTTTATGTTTATGCCTATTATCATTGTTGACATTTAATTGTAAATGTATGACGGGAGAAGGCTGTAAAAACTTGTGCCCCATGCCTTCTTTAATTTTATTGGCAACACATTTATGTTTAAATCTAAATAAATTTAAATTCTGAATTTTGGCAAGTGTGCAATTAACTTCTAATGATGAATAATTACTGTTCAATAAGTTTGAATACGGACTAAGAAATCATATAACTTGGTTTCATAGTGCGGTAAGAAGTTGCAGTTGCCTGACGGCCCCTCTCTGGGGGCCTCTTTGGAAACCGTTTCCTGCCTAGTCAGATGACGTTATCGGCGCTATTTTTAGCAGGGCTTTCCCGAACAATTCAAGTGGTCAAACTGGACATATGGAACGGACTATGAATATGGGGATAGCGTGGTAACATAAGTGGAAGTGCATACAATACATATATTCATTAAAAAAAACGCCTTTTCACGTGATGTCCCTTTAGAAAAATAATAGGACTATTGTTTATTTGAATAACTTGAAAATGAAATCAAAAACGAATTTTCAAACGGAGTAAAGCTATTCTAAGGAGTTTGAAAACTGTGTGAATAAACGGAAATATGTATGTATGGATTAGAATCATTTAAAGAAACCATGCTTTTGAGGTGAGAATTGGCAATGCCCTTAACAAGTATTCATGCATCAGTTTCATAAATGTTTCCTTATCGTAAGGAAATGTCTTATGTTTCTTTCCGCATGATAGCATTATTGGAAATCTAGTTAAAGAAATTTTCCTTAAATTTTGAAATGCTTTACTATAATATAAGATAATTAAGTTAAGGAATTTCCCTTATTAAGGAATGTTCATAAAACTTGTGGCTATGAGAATGGTACCCTATAGGGGAGCTGTATCTGCACCACCCTTTGCAATATATCGATAAATTACATCACGTCAGATCTAGAGAAAAAAAAGTGAAAACGTCGCAGTATGCAGATTTTGGTGAAATATGTAGGTATATTAAATACATCTGGCAGTCCAGTCGTTATGCAAAAAAGCATGTAAAATGTATCATCCGAGCTACTCAAAATCGAACACTAGTGACAGACTTTGAGCCTGAAAGCAAAAATTGTATCTTCAGTTTCCTTTCTTGTTTTATTTTCGGCATTTTATAAATTACTTTTCAGGCTTTTAACTTTCAAAAAACAATCGTTCACTTGTGCTTAACAAAAGCTTAAACATTTCAGCCTTCGTCATATATGTATTTCCCTCATGACTTATTTTTTTCTTATGTTTTTAAATGAATATACAGAGTTAAATATCTTTTAATCCTTACTTTAAAAGCAAAATAAGATAATAAAGGAATTGGTTAGGGACTATATATTTATCACAGATAGGTATATTTCACTGTTATTTCAAACATTTTCTTCATTCTTATTTTTTTTCTTCAAAATATAAGGAGACACTTTTCAGTGTTTTGAAGATGTTACATTTTTATGATTGACCAAAAATACATTATTTTTACTTTTATTTAATTTGCACCAGCATAAGGCAGATGACGGTATTGACCCCCATGTAAATAACTCATAAGTCATAGTGCTCTTTATTAGTAAATTGGAGTCTAGTTTTTCCCTATCAATATGCGAGCTCCTTTATACATCTTTTGTAATGTACTGATTAAGTTTAATTAATTAATATCTTTTAAAATATATTTGATACATCAGAGTATTTAGAAGTAATATTTCCCCAATACATGATATAAATGAAAACTGAAATTTATGTACATCACTGTTCTATTTGAATTTAATTGTAAACAATATATTGATGTTAAGTATTGATTTATCGATAAAAATATTGAATTTGATGTTTATGTCTTAGTTTTGGTGCTGATATTATTCTTTTGAAACTTATGCAAGTTAAATAAATATCATACCTTTTTACCTGTAAAATCACAAGTAAATCTACAGGTAAAAAAGCTCAGGTAAATATAGAACATCTATGATACAAACTATAATTACCCTCCCTTTGAAGTTTCTCCCTATGGTTCTAAAGATGAATACCCCCTTGGCATGCGCTGACGTTACCTGTATAACAATAACTGTATTACAAATATAACGATTGATCGGCATGTAAAATCTTGGTTAACTAGGTATTCATTATTTAGTGTATTAGTTGTATGTTTTTGTAATGAACATTATAAACAGATTGAGGATTATTAAAGTATTTTTTTTTCAATTTCTGACAGGGTGGAGAGATTCATTACCAACACGTAAGTATTTTGTCAATTACTAAATAACATATATCAAGTTTGCATGATATCGATTTTATTTAGTGCTAATTATCATGTGACTTTTTAAAACTTTGAATATAATGAATGTCTATCGAATACTCCTTTTAGTGTTGGGAAAGTGTAATCAATTTAAAGTAAAACAGTGACATCATTAGCCTCCTTATGCATGGGAGGTATGAAGAATTTAATTAGGAGAAGTAAGAATATTTTCAAAAAGTATCTAGGCTGAGATAAATGATAGGGTGTATATATATTTCATATGCTTCAAAAATCTTGTGTAGTTATAGCGAAAGTACTAAAAGGATTATATATATAACTAGATGGGAAAGGTAACTGATACTAATTAATTAACAAAGTATGTGTAATTGTTTCATTTTACTTATTTCATAGAAGGAACTCCATCTTGCTCCCAGTGTACGCTAAGAACAATTAAACATACCGTCTTATCTGTGTGATTTATGTTAAAGGTAAACTAAGTTCATTGGAATAGCATGCTCTGTTCTACTCAGCACTTGGAATGTGACCCTACTTCCATCTGTCCGTTCTCCCCCATTGTTTATTTTGTGACAGTAAAATAAGTAAACGGCCATGCATGAATTGACAAAGTGTAATGACAGTTTACACTTTTTACAAAATGTGTAAAATGCCCACTTTTAATTTGACAAATTTTCAGACAGAACCCTTTCTTTTTTCACATATTTTAAACAATGGTTTCTTTACACACGTTCCCTGCAGGTAGGGCGGCGTAAGAATTGTACCTGCTGCCCCAATTGCATGATCGTAAGAGGCGACTAAATTTGGGACCTTATCTCTTCTCTCCTTTCTAAATAACTTTCTTCTTCCTTATGTCTCCATTGACAATGCCTCACTTTTGGCCATTTGTTGAGCGTTCGCCCCTGTGAGGAAGGCTTTGGGTTCTGTCCCCTGGCCGAGACATACCAAAGTCTTTAAAAATGGTAGTTTCTACTCCTGCTTAACGTTCAGCAAATTAGGAGTGGGACGACTGGTTCACCCGTTGTCAGTATAATGTGACCGGGTGGGGCGTCCTGCTGGGTGTCTTCGGCAGTATGTTTCAGTGAGGTAGCACTATAAAGTCGGCATCAGTTCCGCCCTATCACAAGGAGACAAACACGAACATATCGCAGCCTCCAAATACACACACATACACTACACGCATGCATCTTGCACACAGGGGAGGCCGTCCTTAAATGACCTTAGCTGTTAATAGGTCGTTAAACAAAATCAAACAAACAAACAAATTCTTTACACACATATGCTCATGATCTCAGGTTATACAGACTTGTGGCTTTACCTCTCTTGCATGTATGAGAGACCGCAGTGGCCGAGTGGTTAAGGCATCTGACCGTCTTGATTACTTAGCCCTCGACTACTGGGTCGCGGGTTCAATGCCTACGTGGGGCAGTCGCCAGGTGCTGGTTGTAGGTGCGTGTTTTTTTCTCCTGAACTCCAGCTTTCCTCCACCAACAAAACCTGGCACGCCTTAAATGACCACAGCTGTTAAAAGGACGTAAAACACAAACAAACCAAACCAAACCAAAATTTCATGTATGTCCCCTTGGCTAACCAAAATATCATTGCGCCTGCGTGCAAACCTGCTTTATACCTATAAAAATGTTCTGATACTGGAGCTATAGGTTAGATGAATGCATATAATATTATAACATTCTAAAGGTGTCTTGTTCAGTTTTAAAGAATGAGATACGCATGGTCCATAAAGGATGATTACAACAATTATAGCTGTGGGATTATAACTAGCGGGAATACTTATATGATATATATCAAAAGAGTCTTTGAGTAATTGCTAAAAGGTATATAAGATAAACATTTTAGAATATAACTGGTGGAGTCATTGAGAAAGTACTGAAGAGATTACACTAATTGGCGTCAATATAATGTGTACATTGTATAACGCACTCAATTGCGACAATTTGTATCTTCTCTGACCAAATGGAGTTTCGTGCGGGATGCCTCCAATTAATGCTCCGGTATTATCTACTTCAAATTGCAAGTTCATTTAACTCATACAGATATATGATATTTCTGTTTAATATTATGTTAAAATGTCATTGTTCTAGTTAAGTTAATTAAATAATAAGATCTATGTGAAGGGATAAATAAAAATAATAAACGTGCTTTGTTTGTATGTTTGATTCGCCAAGGCCTGCTTAAAATGTGTTTTGTAAATTTTTTACAGTTTTTATTGTATGTCATCGGAATCGGTCTGAAGATAAAGCCATGACAGAGATGGTTTGGTCTGGTCTGGTCTCATTGGTCTGGTCCCATTTTTTTGTCTGATCTGGTCTCCACGATCAGAGACTATCTCATTTCTTTCTATTCTATGTCTTATTACATCTCTTGATAGTATATCGATCAGTAATTGGCGATAAATTGATATCTAGTTCAATTAAATCATATAAAACGAAGCATGAAATGAAACCTTAGAAGAATTGAAATATGGGTGGTGGATTTAGTAGCACCAGGAAAAAACTTATTGTTGATACAAACGGCCATACAAATTTATTTTTTCCCTGCACAGCATTAAATAATGCCATATGTAAAGTAAGCCCAACCTCCCTCATCTGGCTGTCAACAGTGAAACGGTTAACATTTTAGGGGAAACATGAATGTTTTAAAATTATACTAAATATTTATTGTTGTAAAAAGTTATCCTGGCTAACTCATCTCTACAATAAACGATAGAATTTCTCAAACAATTTGCCACCCTTATAACTCCCATTTACTGTAATACAAAATATTGAGGATAAAACAGGAATAGTCACATCTTTTTCTGTCAGACGAGGTAACAAAAATTTACAAAGACTGTAAATATTGAAATATTACAAGCTTTACTTGATACAAAAATCATGTAAAAGGGGAGGTAATCAATATTAAAACTAAGTTATTTGACTTTTTTATAAAGGTATCTCGTTGGAATTCATGTCTCAGTATACTCCATAATTGTATTGCTTTTATACATCTAAAAAATAACTATATAACCTCCAGCTATTCCGTAAGAGTTCTGTATCTGGATTAACGGTCTGCTTTCGTTAGCTGAGATTATCTGATAAAAAGGTGACGTGATCTGACTAAATTGGAAAAGTTCTTGTCCGACGCGAGACAAAAGCCTCGCTGTCGGACAATATTAAGCCAAAACCATATCGATATAATTTGTCCATTTACCCTTCATATAAACTATACATAAATGTTCTCTTTTTTCCGTCAACAATGCACACTGGCGAAGATTCACAAATTTGCCCAGCTTAGCCAATACAACATTCCCAATGAATAAATAAATACGAAATGATGAATACGCCGAATCCCTAAAAGTTCATAATAATTCCCAAGTAAATTCTCTAATGAGGTCTTAAGTCTACATAAATCATAATATCTCCTCAATTCCATCTCAAACGGTCAAGTTATAACAAGTTCGATGTAAAAACGTCTTATACCTTTTATATACCAAATCAACTGACGTTTATGTTGTTGTCTTAATAAAGTTCTGATCTTTACATGAATGCAGTTTAACCGAATTCAATAAAAATCAGTTATACAAAATATCTTTATTTCGTTTCACGTAACTATTATGGTAGTGTGCTTATATATTGAAAAACATGCATATACACTGATCGTATAATGAAGTTGGTTTTATTTCTCTGACAGGGTGCAAACAGAGAGAGACATCATATTATTGTAAGTATGTTGGCAATAACTTGATATGTGTGACATATCAATAATTCACGATACCGGTTGTAATATTTATCAAGAGGAGGTGTTTTACGAATTTCATTATAATAATCACAATTCAATTTTGTTTAACTTTGTCTTACTGCTTGGGTTTGAACAAAAGTACTATTCATTACGTTTTTGCCAGTGAGATATCTTGGTCTATCAACTTAATAAAGCTGATATCAATTACACTGTTACTGATATCAAAAGTGATATTTTCATAGTGTGGCAATATCACTTTTCGAATTGACCAATCAGAACAGAATTTTCTAATAACTTCATGAAAAGCGGCAGATTTTCTGTTCAGATACAGATGAAGTGGCGGTAAAATGAGTGGTTTCTTTGTTACTTTTACCGAGGTGTTAATTTACCTACACAATTAATACCATTTATGAAAGCAAATCTTACCAGACAATAGCAGTAAACAGTAGAATTTTGTTGAGTATGTCATTCGAAGTTAGAAATTATAAAGTATTCAGCAGCAAATAATGCTTTTTTCCCCTTATTTATGTGATGAATAATAATTTCATTGTAAACTAAAAGAAACAAATATAATTTCAGACATAATGATATTCGTAGAAGGAAATAACTTTCACTTCAAACAATATTTTGTAGATATCTAGATATACTTTAAGAAAAGTTCAATGAAAGTCAATTGAAAATTGTATTGATTCCAATTAATTTTTACATTCGTTTTAGTTTGAAATATATTTTTTATTATTCGCAAAGGATACACATATTGATCACCATCTAACTAAGTGTAGCAAAATAGGCTTGGGAATATGTATTTACTTACCATCCTTGGGAATGAAGAAAACAGACTCCAGGTAAAACGTTTCACCTGTGATATTGACTATAACGGTGCATTGACCAATGATTTAATATCAATAAAGGTTTGTAGGTATTTTGTTATCACAATTAAGTTATAAAGGAATGACAAATGATGAATATTATAAATGAGAATGTTTTGTGCTAAATATTTTTAACTTTTGAATATAAAGATAAATCTTCTTTCTTTAGTTGTTATTCCAATAAAAAGAAAACATGTCTCAAGATAGCAATATATACTTATTGTAGGGAAAAGATGTCCCACGGGAGGTACATCATTTAGAAGAAATCAACTCTGATACGATTGATGAGATTTTGAACGACTCAAAATACTTTCAACATAACTATAAAGGCTCTGACGATCCTTTACGCAAACTTAATGAGACCAATATCAAACTTCTACAAGAGATTGCATCGCTAATACGTCATCAAAGTCAGTCGTTCAAGAGAAACCTTCAACTGCGTATCAAGTTATATGACGGAGAAGGCCTAACATCACGTCGTGTAAAGTACCTCGATTTAGTATCTGGAACAGGTGAAAATGTTATGGAATGTTATCGAAAGGAGGATGTGACTGTGAAGGTAAAATTGCGTTGCTGCGCATATCATAGCTGTTTGTAAGAAAAATTATATATATTATGAAAAAATCGTCGAAAAATGAATTACAACAAAAAAAAAAATCAAAGAAATAAAGAAAGAAAGTGGAAAATCTCTCATTTTATCATAATTCAACAAAAGCGATGCTACCTTGATTGTTGCTGTGTTTGATCTTTCACCATTCTATAATTTTTATAGATTTCTAAGCAATACCGTAATGTTTGGTACTATGCTGGCCAATTCCATAAGCAAACTAGCGATAATGAAGTGAAACAGCTTAGTGGGTATTAAAATATTTATGTTTTCTTTATGAAAACAATTAAATGTATGCATGTTTGATTTGAACAAACTTGTAACTACAAAAGTAAGAGATACAAATTACAAAACATTTCAAACCAACTCAAATTATTGATATTCTTATTTGGTAATATGCTTATCAATCAAGAGGTATGCTGATATACTGAATGTATAATGAGACTTTTTATTTCTTATAGTATGTGAACAGAGAGGGTAAACTCCCAGAAGTAAGTAATAACACATTAAATGCCGGATGATATTTTCTAGTTAATAGATTAGGATGGTGATATTTAAAATCTTCATTGCGTTTAATTTTGTAAGACAAGTCAATTTTACTGAAATCACTTTTTATATATCCGTAAAAACACGATTGTTAAGGAATTTTTCTCGCTTATAATTATAAATAAATTCAATTAGATTAGTTAGACTTTTATACATCTTTAGTAAGGTAAGTTCCCGTTGCCTTACCTATTAAGCCGATATTATCGTCACTTTGCAAGCTATTTCAGGTGAAATACTCGTTATAGTTTACAATGTAATATAAATATCATCCATTTATCAAATCAGGAAAATTGATGAGAATAGCATCATTCAGGGAAATTAACATTTGATAGAGTGCTTAGAGAGATGTCAAATTAAGTAGTTGTTGCTATCACTTGTTCCCCGTTTTTCCATTTTAAATTGAATATCTTTTTTAAATCCCACACAAATGTTTCTTAATCAGCAAATTTGAGTTAAGCAGGATTTTATCATTTATTATTGAAAAATGACACTATTGAAATAGCGGAATATCCTTTTATCAAGATATTTAAAACCTCTAATCTCTCGGACAAAGATGAGATGCTCTACAAGATGCAACAAACGATAACTCATAATCTGTTTTTTCAAGACATCTCAGAAATATATATATATATATAATAAAAAGTGACTAAATGTCCATGTGAAGGAAGTAAATATAGAAAAAATATTAACGACCGACTAAAAAACTAGCTGCTTTCACCCTTCACAGGGCTCTTCAGGTTTTAAACGTTAGGTGAAAGCAGCTAGTTTTTTTTAGTCGGTCGTTAGTTTTATTTTATATATATATATATATGTAGAAGTTGTTATGTGTGTGTAAAAGTCGAAGTTGTTTTCCAAGAATCTCTTCTCATAAAGTTCACTTTGAACAAAATATTATTGGACATATTATCAGATTGAAAGCTATGACATATTGGACAGTTTTTGTTAATCTAAATGACTACGAAGTTCATTTGGTTCTCGATATCACATTCTTAACATAGTCTTATTTCCTTATTACATTTTTACGTATCTAAGGATGTATAACAATAAGAGCTGTTGTTTATTTCCTTATATGATGGACGTAAATAGTATGGTATCCTGTATAGTGTAAGGTAATTAAACATGTATACAGCAGAGAAGTGGTGGGACAGTCTACCTTAATCGATAATAGATAGTAATCAATAACTGCAAAGGGTGGGTCTGGTAAACTTTCACTAATTTTTTGAATGTAATAATATAACTATATCCACCTTACGTAACAAATATATTCCCCGTTATTATTGCACAAACCCAAATATTTATAAGTTTAAAGGTCTTTTATCATTATGCAATCAACGAGTTCTGACAGGTTTATCTATTTTCCTAACCAAAATGGCTCCTCTTTTGTGAATGATGCATATGTATAACTGTTAATAGTTAAATAACTTGTGAATTATATGTATGGTTGTTTTTTATGTTTGTTTTGTATTTTCCATTGTATGTCATATCATGTTACTATACCGTACCGATTCTAAATTGAACTGTCCATTGTACTTCATTTTCCATATCTGCAACTTTATTTCCTCATGTAACACATATTATGTGTCTGAGTGTCAATACAATCTTGCCTTGTATACATGCATGCACCTGTCCATCCTGTCAAAATTTAATATATGAATTCATGTACATGTACCTCATGTTACACATTTTCATGTGTCTGAGTGTTGGAAATAAAATCTGAATCTGAAATCTGGTAAACTTTCACTAATTTTCGTCAATAGTTTCACCAATGTAAAATGTTGTCATAGGTAACCAAGCTTCAAGATAAAGCCAATTCTTACCACTGGTCATGTTATAATATAGTAAGATCTACTCATTATGTTTAGATAATTGTATTGCAAGAGGTTGTGTTTTACCTGTCTCTTCAAACCACAACAAAGCTTGAAATATTACTTAATGCATTTTAATCTTCTTTATGTCTTTCAAGATTTCATCGTTTGGGTATATAGTTCCTGAGATATCGGTTTTGTACATCAACCAGATCTTGAATGCATCCGAATTCCTTGAAAGCGAAGATGATCGAAGAATGTTACAGGAGGTTTCAAGTCGTGTAGCAAAAGAACCCCTTTGGAAAAGGAAAAACTGTGAACTTACTGTTATTCTTCACAACATCAATGGCCACCTTCACAATCGTGTGAAACATATTGTGATCGCAGCAGGTGAAAAAGAGCACAAAATCCAGTGTTCAAAATCCACAAAAGAAGAAATACACTGGGAATGTGAGGAGAGTTTGAATCTAGATGATGTGAGTATTTTAAAACTAACATGCCATAAACGTTTATTTTGCCTTACAGTATGACTGATGTCCTAGAAGAAATCGTTGTATACGATAATTCAGTACTGGAAATGCGAACTACAAATATTTCAAAATAAAGTTAGTCGGTAAACAAAGAAAACATGTTACTGCAGTATAGACCATTCCGTCAATTGAGTATTTATCTGTAGTACTAAACGCCGAAAATAAACTTATATTCGTGTAGACTTTGACCATTGCATATCGAGAAATTATTCCAAAGCTAGTGTGTTAGCTCACTTAATTACTGGTACTGATATTTTCTTTTTCTTTTTTTTTAAGGCACAAAAGGAAACTTACGAATGTGAAATGATAACAACTGATGAGATAAACAAGATTTTGGAACAATCAAAATTCCTGAAAGAAAATCGGTCTCACCGGCAATTCGTATCAAGCGATGTTCGCAGAGCGATACCGGCAGAATGGGAAACGGTCCGAAAAAACTGTACGCTTACTATCGAGCTGGCACCTGATGAAGGTGCCGCCAATATTCCTATGAAGCACATCGTCATCAAAGCCGGAAATGGTGAGAACACAATACGTAGCTCAAAAGACAATCCATGGCACATCAGAAATCAAACTTCTGGCGCCGCCTTCGTTCATGGAGTTTCGACAGCGTACAACAATACTACTAGTGGTATCTTCAGCGTTGGTGCGCGATTTGCCAACTATATTACAGGTACTGCAATGCAGGCGTTAGGCTATACATAGAATTTAACTTCAAAGTAAAATTCTTGAATTCAGAAAGATTATATTTTACATGAGAAATTGAAGGAAGCCATCGTTCTTCACTATACAACCAATTCTTTGTCGTAAGGTTATCATAACAGTACTGTTCAAGTGCATCAAAAGGCCTGTAATTCTTTTCATTTCTTTCTACGTTTTATTGACCGAATCAGGTGACATGTTTAATATTGTATTAAACAGCGACTAGAGTCCTTTAAATGTAGAGAACGTTTAACTTTAAACTTTCGTACATAAGCCAATAACGTGAGACATACTTAAGGTTTTTTTCGTCATATAGACCTCTTAAATGACAAAATATCATTAAGTCCGTTTTTTAAAATCTTTGCTGTAAAAGCATCATCATATAATTTGAAATATTCTCTTTGAATCATAGCATCCATGAATTCCCGATGCATAGACAAAATCGTAGCATTTTTCTTTTTTTTTCGTTTGTTTTCCTCGATCAACGAAGTAAACAAGGGATATAGAAGCGGTTCATCTGTCTAACTAACTCTGTTCGTCCATTTTGGTATATATGATGCACGATATTTGCACTAATGATGCAGCTATGGCCGCACTACTTTATGCATGTTGATCGGACGCTGAATTTGACCTGCATTTACGGTTCAGTGGACTTGGTCAAGATGCCACAGTCTAATTCACACATCGGGTTAAAGGTTAGGCAAAACTTTTTGTCCATAATTTTGTCGATAATGCTTGCATCAAAATATCAGGTAGGATCTTTCTGCATAATAAAGATGCCAAACTTGACCTATATTTTAAGCTGATGAAAAGGTCAAATTCATGACTCGTCTGCTGGTCTATGATAGCATCCTCTTGTCATAAATTGTTTTACTTGAATTGAATTGAAACGCATTTTTTAAACATTTCTGTTTAGAAGGTTTATCTCATGCTGTTTAACGGGAAGGTAAATGTTGACTAAGATACATAAATAACAGAGATGAATTTCTGAATGTAAATATCATGATTTGTTTTGTTCTTAAATTCGATTTTTGTTTGTTATTTTTGTTTGTAACAACAGGATTGTAAATATTGTCAAATAACTGGAGATGATGTTCCAATTACCTACACAATGAACAGAGAGGAATTGTTATAAGTTAATATCTTGATTTTTTTCTCTATATATATGTATTTTTGTTCTCCAGTATTTACTTTCCCAAATGTTGACTAACAAAACGGGAGACGATGATCCCAATTTTATACACAATGAACAGAGGAAAATTTCTATAAGTAATTATCTAGATTTGTTTTATTTTCATTTTTCACATTTGGTTTTTATTTCGTCTAATATCTTTGTAATGACAGAGATGTAAAAATAACATATAACTAGAGGTAATGATTCCAAATCACTACAATTTGAAAAGAGAGGAATATTATTTCGTTTTTAATTTTATTTGGCTGTTTGTGCAAATGTTGACTAACAACGGGTGGTGATGCTCCCAAATGAACGGAGAGAAAATTCAAATAAGTTTATATTTTGATTTGTTTTGTTTTTGTTTTTCATAATTGATTTTTTATCTACTTGTTTGTTTTGTTACAATGGGAAATTAGGTTCTGAATATATGCAAAACTAACAAAGATGAGTTTCTTTTAGTAAACATTTTCATTTTTATTTTTTTATTTATTTTTTGTGGGTTTCCAAATTTTATCCTTGTATATGTTGACGCCATGATATTTGTTATCTATTTCACTCGTAGAACAGAACAAATCTTTGTTCTCCGATACATGTGTAGTGTAATATAAATAGAAGTTTATGACCATTTATAATAGATTATGCTTTGTTAATAGTAAAATAATCTATTTCCAGCAAGCGTGAAAACAAAAACACATGAGTGTCGACCTGTTGTTTTGGTAAAAAAAAATCATTGAACGTGTAATCTGAAACCTGTACCATCTGTAAATATGTACAACTAGTTCCCCGTGTAAACATTTTCGTGTGAAATGTCTTTTCGGAACAGAACACAATCTCGATGCTTTATTATTAACATAACTCTGTGTACAATATATGTATCAATTCACATTTAACATTTATGTATACATGCATCTACTTTCAGTTTAGTGAATTATTGTTCTTTTCCCAAACGAAATTATTAAAGTCACGAATTTAAAGTTCTGTTTTTCATAATAACCGGAATGGGATTGGATGGGATCTTGTGTAACAATGTATCCAGCGATGGAACGTGACGTTCACAATTTTCTGTTATGTAAGAATTGAAAGGCATTTTTTAAACATTGGTTATGCAACCATTACGTTAAACAGACTGCCTGATTCGCGGAACTGTGTTATATCGTACAAGTTAAAAACATTTTAGTCTTAATGTCCATGTTCAAAATACAAAGAAAATTGCATTTCAACTTCCTGTATGGTTTATCTTGGTTCATAACACATCCTAAACAAACTGATTTACCAAACGGAAGAAGCGCTATTTTTATCTATGGTTGCACTTATCAATTGGAAGCCGTTTGGGATTATTGGTCTTCATTAGAAATTGACGTCAGACCATGATTGGTCCCCGACTACTTCAAAAGTTTATAAGCCTGAACAGTTTCAAATTTAAACACATTCACTTGTAATATTTATTTATTTTTTATTCTTCATTAGGACAACATTTCTATTGAGAAGTTTGATCTAAGGCTGTTTAACGGGAAGGTAAAAGTTGACAAATAACGGGATGTGATTTTCTGATTATCTACACAATGAACAGAGGGGAATTGTTATAAGTTAATATTTTGATTTGATTTTTTCTTAAAACTTTTCTTAAAACTGAAGTTGATGATCCCAATGGTATAAACAATGAACAAAGGGATTTCTATAAGTAGACATCTTTATTTGTTTTTATTTTAATTTTTCACATTTTTTTTAATCAAATATTCTTGTAACGACGGACATGTAAAATATGACATATAACTGGAGGTAATGGTTCCAAAAAAATATACTTTAAAAAGAGAGGAATATTGATTCGTTTATTTTTTTTCATTTTTTCATATTTTTTTTTGACAACGGAAATACAAATGTTGACTAACAACGGGAGGGTATGATACCAATTTTATAACAATGAAAGGAGGGAAATTCAATATCTTTATCGAATGTTTTCTTTTTCTTTTTCATATTTGATTTTTATCTGTTTGTATATTATGTTACAAGTAAGTTCTGAATATATGTTAAACTAACAAAGATGAATTCCATTAGTAAACATTTCCATTTATACTTTTTATCTATTTTTGTTGGTTTCCAATATCGCCTGAGAGTTTGACGCCATGATGTTTGTTTTCTATTTCACAAGTTTCACTTATAGAAGTCTGTACTTCGATATATGTGTAGCTCTAGTGTAATATAAATGGAATGTTATATATAATTATGCCCATATATAATAAATCATGCTTTGTCACTGACAGTAAAATAATCTGAGTACGATGACATTGGACGTTATGGTTGAGAGCTTCCTGTAAATATGTTGTGATTCAAAAGCACGATCGTTTCAGCAGTACGATAAAATATTTAATTATGTTGAATGGTTCGCACCTATCAGTCAAGCAGCAAGCTATGTAATAGTACAATAGTCAATAAAAACCAGAAAGACTTAATGATTGAAAATGGCCGTTTTTATTAAAACGACATAACATAAAAATACATGTTACAATACATGTATTGAACACCCTCCTGAGAAGGTGTACCGTAGACTGCATTTCATAATCAAATGCAATGCCATTCTCCTAATGACTTTTAGTAGGTGAGGGGACAAAAAACGCCACCTTGGACATTGAGCCCTTTCATTGATAGTTTACCACTCCAATAAAATGTCTCAATGATGCAAAATATTTATTTTTGAATTTGTTAAAATGATTGTACTGATAAACCAGTTATGGACACTGAAGGTCAGAACTACCATTACATATCACGGGATTCAGGGCTTGAGTTACTTAAGTTTACATGAAAGTCAGGTGTAATGACTGTACATACCATCAATAGAACATGTACAGAATTTGTAATTTGTTACCAGTTTGGATCGGTATCTTTGGCAACATAGTGTTATTGCTTATTAATCCGACAAGATTCCAGTTATCATATATTGAATGCAAATTGCCAATAGAGTCTATCATATGTACATGTAGGTATGTGGGTGTGGATATTGTTTGGGGCAGGACTGAGGCTTTGTCGAGGTTCTGATACAAAATTCTCCGCCCGAGTTTAGAATTGTTCATATCCCACATACCTACATAATGATGATTCTTTTTATCCAACCTCTAAAGCGAAATTTTGATAAAACAAGACATAGACAATGCAAAAAACAACACAAACGTAGCATTTCTAGATAGCTTTAACCTAAAATAAAGACCATATTTTGAAGAAAAGAAAGCAGACAAATAATACCTCAAAAAGAAAAGGCTATGTAAGACCTCAAAAGCAACAAGAGATATGTTCTTGAGTTTGGGTCGTTTTTTTTTCAATTGTGGCGTCATAATATAACGCTGACATCTGATTTTGACATCATGATAGTACAGATCGCTGAGTGCACATGGGTACAATAATGTATTGAAGTTGAACTTATTTATCTTGTTAACGCAGAGGTTGGGGAAAAAAAATCTATTAATTATGATGTATACTTTTGTAGTTACCAATTTATACTATTATAGTTATCTATGTATAAGGTTGTGGTTATATAGTTACCTTCGATTGTATTTTAGTAGTTATGTTTTTGTATTTTCCTAGCTGTCTTGCTGTCTTTTAGTGCTTGGTAGTGAATTTTATTTATTAATAAAACATTCACGACATAATGATATTTCATATTTTATCTTCTTCTGTGTTATGGTCTTTTTAGTTAAAAATAAATAGGTTACATTAACACAACATTTCATCATTAGGAAGATAGGAGATTACTCTACCTCTACATGACGAAGAGGGATGTCTTACTGTGAAGATGACAATTTTCTGATCGTGATCGTGACCTTTCTCGATAGTAACATTTCCATAGTCTCTAACCTACGGTGTTTACATGTCGCAGCTGATTTGGTATTCCATGGCTTGCTACAAATTTCTTGGTTTTCCCAGACAGATATCGGCTCTGATTGACAACAAAACTTTTCGAGAGCTACAGGTTCATGAAAATGATAAGCTATAGCTTTTATAGTCGCCATCGTTGTCTGTTATGATCTTTTTCTATTTCCTTGTGTGATATGAAGATAGATGAATTTGATTATGCTCATTAGCATATCACGTATTTCTCAATATCCCAAATCCCACATTGAAAACTTAGTTTTACTTGTATTCAACCAAGCTTTGCATGGTGGTTATTGCTAATCATATAGAACACGCTTACTCTTCCTAAACGCATGGTCTTATTTTTTCAAAGAAATCCCTGTTAATGTTTCCTCTGTTCATATTTTGCACTGCATTCATCGATTATGTCTAAAAATTACGGTTTTATTCCCACTTTCATATTCACTTCTTTTTATTTTGAATTCAAAATCAATTTGACTTGATCACAGAAAAAAATGTCTTTTTTTCTTCATCTTTTTTTCTTTTGGTAACAAGTTTCCTAAGAGCATATTATGCTTTGCTTGTTTGTATTGTCATCTGGTGTTCATTACCTACTGTGTCAAACTGGCTTTAAATTAAAGTTGAATGTTTATACAGGTTCCCCTGCATCATAAGTTATTATTCTCCATACCATTCATGCCATTATAAGTTCAGAAGTTTCTGTAAATAATGAAAGTTTGATTTGTGTTTGAAGTTTTGAAGTCACTAGAACAAGCTACAAATACACTTACAGTTGATGCTCATGAAATAGTCAAGCACATATCATCTATGTTGAATTTTGTGTTTACATGACTTCCCACTATAGGTAAAGCTTACCCCTGCATCAGCTATAATAAAAAAGAAGAAGCCCTTTCACAGCTTTCTTTTTGCACATTGAGTATGCTCCCTTATATGTAGGAAATTAAGCAACAACAGGGGCCTGTTCGATTATGTGGAATAGTCAGTTTGTCTGTTTATAAATGTAATATTTTCGGGTTTAAATCCTGGCAGACTTGCAAAGGTTAATGAAAGCAGCATCAGATCACAAACGAACATCTCTGGTCCGAGCGGTACAACCTTCTGGATCACAATAAAGGAAAGCTACTCAGGTGTTATTTTCTGGCTTAAGAGTTATTTCCCTTGTCAGGTTATGACTTTCAAGTACATTCCTCGTCTTTCTCGTGTTTGGTAAATTCCTTGTTTTATGTAAGAGATGCTATCCCAGATAGAAATCCTTTTGCTCAGAAATAGATGGGCGTGGAGACATTGACAGATTCTGGCGACTCAGTGATGTCATCTGTGCTCATGCTTGGGTACAGGTAGAACTTGTCACCTAGTCCCATCAGCAGGCCAGCGTTGCCCTCCTCTCCTGACCATCTATCTGAGTAGGCCACTGAAGGTATAAAATCCTGTGCGAGAGACGAGGGCGGAGGTATTGTTCTCAGTAAAGCCCCTGTCTGAAGACACCAGAACCGAGTGTATCCTTCCGAGTCGGCTGTAAAATGATAGAATGAGGTAGTCAGGCAAAATATATCGAGATTATTCAAAAAGGTTATGGAGGTGATATACAGAGAAGAAGCATGGTATAACTATCCGATAAATGAAGCATCCAACTGAAATGCCAGTGATGAAACAAATTGACAGTATGAGGGTTAACATCAAACAATTCCAAGTAGACAAGGGTGGAGTGGAGCTACATAACTGAACCAGGGGGTAAACTGTATCCCCATCGGGAGGTACAATGTACGCCATCAAAAACATCTTCATAAAATCATTCAAACAAAGTTAACCACAAAACACTACAGTAAACATGGTCAAGGATTGCAAGCTTTTATAATTTTATTAATCTGATCTAGTTTTCTCAAGAAGAGATTCATCATGAACAATTTAGCATTTATATTCAACACTAATGCTGCAGAACTAATTTCTACAAAGGCTGCATATAGATTCACTAACCCCATACACAAGGTGTTCCTGGCCATTTTACTGTACAAGTACTCCCTACACAGGCTGTAGACTTACCACCATACACAATGCGTTCCTGATCATCCACGTGTATTGGTATACACCGATACTGGTTTTTCAACCCAGTGTACTGCTGGACAACTTTTCTCATTCGCAAGTCCCATAGACACACCTACAAAACAAAAAGACCATTTGCATATATACCCTAATGTTCAATTTGTCATATGCTAGTCCATGAAGCATAGATTAAAAAGAGAGAAAAAAATACTCAGCTTAGGATTTAGAATTCCAACAATTTTTGAAGAATATTTTTTCTCCCAAACCTATGGGTGTAGGAACAAAAGAGTCAGTGAAATGTAACTAAAGGTCCGGACACATTTTACATCCTTGATCAATATGAAAATACCCACAGAATTGCATATGATATACTATTAATACTCTAGAAACTTTTCTCTGTCTTGAAATTAACAAACATACAGAAGTTATGTTACGTACTTTGCCCCTGACATCGCTGGCCAGTAGCTTTGTATTATCCTGGAACAGTCGTAGACTACAGACACTACAGGACTGGCTCATACTTGCAGTAGGCCGGCTGGAAATACTACGTAGGTCATGGGTTAGAATCTGGTTCTTCCGTGTCCCTGTGTACAGGCAGTAGCGAGTCTGAAATACACAACAGGTGTCAGTTTGAATATTGTTTATTTAAGTACCACAATTATGATAAAATTTGAACCATACTGATGAAAATCATCAGTAATGGCATTAATGCTTACATTGGGTGCCCACCAGGTACATTTTCATATAATGTATTGTTATACCCTTGAAATTCTTACTCTTCACATTCTTCCTTCGATAAAATGTGAACAGTTAGTGTGATATATTAACCTGTCCAAAACTTAGGAGGTTGGACTGCTTATAATTAAAGTTCATAATAATGTTGACCTATTGGCAACATTTAATCCCATCATTTAATGACATTAAAAAATATTTTGTTGTCCCTTGGTGAATATTTCTTGTGATATTGCACTTGCAGAATAGGATTCATTTCTGTTTAAATTTAAAATGCATAATAAAGCTGTTATCAACTGGGTCTTTAGGCAATATTATATAAATATCACATTCATGAGAGGGCAATAATGCATATTTTCACCCCAAGGAAGCAATGTTGACCTCGGCTTCGCCTCGGTCAACAATGCTTTCCGAGGGGTGAAAATATGCAATATCGCCCTCTCATGAATGTGATATTTATTTTATTATACAGAGTGTCATGTTTAGTTGTTTCACCACTTCACCATTTTTAAAGGTCCTTGTGTTGATTTGACATAAACCAAGACTTCATCTCAACAGTTGTCGAATGAACCAACCATGAACGTGATTTGATAATACCCTGGCACTGGGACGAACCGTGCACGCACACGTTTGGCGCATGTAACAATTTTTGGAATAACACCCTGGCACTGGGACGAACCGTGCACGCATACGTTTGGCGCATGTGATATTTTTTGGAATGTCACCCTGTCTTTTTTATCTTTGTAAAACGAGCAAGTAACATTGAAAATGTTCACATCTTTCTCAACCAATCAGATTACAAGATTTTGACAGAAGGTATAATAATACCTTTTGTTATATTCGACCATCAGATCAGAATATTGCCCTCGGCAACCAAAGGCCTGACAGCATTCCGACGTTTGGGTGAAACATCATATATGTTACCAAAAAGGCCAGTCAAAAACTGTTAATGTGAAAACAGTAATACAATGTACCATGTTGTGATCGAAATTTAAATACTTGCAAACAAATTGAAAATATCCAAAAACGTTTTCCAAATACTGTATGTGCCTTTCGTTAAATTCATCACCTTCCCACCCCACACCTTTCTAATATTTTCTTTCTGATTTATCTTCGTGTCAAATTTCTGTGTCAGGGGTTTCTCTCTGACAGTCTTACCTTTGTATGAAATATTTGTTCAGGAATGTTGTTTCCTTAGTCCTACCTTCATGTCAATTATCCGTGGTAGGGGTTTCTCTCGGAGAATCTTACCTTTGTGTCAAATATCTGAGCCAGGGGATCACCATTATTGGTGTTCAGCTCCCAGAGTCGTCTTGTTTCCACATCAAGTAGTAGACCACACTTCTCACTCCCTACACTGAAGTTCTGTCCGTGTGTATTCCAGGCACAGGTCCATGTACATTTGTGACCCAAACTAAACTCAAGGTCATGGGCTCGGTCAAAAGTCTGCGGAAACTGACGTATCCTGGCCATACTCATGTCATCACCAGCACAGGTCAAGGACATAGTCGTAAATAGAACATGTCTGCCATTATTGTTGCCATAGTTACGTTTCAGGTCAGCCCAACAAACATCAGTCACCTTGTTCCAGATGACTAAAGCAGAAAATTCTGGAGACTCCATGTTGACACACAAACGACTCCGAACATTGGTCCGCTTGTCTCGCTTTAAGTCTATCAGCTGAATACTATAACTACTAATTTCCTGTTTGCTCCACAGTCCAAGAATACAATCTGCATTTTCACTAACCTCCATTTTATGCATATGTTCAAGTTTACTATAAGTCGGTTGAATCTGGCTTATAAGTCTTCGACATCCTGAATGAGTTAAATCTATGTTAGAAATTCTTTTAAAAGCAAACAAGTTATCAAATCGATGTTTTGACATAGCACCAGTACATATACTATTTAACAGATGAGGTAGATCACTAGAACTTTTTGAACCTGAAGTATGATTGGTTGACTGTGTAAGTTTTCTACATGTTTCTGGGCCAGATAATTCCTTTAATCTAAGCTGTTCCTTCTCTCGCCTTTGGATTGTCTCCCTTGTAACAGTGCTGCTGCTGCTACTGTTGTGGTTGGGCTGTATGCGGAAGTACTTTTTCTTCTCTGCATCAAAGTAAAACCCTGGTATATCTACACAATAATCAAGGAATCTTTTATTTTATAGTTACGTTACAAAATAACAGTTTCATATATTCAACTGATTATTCACCATTAAACATTTAGTTATATTACATGGTATTAAAGCAAAGCATAATATAGAAAAAAAATACTACTACAAAAATGTAGTATACAAATGGCTGGTGAAAATTGATGGAAACATGTACATGTCAAGGTGATGCTAGGATGCACCTTTTATTTATGAACATTGGTTTAGATTGTTTAACATAGCAACATAACATAGATGTGTTTAGTAACAATGAACAACATGTTTTTAATTTTTTGAGGAAGTTAATATAGATGGATAATCTACCAATTGAGCTACCAGGTCGCCAACCATCGACCCGGTCTAGTTCCCCTACATACATCTAACCAGATTAAAAAAATCAGGATGTTGCGCACTTATAACCAATAAGAAAATCTTTAAAACAGGTAATTACCAAATATGCATTTAATTCTTTAAGTGTTATTAATTACAGGAAGAAATCAAAGATTTCAATTATTGAAAGAACAATAAACATTTAACGGGAACCAAATCTAGTGCCATTTTACCAGAAGTCTTGGGATTCTGTTTTCCATGCACCAGTTAAAATGTTAGTCTCTGCCTTTATAAAGGATACCCAATGTATCTGCTTGGCCACAGTTGTTCCCAGTTGTCTTGTTTTGCTGACTTAAGTTTCCAGGTTTCCTCTCCTTTCTGCTTGTCTTCAGTTTCTTTGGTTGGCCTTTCTCCTCCATATGTGGCCTTCCCTCAGCTCTTTGGGGTATGAAGGTCTTAGTTCTTCCATCAGCTGAGTGAGGTGAGCTGGTCTTTGATCTTCTGTCATGGTCAGTGTAATTAGACTCTGCATCATGTTGTCTCCATTTGGCCATTAAATTATTCCTTTTCATAATGTATAACCTGTAAAATAATGGTTTTATTAGTTTGATTTATGTATAACATACTTTTTATTTGCATTTTTTTTTATAGAAACGGTTGGACATGAACTGAAAACTGAATAACTAATGATTGCGAGTACTTATTAATTCAGTTAACATTCAACTGTTTATATTTGCATGGCCCATTCTGCACTTTTTACTGATTATATTATATGTACCTCATTTTATATGGCATACGTATATGTTTTATTCAGCTTTAATTGCAGACTCAATCTGATCATCCTGTTTGTTTGAAGAGAAAGGGTGTCCAAAATGAACACAGAAATGTGAAATTCACTCAGCCTACTATAAAGTAAGCAATGGTTATTCATGTAAATTTATGTAACAGAGATGAAAAATGCATAGCCAGACTGGGATTTGAACATGGTACCTTCTACCTCTAGACGAGTGCTCTAACGTTATATATATAATCAAAGGGGTTCATTACCAATGTCTGAAATGCTCACATGCTACATGCATAATTGCGCACTTAAACAAACATCAGAAATATGAGACAAAACCCTATGCTCTCACCAATTGAGCTACCAGGTTGCCAGCAATCGACCCAGTAATTCACCTACAATTATAGTATTATCTACAGTGGCAGATTTTAATTGTTCCTTTTCTGTAAATCATGAGTTGTCGCCCCTGATCTTGATTTTTTTACGAACAAAATCAAACTTGGTGAGGACATTATAGAGACAATGATTATTTGTAGCATGCAATCATATATTGTATGCGTAAATACGTTAGCATATGTATGTTATAACATATATAGTCATCTGATCTATCCACAAAATAGATTACAAATGGGACCAATTGCGCAAAGGAATTATAGTGCAATGCCTCTACTCTGAAGAATATTGAATGTACACAACGTACATAAGATCATCATAGCTACAAAAAAAATGAAGGTAAGGAATACAAAAATAGGTTGATAATGCACCTTAAATTTTCTATCTGGGGAGCACCATTTGATAAAAACGACGTGACACACTCTCCTTCTAAAAATCCTTCTGTTTACATTTGCAACTTCCGGCGATCCATGCTCTCAAAATATATCAAAATAACAGAAGAACGAAACTAATCAAACTAGATCATTTTGGCATTTCCTCCAGAATAGTAATTGAAATACAAATTAAATGAAAGAAGAAGCAGCAAATTCATTTAAACATGTTTCTTGTTTTTGAGAATTTGTTTTAGTTATATTTTTAACGTTACTTCGAACAACGATGTGGAATTTACATCAACTAAAACAATCATGGCGGCCACGCACGTGGAATCATCAATCGCTATGACTGAAAATGTTGATTTAAGCTCTGACGAGGGCGATATAGATGATGACGGCATAGAAACAGGTTTGTAAACAAACTGATTGCCCGATTTTCAGAAAAAGTCACCACGATAAATCTCCATATAAGCTTACCGATATACAACCCCAAAAATGTACGACATGTTTCATAGTTTCATGTTTAATTACACATTGTTAGGCCTAATGTTCATCAGTTTAGCAGACGAATCGCAATTCATGGTCGATTGTTGTACATTTAAGAAGGATATAAAAATGTATATATTAAAATTATTTGCAATAAAATGCTTATAATAGAATTGTTTGGGTATTTTATATTAAAAACGAAAAAATGTTGAATTATCTTAAACATGTTGGGCACAACGGCGCATAACTATGGGTTATCATCCTGCATTTGGGTTACAGTTACCCATTTTAAAAAATAATGATGTAAAAAATCTAACATTTATGAAAAATGAAAATAAACATTTAAATGTATGCTTTTTGTAGTCAACTTTACCATAAACCTTATTGTTTTATGCGACTTTGCTTTAATTAATGGAAATTGAAGTCTGAGAAAATATAACTCAATACAGCTATAATTTAAAGGTGAATAGAGCTATATATGTCTTTATAGCTATATAGCGCAATCGGCAGTGTGTACTGGACCTGATAAATAACACAATGATACACAAATAGTTATCAATTCTGATGCCTAACTTTTTTGGAAAATAACAACAGGCGCGTATGATTTTTTCTGTGTGTTATATTTATAGCTGTACTCTACAACACACTTTAATCAATGGAGTGGATATAATTTGTCATTTCAAAAAGATTTAGACCACTGAATTAACATTTATTTGTGCACATTTGTACCTCATAAAAGTCATTGTGTTTTTTATAAAATCGGATTATGTTGGAAGAATGACGCCCTTTTTTGTTCATAATGTTTAAAAGAACTTTATGTGTTATCATTTAACTTTATTCTCCATTTTAGTAATAAAATTGTTACCCAAATACAGGATCAATACCCATATGCGCCGTTATGCCCAACCTGTTAAAACATAAAATCAGCAAATAGCACACAAAATACTAATTGAAATGTCCATCCAAGTGCCGAAAATGTTGAAACAAATTTTGGGAAGGACCAAAATATCTTTTGCAAGTACTGAAATATCTTGGTACCAATGCAAAATGACCTACATGTAGTACCAAAAACTATGTGCTCAATTTCTGTCTTCAACATTTGATCCCTCAGAATGATCATTCTCTACTATAGATCTGTTGAGTATGAAATCTTATAAGTCTAGCTTGACTCTCAGTCATAGCTTGACAAATTCAGTCAGTCTTGAAAGGTTGCAACACATTTTGATGCCTACATTGATTATGTAAAAACTTTACTAGTTTGAAAATCTCTCTTCTCTTTGCTAACTAACCTGTCATTTCTCTAGATTTCTTCACTCTATAAACTATTCTTCTTTCTATGCCAAAACCATCACACATTACATATCTGGCTGTTAATCATCAATTAAAGGTAATTATAAGCATCTGTAGGACTAGGATTACATGATCATTTATTACATTATTATATCATGTAGTATAAGCGGTTCAATGTGTTAAACTATTCTTCTTTCTATGCCAAAACCATCACAAATTACATATCTGGCTGTTAATCATCGATTAAAGGTAATTATAAGAATCTGTAGGACTAGGATGACATGATCATTTATTACATTATTATATCATGTAATATAAGCGGTTCAATGTGCTTCTGTCAGTATACCTGGTACATTATGACAAAAAAATCATAGTAAAAATCATGTTGACATTTTCAGGTGAACCATCAGACGATGATGAAGTGTCAGGAGGTGATGATGAAGTGTCAGATGATGATGAAGGGTCAGACGATGATGAAGCATCAGGAGATGATGATGATGAAGCATCAGGAGATGATGATGATGAAGCGTCAGGAGGTGATGATGAAGCGTCAGGAGATGATGAAGCGTCAGGAAATGATGATGAAGTGTCGGGAGATGATGAAGCATCAGGAGATGATGAAGCGCCAGAAGACGTGGTTCCAGAGAGTTCTCAGAAAGCTGGTTTGGCTGACGCCATGGCAAAAATTTTAGGGAAACAATTACCTAAACACACCAAGGTTATTCTGGCTAAGGGAACAAGTGATAAGGAAATCAATCGCAAAAGACAGGAGAAGCAAACTGAAGATGGTGGCGAGGAGAAGAAACCAAAACTGAGTGATGAAACAAATGAAAGCTTAGCCAGTTTAGAAAAGGTGAAATATAAAATTGAAAGAGCAAACAGACCCGACTCATATGCTCATTGATATGGTGTATATTTTGTTTTCTTAATGTTTCCTATTTGCAATTCCAATGATCATGCCTTTGATGTCACATACAGCTACATACACAAAGATTTATATTCATTTACTTTGGTACCCTACAGTATATATACATGGTTCATTTCTTCTTTCATTTGTTTTGAGAAATTGATCAAATGAATTTTGAATATGTCGATTAGAAGTTATATGACGGGGTCACCATACTGAGAATTGTTTCCTTCAAAATGTTTATCCTCATAATGTTAATACATGTATTTCATGATCCATCCACTTTGTTGGGTGTTGAGATTAGTATTTACCTCCAGCGTTATGATTTCGATTTCCTGACACTCTCAAAAAGCAAAACAAATTGTTAACTAAATTTGAGTGATTTTATTCCATATTGTGATTAATCATCATTGGTCTAAATTTAAACCTTGCTTATAGATTATCATAAAAATTCGACCTGAAAGATCGCATGTACACTGATTTCTAAAACATTATATATCCTTGCCTATAAACAGTATAGGCAGTGATAGTCCGTGTAATAACTTTTTTCGTCTTACACTATCCAATAGGGTTATGGGTTTTAACTATCAATTTATTTTATTTCAATTTTTGGTACCATATATTACCAGCAGTGTACAACTTCAACTGATGGCTGGGGTCATCGGTTAACCTGGGGGGTTTTCTGGGGACTTTTTGGGCTGGTAATGGGCCCCATTCCCAATAGAAGCTGTTTCATATTTACCGGGTATGCCTTGACCTTGGCAAGGTCACATGGTTTAAATATCTTAAATTCATAAGGTCTAGAGCCATGATACTTGGATATGTAACATTGACCAATAGTGCAAATAAAGATCTCCATCACATAACTTCAAACTGCATATAACATCAGTGTTTAAACCATTACAAGGGATAGATATATTTCCAAGTTTAGTTTGTTCCATTTGTAATTTTCAAAACTCTTTTTTTAATACTCATATGTGTGTTATGTGAATGTATTTACGTTTGATTTTCAGAAACGTCTTTGGGAAGCAATGGGTAGAAGAAAACCAGACCCTTTGGAACGTGAAAAAGAAAAAGCACTTCAAAAAATAGCTCAGAGGTTTGTATTCAGTTATAAGAATTTTAGTACATGTATAAAATTGCTGCAAATACCTTGTTATATGTTTCTTGAATTGTCTTATTCCAATGTAGGATACAAATGTATAAAACGGAATGCAGTGACTCTTTTTATTCTAAGTTAACACATTAAGAAAGCTTTGTATATATTTTCTAAATCTTAAGAAATCCGAGCTACCTGATCCTCCTCCTTTACTCGGTGATATCTGAGAAACCATTAGGTGACCGATTATACTGAAATACACGCATTCAACAATGAAAACATGTAGCAGTAAGTGCTGGAAACCTATGGAATCAATATTTGGCATTTCAAAGAATTTAAATTTAGCAATCTTCAAATGATTCAAATGAAATTATTTTATATGTGTCTTAGAATATGTATTGGGAGTTTTATACGTATATTACTCAGAGTGTCTGTACTGGTAGTGTAGTTGTATGATTGAGTAATGTTATTTACTGCTCATTCTTGTTGGGCAGGTGTATAGCAATCATATGTCAAGGAGTGTCCATACTTTTAGGGGATTTGTACACCTGTATAATGTCATTAAGGGGCCATATTTTTAGGGGATTTGTACACCTGTATGATGTCATTTAGTGGCCATAACTTCAGAGGAGTTACATATCTGGATAATGTCATTTAGTGGCCATACCTTTAGAGGGGGCTGGAGTTATACACCTGGATAATGTCATTTAGTGGCCATTCCTTAAGAGGAGTTATACACATGTATAATGTCATTAAGTGCCAATATTGTAGGGGAGTTGTGAAGTTATATAATATTGTTGAGTGCTCATACTTGTAGGGGAGTTGTGAAGCTATATAATATTGTTGAGTACTCATACTTGTAGGGGAGTTGTGAAGCTGTATTATATTGTTGGGGGCTCATAATTGTAGGGGAGTTGTGCAGCTATATAATATTGTTGAGTGCTCATACTTGTAAGGGAGTTGTGAAGCTATATAATATTGTTGAGTACTCATACTTGTAGGGGAGTTGTGAAGCTGTATTATATTGTTGAGGGCTCATAATTGTAGGGGAGTTGTGCAGCTATATAATATTGTTGAGTGCTCATACTTGTAGGGGAGTTGTCATGGTGTATAATATTGTTAAGTATCCATACTTGTAGGGGAGTTGTGAAGCTATATAATATTGTTGAGTGTTCATACTTGTATGGGAGTTGTCTTGCTGTATAACATCGGCGAGTATCCATACTTGTAGGAGAGTTGTTGAGCTGCAAGATATTGCTCTGTATAATATTGAGTATCCATACTTGTAGGGGGTTGTCTTGCTGTATAATATCGGCGAGTATCCATACTTGTAGGGAGTTGTCTTGCTGTATAATATTGTTGAGTCCTCATACTTGTAGGGGAGTTGTCCAGTTATTTAATGCTGTGCGTAAACAGCAGAAGATATTGGAAGAGAGCAGTGCAGGGCTGACTGAGGCAAAGAAAGCAAAGGTTGTTGGAAATTTGACCAAGGGCAAGTTTCTTGATATACTGAAGGGAACAGAGAGCAATGTAAGCTCACAACCGGACACGGAGCAGACCAATGTGAAGGTTAGTGTTGTAACAATAACATTAGCGATTTTTAAAGCGTCTGCATGGTTAATGTACAATCTTGTATAACTGCTATCTATAAATTTCTTCATTGCTGAGGCATTGAGCAAACGAAGGATTTAGTTAAATATCATGGGTAACGTTTTTATTGATTAACATAGAGGTCCTAAAATTTTACCACCTTGACTGCATATTTTTTCTAGTCTTAAATCTAGTATTCTAACAATATGTGCCACTTATAAAATTACAAACTTAAGTGCTGAGATTACTAACTCCTGGCATATTTAATCCCCAGGTCAAGGAGGAACCAGACGACAAGTGGAGCATATTGCGCGAGGACTTTATGATGGGGGCAAAAATGAAGGACTGGGACAAGCAGCCTAGTGAAAGTGATCATGACTCGAACTCTAATCATGAACTCTCTGATGATTCCGAGGACGGGTAGAGTCCTGTGGGTTGGGGGAGGGGGGATCAGGGAGATAGGGAGGGACTAGGGGAAGGGATTGTTTTAATAAAACTGTTAACAACAACACTGTTTTATTATTTTTTGTAATACATATGAATTAAATTCCATGGTACCATGACCAGTATACTATTAGCTATAGGTTTATATTACTTAACAGACACTTGTTACAGCAGAACATTTTTTGTCAGATTTCTGAAAGCCTGTCTGGTCACCAATCAAAATTCAAATCCACAGTTTTGATAAGTTTTAGCACTTACACCATGTATAACACTTATCCCTACTGATCCTTTTAGTGTCGCGGTTCTGAGGAAGTTACCTGGAGGTTGTCTCATTTTTAGTGATTGATTATTGTAATTCAAATACTTTAGGATGATGGAGAAATAGAGTACATTCTAACATTTAGCACATGAAACTGTTAAAGATTCAAAGAAAATAGGGATGCTATATATTTATTTGCTTACAGCTGGGCCCCCAGTTTAATTCCCCTTTCCCTCCAATCTGTCAAGCCTGGCTATGTCCCAATAACACAATTTGGATTTACAAAACTATACCCATGATGAGCAAGTATACATACAGTAATACCCAGGTATTAACACATATAACTAGAAATGGAAAAGAGACTTCACTGAAACTTGGGATTTAGATACATTATACAATTCCAAACTTACCAACTGATTCAGTTGAACATGATTATAATGCATTATACTTTCTCAAAATAAAGATGAACAGCTCATTGTCAGCTAGTACAGATGGTCACTTTGTTTCAAGGGTCCAGGCATGTACCTCGTACTATTCACTCCTCCAGGTGTAACAGACTGTATTGGTATGTAGTAAGAACATGACACGTTTATCAAATAATTACCCGGGTATTTATTTTGTTAACATATTGAATATACATCAGTTTAAAATATCACAGAAACAGTACACATTTAAACACATGGCAGATCTACAATAACAATTATACACTCAGTATTGAAATAACTTACTGTAACATGTTTGAAATATTAAAATGCAATGACAGACCAATGTATATTAAAATCTGTAGATATGTTAATCCTCTACTGCTGATAAAACAGGGAAGTGTAAACATGTCCCTTACACAATGACAAATATACATCTCTACAATTATTTATATCTCAATTATCTATCAGATTTATACTATCGTCTATCTAGTTTCTAGTAAACAAGATCATCCATAGAATTCAAAGAAGTCGTCTTGTTCCTCCTCTGTTTTTCTGCCCATTGGCATCTCTGGTTCTGTGTCGGTGTCCAGGTCAGAACTAAACTGAATGCCTACAGAACAAAAACCACAGCATTGGTATCGTATAGCCTCAATGTCAGAAATAGACAACACAATATTTTGTATACTTTATACAATAAATATTTCCTAATTTGATTAGTCTTAATGCATATGGCTATCAACAAAATAATGTCATATAAGGTCACACAATGGGTAAATAGGTAATTGTGCCAAGAGAAAGTTTGAAGTAAAGAATTAATCAAGGGGAATTAATAAAGGAAATATCACAAGTACATGTATTTCATGGGAAGCAGATGAAAGCTGTTCTCTTTTATTTCAATTATTTTTACCAAAACCTTAGGGATTTAATTTTGAAATAACAATATTCATGTTGAAGGCTAAAAATATTAAATTTGAAAAAAATAACATATATCAAGGTGAAGGCTGAATAACTTACCCAACAGTCTTATGTGATATCAGAATGCCAGTCCTATTAAAGTCTATGTAAGTAATGTCTGATGACTAGTTCAAAGACCTGATAATCACTGGAGTTTAGTGAGGTACACAATAATGAGAAATGGATACATACCAACTTTCCTGTGAGATTTGGATGACCCAGCCGTAGAACCCAAAGCTGACTTGACACTACAAAAAGTATGATAGCGCAAGTTCATGAATAAATGTATGAAATGATTGTTTTTATTTTTAAATACTCATTGTTACGAAATTGCAACAAACAGAATATTATAAACATTATGACACCAAATTGTGAACAACTGAACCATCCTGTATCTGAGCTGTGATCAACAGTTTATTGGTAAATACCTGTATTTAAGTAAATATCACTTGTAATTTATCTCATGGATAATTTCAAAAGGAAGCTAGTCTCATGAAAAGGAACTCTGTAATAGATTCTAAAATGTACCTCTGTAACATTTTAAGTCCAAAAATACAAATACTGTACAAAGATATCCTGAACAAATATGACTACAATCTAATCTAAATCAGATCTTGGATTATAGATAGATATTTATATACATATAACAGAATCATACGAAAAAAGGACACTTCACAGGAAGCAGATAGGTAAAGACGGATACATTTTATTATATTTTGTTGACTTTCGTTACTGCCATGGAACATCAATAGTTTGCAGGTTCCATCCATCTAGCTGTAACACTGCTCAAGTTTTTAAAAACTTAACTACATTCTTGTATCTGCGATAGAATATACAGTTGAGCTTCGGGATCCGTTAACCCAGCCACCTACTGTTCAATCACTTTTTTCGGTTTTCTTTATATTTTATACAAACTTGTACCTATATAATACGACTGATCTACTAGAAGTCACCTTTAGCTGGGAACAAAGGTGTACAGATATACAACCTTACTTCACAAATGTTCAAGCACATGAAGAATACATGTAAGTGTGACGGCTCACATCACAGGAGTTTTAAATACTGATAAATAATAATAATAGTAAACTGTAATATAACAACAAACCCTATTATAAGCTTATAAAAACTATTTTATGAGCATTTTTAAATAGGGATTATTTTTCAAGTTACTATTTTTATTAATTATTGACAGAATATCAAACTCTGTGCACACATTCACTTTGATTCAAATTTGTTTCAAGTTGATAACTCTACAGCAAAGCTTTGGGTTAAAGGTCATTAAAAGTTATGTTGAAACATCTATTTCTCTCAAAGTAATGAATGTTATAACACCACATTTAATATCAGTATGAAAAGCTTCTTAGGTTTTCAAACTAAAGTGAAAAGGTCCACTTTGTTATTGAAAAGCTGTTTATCACTACAATTTACAATGTTTTGTTTTTTTTACAAAATTTCACATTAAAATTGAGTCATTGAAGGTCAAAGGTTATCCGTCTAAGATTTTCAAAAAAAACTTGGACATACCCTGTTTTAGAAACTGTTTTATAATATAATTATGTGTATTTGAAAATATTGAAAATAATATCACAAGAGGAAAAGGCAAACCACAGCACCATACACTCGACTGTACATGACATGTATTATAGAAAAAGGACTACACAGTACATGTACTAAAACGGTATGATACACAGGATGGTATGGTCGGCCCGGTTCTGAAGATGAATGATTTCATGAATGAAGACAAAGTCTAATAACTGTATAAGTGGTGCTGATTTACCTGTTACCTTCAAAGATAGAACAGCCTAACAGAAAATATATACATGTCAATATTATAATCTTTGGTGTCGAAGCATATGTACAATAACCTCATACATGCTTTATGTTAACACAACAGATTTATCTGAAATTGGAACACATCTACAATAAACCATGCATATTACAGAAAGATAAGCAAGAAAAACGTTCAAAGAGAGCCCTGCCTTAGTCAGATATTCCTCGCAATCACTGATATTAATTTACACACACCTGGTCATTCCTCATTCACACACACGCACCTTGTTATTCCTCATTCACACACACCTTGTTATTCCTCATTCCCACACAACTTGTTATTCCTCATTTACACACACCTGGTCATTCCTCATTCACACACACCTGGTCATTCCTCGTTCCCACACACCTTATTATTCCTCATTTACACACACCTTGTCATTCCTCATTCCCACACCTTGTTATTCCTCATTCACACACACCTTGTTATTCCTCATTCCCACACAACTTGTTATTCCTCATTTACACACACCTTGTCATTCCTCATTCCCACACAACTTGTTATTCCTCATTCACACACCTAGTTATTCCTCATTCACACACCTTGTTATTCCTCATTTACACACCTAGTTATTCCTCATTCACACACTATGTTATTCCTCATTCACACACCTTGTTATTCCTCATTCACACACCTAGGTATTCATCATTCATACAGAGTTATTCCTCATTCACACACACATTGTGATTCCTCATTCACACACCTAGTTATTCCTCATTTACACACACCTGGTCATTCCTCGTTCCCACACACCTTGTTATTCCTCATTCACACACCTAGTTATTCCTCATTCACACACACCTTGTTATTTCTCATTCACACACACATTATTATTCCTCATTTACACACATCTGGTCATTCCTCGTTCCCACACTCCTTGTTATTCCTCATTCATACACACCTTGTTATTCCACATTCACACACACCTTGTTATTTCTCATTCACACACACATTATTATTCCTCATTCACACACACCTTGTTATTCCTCATTCACACACACATTGTTATTCCTCATTCACACACACATTATTATTCCTCATTCACACACATCTTGTTATTCCTCATTCACACACACCTTCTTATTCCTCATTCCCACACATTGTTATTCCTCATTCATGCACACACCTTGTTATTCCTCATTCACACACACATTATTATTCCTCATTTACAAACACCTTGTAATTCCTCATTTACACACACCTTGTTATGCCTCATTCACACACACATTATTATTCCTCATTCACACACACCTCGTTATTCCTCATTCACACACACCTTGTTATTCCTCATTCCCACACCTTGTTATTCCTCATTCCCACACATTGGTATTCCTCATTCATGCACACACCTTGTTATTCCTCATTCATACACACCTTGTTATTCCTCATTCACACACACCTTGTTATTTCTCATTCACACACACATTATTATTCCTCATTTACACACACCTTGTTATTCCTCATTTACACACACCTTGCTATTCCTCTTCCACACACCTTGTTATTCCTCATTCACACACACCTTGTGATTTCTCATTCACACATATTTTTATTCTTAAATCCCACACACACTATGTTATCCCTCATTTGTAGATACATTCCGTCTTTCCAATATCTTTAAAAAAAAAAAAACTTTATATTTTATTACCTCTGTTTCTGCACTGCAGTTGGAACATAAACCGGACTTGGCTGAGTTGGTGTACTGAGTTCAGAAAGAGGCTCCGCCTGATTGTCAGGTTTGGAGTCAGTGGGGTTAGCAAAACTTTTAGGAGGTGGTATAGTGCTGGAAAGTAAGACACACTGTGCAGTTTACATAACAGAAGAATGGTGGCTTTTCTTCTCCTAACATGCTGATGTACACAATTGTCAATCCAAATATCATGAACAGTTGACATTTTCTTTTGTGATATTTTCATTTTAAAAAGTCAAGGCGGTGGAAACAGGAAAGGTTGAATGAACAAAAATGTTAATATGGTATGTTGGCTTTAAAAAAAAATGAAAAAGAAAAAAAAAATGAAGTTTTTCAGTTTGACAATAGTTGAGACCTCAGCATGTTGTTACAATCGCCACTACATACTAGGTTAGTATTCTCTCCAACATCTGACTACAGATGTTATACAGGTTATATAGTCCTAGAAACAAAGACCTAATTATATTAATCAAAAGAAGTTGCATCCATAACCATTGATATGAAGATTGGAAAACATGTATCAGTTATACTATAGCTACCATCTTAAATATCATTTAGACAAGGAAAAAGAACAATAACAGTCCAGGACAATGAGATAATTATTTATACAAAATACCATTCTACAAACAGATGTTTGAAAATATCATGATCAATTAGTCACATGAACTTGCATGTTATCATTACACTACAGTATTACTTAAATAAAATAGGTTTTTTTCAAAAGAGCAAACAAGTATCTAAAGCAAATCTGCCTGAATGATTTTGAAAGTCAAATGAAGGTACATGTATTCAATTCAAAAAATTATAAAAAAAAAACAAAAAAAAATGTGATGTCCTGAATTTTACCCAAAACAGCACTATATCTTTGTGTCTTGATATATGTGAGACAATCTGATTACATTATCAGTCAATACTGTACTTAATGCATTATTCATACAAATGTCTATTTATTGACTATATCTATATTGATGAATCATATGAAATTTTGATGTACCAAACACTAACTAACCTCCCCATAGCCAAAAAGTGTCTTTCCTTGTAAATGCCTGAATAGCTATAGAGAAAAGATGAAACAGTGAGGAGTCACTGATGTTAGTATGGAAATGGTTTTATGTCACACCATGAAAAGAAGAACAGTTGATGAGAAGTTAGAACTAGGTACAGCTACTACAGTTAGCACACGTGACTGGAGCCTACCTGGGAGGGTCTCGAGGAGACAGGGCTGATGCAAACTGTTTTTCCACATCATCATCTGTATCCTCATCATCGACATGGGCTTGTTGTCTGTTCTGTGATGACATGGTTCCCGACAACATGTTACGGTAGGCTGCTGTCTCTGTGTATAGGTATACAATACATTAATACTAGAGTGTTTACATGCAATATCTTCCTCATGGAACAGCTTCTGGGGAGTAACTCAATAGATATTCAACAGAACTTTATAAGTTTTACCTCATTTAAGTACCAGTATGCTTGCCATGTTGTCCCAGAAAAACTGCCAAATAAAAGTGAATCTCAAAAAAAAGTTGCTTTTGGTTTGGTTTATTTGTTTGTGTTCTACGTCCTATTAACAGCTATGGTCATTTAAGGACGTGCCAGGTTTTGGTGGTAGAGGAACGCCAGACTTTCCAGAGAACAAGAATTCCACGGAAGTGGATGTGTCGCCTGCGCAGGAAGCTGGGAGATTGTGCTTAGCAATGCATGAAGTTCCAGTTTGATCGGCCCAAGGAAACTCAAGTTATCGCCCGAAAACAGATTTTCTATTTATAGAAACAGTGACCTTGACCTTTGACCTTCTGAACTAAAAAGCAATCCCAAGCAAGCACTTTTGGTAAGGAAGCACTGCATGAAGTTTGAGTTTGATCGGCCCAAGGAAACTCAAGTTATCTCACAAAAACCTCTGTTCGGACGATGCAGACATAGCAATACATATGTGTCACCAGCTTTTTCGCAGACGACACAAAAAACCACCAACCTACCGATTTGCATTTGGAAAACATCTTCTGCCTGTATAAAGGCAATGGAACAGAAGAATGGTGTTTGAACAAGTTTCTGTTGTAGTAAATAGGAAAAATATATTTCAAATTCAAACCAAGTTAGAGTTCTTTACTTTTACATAGAAGAAAATAGCAAGTAGAATGGAATGAAGTGGGGATTGTTATCTAGTTGAATATTCACAGAATCATCACCAAAAGCCATGAGATAAGTAACGAATATACCTATCAAAAGTAATCACATTTCATATACCATAGATATATAATATACTTTGATCTTACCTTACAGTACCATGAGATAAGTAACGAATATACCATAGATATATAACATACCTTGATCTTACCTTACAGTACCATGAGATAAGTTACAAATATACCTATCACAAGTAATCACATTTCATATACCATAGATACATAATATACCTTGATCTTACCTTACAGTACCATGAGATAAGTAACGAATATACCTATCACAAGTAATCACATTTCATATACCACAGATATATAACATACCTTGATCTTACCTAACAGTACCATGAGATAAGTAACAAATATACCATAGATATATAATATACCTTGATCTTATAACCTTACAGTACCATGAGATAAGTAGCAAATATACCATAGATATATAACATACCTTGATCTTACCTTACAGTACCATGAGATAAGTAAAGAATATACCATAGATATATAACATACCTTGTTCTTACCTTACAGTACCATGAGATAAGTAACAAATACACCATAGATATATAACATACCTTGTTCTTACCTTACAGTACCATGAGATAATTAACAAATATACCTATGTCAAGTAATCACATTTCATATACCATAGATATATAATATACTTTGATCTTACCTTACAGTACCATGAGATAAGTTACAAATATACCTATCACAAGTAATCACATTTCGTATACCATAGATATATAATATACCTTGATCTTACCTTACAGTACCATGAGATAAGTAACGAATACACCATAGATATATAACATACCTTGATCTTACCTTTCAGTACCATGAGATAAGTAACAAATATACCTATCACAAGTAATCACATTTCATATACCATAGATATATAATATACCTTGATCTTACCTTACATTCACCAAGAATTCATAACAAGCAGGAGCTTATGCGAAGTGTCACCAATATACATAAGTTTTGTTACGAGTTTTCTATAACACAATTATTTATATATCTATATTTATTTCTGTTGTTACTGTCTCTCCATGTCCATGAAACTTCATTTTTCAAAATAGAGGAAATGTGAGCATCACAAATTTGAATTATAGAATATATGCTGTGTAAATTGTGAAATATACATATTAAAGGTACTGATGTGATATCTTTTACAGTGACATTAAGACAGTATAAATACTATATACAAACAACTTATATCAAATCAAAATCTTTCTTTGTAATGTGAATTATGTATTATATAAAATTATGTACAATGAAAAAGAGTCAGATATATGGCAGTAGTAATCAATCACAACAACAGGTGATTATATAACAGAAGTAAGTTCATGCCAGCTTATGTAGGACATCGGGTTATACACTTCATTTTTTTTTTTTAATCTCAAACTAAAAACATGAATCTAGCTTATAAGAATTATGATTTTTTTAAACCAAACAAATCAATGTAACAAAACAATAAAGAAGTCTGAATTCCCTCTCTTTGTCCCTCTCTTTGTTCCTGTCTTTGTTCCTTATTGAACACTGTCTCATCTGATCAGGTTTATCCATTCTGGACAAGGGTTCACATAACAAGTCTTCATTTTTTTAAATTTAAAAATCAATAAGCTGTGCATAAGATGTATGTTCAAGTAAAATGCTTTTAAATTGACTGATAATCAAAGACATTAATATCTTAAAAAAGTATGTAAACTATAAGCAACTCTCATATATAAATTGCATGTACATAACGTTATGTAGCCATGAATTCCAAATGTGTGCAGGTTATTCTACATAGTCTGAAAATATGTCCATTATGAAATCATCTTGGTGATTTGATAGGAAGAAAACAAGAGCTTCACTGGTAACAAGTGGTACATGATGTGAGTGTTACTAAAAGGCACTTTGTGATCAGGTAGTGAAAACTAACAGGACATGATGAGGTACTGACAAGAGACGTTAGATGTACAGAAATGTGTAAATGATGACATGACGGCTATACATCAGTATAGGTAAAATAGAGCCTCGTCACTCCGCTCATGTTCACAGACAGATATGGCTGGATAGTAAAACAGCTGGCCTGGGAATCATGAAAAAGACTCAAGTCTAAATTTCCATTGTTTTAAAAAAGAATATTTCTCTTTAGTATAGCAGTGTACATGTAAAAATGTCAATGGCCAGACAACCAGATTGGCAGTGGCAGGATTTACAAGACTCTACTCTACAGCTGGGTATTTTCAATTAATTCACCATGAAATCAGTTGTCGCACTATCCATCCAGTGTTTTGAAAGAGAAATTTTCATTCTTCTATTCATAAATGACCCAGTTATGAAGTCACTATCCTGCCATTTAGACCTGAGCATGAAGGTGGCTGTATTAACGAGGTTCTGCTATCTCTTGTTTATATAGTCAGGGTCAGCCCAGATACAGGCTGTATCTTCAGAGTGATACAGTGTACCTGTATCCAAATACAGTGACAGGTATGGGGGATGGTCAGGTAACATTACCAACAGGGTAAATTAGGGGACCACATATCTACAGGAGATTATCAACTACTGTAGCACATATCAGTATATATTATATAACACAAAAACAAAACCAGGATACAATCAGTGTTAATATACTTCTCTTGTCAAGCAATTCTCTCAGTAAATAATGCATTAATTATTAGGGTACATTTGGGGTGTCTCTGTTTCTCAATCCACTCATAGCCATAAGACATACCATTGAGGGGCACCTTAGGGGCATCTGTGGGGACGCTCGGGGTCAACATGGTGGTGGTCTCATCATCGCTACCGAATTGTTTATCCACTAAACTGCCGAACTTGAGTGGTGGGACTGTGTGTTCAGATAGTAAAATGAAAGTGAATAACACAAAACAGAACTGAAAATAAAATTGACAAAAATACACATGAAGTATATGTAGTGTTAGAAGGATTGTGCGACCTGTCGATACTGAATCTGTAAAATTGTACCTGTGTAATGTGATGACCTGTCTATTTCGAACAAGAAATTTCACCTCTAAAGTGTTCAGTATGGACAGATCACACATTTGAATTAAGAGAGAATAAGAAATATGACATCAAACTGAAAATGAAATCTTGAAATTAATGTTTATATGTCTTAGAGAGTACAGTTTCAGATGGTATACATTTTTAAAATGTGACATCAGACATATTGGAGAAGTCATGCAGTAGGTATACAATAAGTTAAACAGTAGTGAAAACAGCCTATGTATGAAACTATCAGAAACACTTTGGGATGTTTTTGCCAAAACGTAGCCTAGGATATTAAATATATGTATTTATATATCTAAAATTGTTTTAAAACTGGAACAGCATTTATCATGTTTTTGATTTCATTGCTTTAAGTAAAAGTGTTATCACATAATTGAGCATAACAAATCAGATATTTGGCAAAAACATGGTGATTTCTGTCACAAAACTAGAGCACTGATCTAAGACAGGTAAAATGTAATTCTCACCTGCATGACATCGCAAACATTAAAACAAACATCATATTCAAGCTTATTTTCATTTCAAATATGATCTCAGTATCCCCAGGACCCAATAATGACATATTTTGTATATTAAGTTTTGTAAATAATATAACTATACTATTTGAGTGTCTATGTTAACATAGCCAGGGTATTTTGTACAAGAAATAGTATGTACTAGCTATAATGTATGTAGTTCTACTTTCCCTAGTCTAGCAATAAGTACATAAATAAAAATACCATTCAGTAAAAACATTTCCCAAGCTTATAACTAGCTGATAGCACAGAGAAAAAAACAGCACACCCTAAACTTCTATTACATTTTGTACTTTGAACAACTGATCCTAACGTATGTTAGCATTTTTTATTAGAGATAATTATTAAATGTATAAGGTGGCCTAGTCATCCGAAAGGTGGTAACACAGGCACCAAATTATTTCTCCAATATAAATCTGCATCATATGCAGATATTTTTTTCAGATATGACTCCCATCTCTGAAATTAGTGAGTATTAGTCTATCACCGTATGTACAGTAGGTCTCTAATTAGTCTATCACCGTATGTACAGTAGGTCTCCAATCAGAATTTATATATCACCTTATGTACAGTAGGTCTCCAATCAGAATTTATATATCACCGTATGTACAGTAGGTCTCTAATTCGTCTATCACCGTATGTACAGTAGGTCTGTAATTAGTCTATTACCGTATGTACAGTAGGTCTCTAATTCGTCTATCACCGTATGTACAGTAGGTCTCTAATTAGTCTATCACCATATGTACAGTAGGTCTCTAATTAGTCTATCACCATATGTACAGTAGGTCTCTAATTAGTCTATCACCGTATGCATAGTAGGTCTTTATTTAGTCTATCACCGTATGTACAGTAGTTCTCCAATCAGAATTTATATATCACCTTATGTACAGTAGGTCTCCAATCAGAATTTATATATCACCGTATGTACAGTAGGTCTCCAATCAGAATTTATATAAGACTTTTTCAATGCTAATTAGCTTATAACTGATAACATACAGCAGGACAAACGAGACTTTCAACAATAAGAGGTGAACATAACATGTCAATGTAAGAGTTTCCGACAACAACGTGTACCAATGTGAGAGTTTCTGACAATAACGTGTACCAATGTAAGAGTTTCTGACAATAACGTGTACCAATGTGATAGTTTCCGACAATAACGTGTACCAATGTGAGAGGTTCTGACAATAACGTGTACCAATGTGAGAGTTATGACAATAACGTGTACCAATGTGAGGGTTTCCAACCATAACGTGTACCAATGTGATAGTTTCCGACAATAACGTGTACCAATGTGAGAGTTTCCAACCATAAAGTCTACCAATGTGATAGTTTCCGACAATAACGTGTACCAATGTGAGAGTTTCCGACAATAACGTGTACCAATGTGAGAGTTACGACAATAACGTGTACCAATGTGATAGTTTCCGACAATAACATGTACCAATGTGATAGTTTCCGACAATAACGTGTACCAATGTGAGAGTTACGACAATAACGTGTACCAATGTGAGAGTTTCTGACAATAACGTGTACCAATGTGAGAGTTTCCGACAATAACGTGTACCAATGTGAGAGTTTCCGACCATAACGTGTACCAATGTGAGAGTTTCTGACAATAACGTGTACCAATGTGAGAGTTTCCGACAATAACATGTACCAATGTGAGAGTTGGGAACACACTAAGATGGGTGTCATTAACACACAAAACATGTGATATTATTCTGAAACAGAATTTCTTGTTAGTAAATTAACAGTCAACATGAAATCAACAAAGTTGAAACAAATTAATGGCTTGCTTCAGTTGCTATCTCCTTAGCATACAGGACACATTTTCTCACTTCTGATTATTTTCCCAATATTTCTAGGACTGTACTATCACCTATTTCATGCATTAAACAATAATACAAGGACTTTTTTGCAAGTAGTAATACATGAATACTAAATATATACCGTAATTTCTGCTATCATTGGAATTTACAAGGCTATCAGCATACAGTAAAATAAAATGGTAATAGATGGATATACATATACAGTTGTACTACAGTATATAAAAAATATCTAAACACTATTTTCAGTTATCAATTGGCTAACATGCCTTGGGTGAACAAACAGAATGCTCAATGGACGGCAAATGATTGAAAACAAATGTTGGTGACCAGTGAAATGAGTTTCTGAGGATGTTTCATTGCCATGTTATATAGCTTCGGTGATCACAATGCTGATTGTGTTAAATAAGTTAAGTTGGTGGAAGCTTGGCATGTTGTCAAGCACCATATTAATCTCACAGTATTGTTCCTGTGTCTGCTTATCAGCTGATGAGACTGAATATGTATGTACAAAGGGCGGATGGACAGCTAACCAAGCGTGCTAGACATACAAACCAGACACATTGGTCTGGTCATTTACCTTGTACTTTGCCCTCTGGACCAATAATAACTGAAACACAATTCACAACAATTGGATACACATGTACAACAAAGACAGCATCTCTGTTTCAAAGCTAAAGGATCACTGGGTAGAACTTCTTTGATAATCAGTGACTTTTGTCGCTGAGAAAGTCCTGTTTTTCTAAAATTTGAGTAACAACCATTTTATAAACCATACACCAATAAAAGGAAGGTTCTCATCCCCATTGTGGGTTTGAATTAGTAAATAGGCTTAAAATAGTAAAGTAAAAGTTCTTGCTCACTGCCTGTGGGCTGATCGAGATACCTACAAACCAACCAGTATCCCCAGAATGTTGTCCTAACCTTTCACACTCTGCCCAGACTGTCATGACTTTTCTCACTACAGCTGCGCATACAGTACTGCAATCATTACTCCACAACCCGTCTCACCTCCACCTAGACTATCATGATTATTACCCCATAATACTTCTCACCTCCTCCCTAACTTTTGTAATTTGTACCCAACACTTCTCCCCTCCACCCTGACTACTGTAATTTTTACTCCACAACCCGTCTCAACTCCTCCCAGACAACTGTATTTTTGATCCCACAACCCGTCTCACCCTTCCCAGACAACTGTATTTTTTATCCCACAACCCGTCTCCCCCCCTCCCAGACTACTGTATTTTTTATCCCACAACCCGTCTCCCCCCCTCCCAGACTACTGTATTTTTGATCCCACACCCCGTCTCACCCCCTCCCAGACTACTGCATTTTTGATCCCACAACCCTTCTCACCTCCTCCCAGACAACTGTAATTTTTATCCCACAACCCGTCTCACCCCCTCCCAGAAAACTGTATTTTTTATCCCGCAACCCGTCTCACCCCCTCCCAGACTACTGTATTTTTGATCCCACACCCCGTCTCACCCCCTCCCAGACTACTGTATTTTTGATCCCACAACCCGTCTCACACCCTCCCAGCCTACTGTATTTTTGATCCCACACCCCGTCTCACCCCCTCCCAGACAACTGTAATCTTTACTCCACAACCCGTCTCAACTCCTCCCAGACAACTGTATTTTTTACCCCGCAACCCGTCTCACCCCCTCCCAGAAAACTGTATTTTTTATCCCGCACCCCGTCTCACCCCCTCCCAGACAACTGTATTTTTGATCCCACAACCCGTCTCACCCTTCCCAGGCAACTGTAATTTTTACTCCACAACCCGTCTCACCTCCAGCTAGACTATCATGATTATTACCCCATAATACTTCTCACCTCCTCCTAACTTTTGTAATTTGTACCCAACACTTCTCCCCTCCACCCTGACTACTGTAATTTTTACTCCACAACCCGTCTCAACTCCTCCCAGACACCTGTATTTTTTATCCCGCAACCCGTCTCACCCCCTCCCAGACTACTGTATTTTTGATCCCACAACCCGTCTCACACCCTCCCAGCCTACTGTATTTTTGATCCCACACCCCGTCTCACCCTTCCCAGACAACTGTATTTTTTATCCCACAACCAATCTCACCCCCTCCCAGAAAACTGTATTTTTTATCCCGCAACCCGTCCCACCCCCTCCCAGACCACTGTATTCTTTATCCCGCAACCCGTCTCACCCCCTCCCAGACAACTGTATTTTTTATCCCGCAACCCGTCTCCCCCCCTCCCAGACTACTGTATTTTTGATCCCACAACCCGTCTCACCCCCTACCAGACAACTGTATTTTTGATCCCACAACCCGTCTCACCCTTCCCAGACAACTGTAATTTTTACTCCACAACCCGTCTCACCTCCAGCTAGACTATCATGATTATTACCCCATAATACTTCTCACCTCCTCCCTAACTTTTGTAATTTGTACCCAACACTTCTCCCCTCCTCCCTGACTACTGTAATTTTTACTCCACAACCCGTCTCACCTCCAGCTAGACTATCATGATTATTACCCCATAATACTTCTCACCTCCGCCCTAACTTTTGTAATTTGTACCCAACACTTCTCCCCTCCTCCCTGACTCCTGTAATTTTTACTCCACAACCCGTCTCACCCCCTCCCAGACAACTGTATTTTTTACCCCGCAACCCGTCTCACCCCCTCCCAGACTACTGCATTTTTGATCCCACAACCCTTCTCACCTCCTCCCAGACTACTCCTCATGCTGTCCATGGTATCTCTGGGAGTCATCCCCTCACTCTCCGCCTGTCTATACTCATCAAACTTTTCAAGGAGGCGGATTACAAGGTTGTATGCCTGGAGAAAATACATGAAAGAAAAAAAAAGTATGTTACATTTTTGGCTAACAAAGTATGCTTATCTGATCTTGCCTATTTAAAACATTAGTGAAATACCACAAAAAAATGTACAAAGTCTGTTTTTATATTTAAAGAATTATTCCTTAAGATTCAAACTAAGCCATTATTGTACTGAACTATGATCAATATAAACATGTAATCTTTTGTTTTCTTAATATTTGAAGTTGTGAAAATTATTTGATATTGTACTGGTTAAAATATCAGTCTGATTACCCTGTCCTGGTACGGAGAGTAGTCGGCCACCAAACTAGGAACAAACACGGCGGCCACTTCCTTAGTTACCATGACTTTGTTTCGCACTAACTGGGACAGGTGATCAAACAAACAGTCCCACAGGGGCTGAGCAGCTTCTGGCAGGGCCATTCTACATGTGGAACAAACTCAACTCACAGAAACACATTCTACTAAACCAGCAATCTTTTGTCAAAGTATTCACAGAGCAAGACACTAATGGAATGTGTAGCAGTTTGACCTTCAACCTGTATGAGTGTTTAACCTAAACCAGACGATGAGTCCTTAGAATTGAAGATGACAACCTGTTTTTTGTTTGTATTAAAGTATGTGTTCATATAACTGTAATTCCTGTCTGATGAACATTATCAGATCTAACATAATATAAGGTGTCTTTTATTATTCAAATAAGTTACAGTACAATTATTTAAGTTAAAGTTTAAAGTGAAGCCTTGATGTTTCATATATTTTAAACTAACAGATGCAATCACAAAGAGAAATCCTCTTTATTGGAACTGATAAGTAACTCATATTGATAACAATTCAAAATTAAAGATTAAAAAATACCCACTAAATAATATAAAATCCACTGTATGATCCGAGTCACTTGACATATGTCTCCGTCTACAATATCTTACCTGATTCTCATCTCTGTGATGCTGTCTACATTGCCAGCAAGAACAGAGTCTGGTAGGAGGCCCTTGGGAGACAAATTCCTCACCACCAGGGGGAGCTGTTCCAACAGCACCATGCTGATCTTCTCAGCATCCTGATCATGCATCGGGATGCCCTTGTTGCCTTTACTACAAGGTTAAAACAAGTTGTGTACACAGTTCATATAATACGCCTCATTACTGTATAGATGATAATAGTCACCGGAATTTAAGTTCGCCATATTTCGCGGTCACCAAAGATAGTGTGAAATATACAGTGAAAATGAATTCCCTGAATTATAATCTCTGTGAACATATATATTTACAGACAGAAAAAGAAAACATCTATTTACACATGTACTGCCGAATAATGAGGATAAAACAACAATTCAATATCGCACTTTACTTTATTTTCACAAAACACCTGTAAAATATATCCCATCACCAAAATACAAAAGTACCATCATGAGCGGATAATTATATCTAGCCATATTGTACAAAATCTAACCCCTGCAAACTAGCTCTGATTGGGACAACTGTGAAATATTGGCTTTGCGAAATTAAACAACTATTCAGTACTGACACACTAAAAAACTACTAATCAATATGATAAATGAAGCAAACCCATTAAAACAATATATATACATCATGTGTATGTTTTATGTTATATTTTATCAAAAAGGAAATGATGGCTTACTGCATGATATCACGTCGGTCGGAGGCGGAAGGACGATGAGAACGGTAGTATCCCTCCAGAGATAAAGCTTCTGGGAAGTCAGCCTGGACATGAGTGATCAGACGCACCAGTCCATCTAGATGTAGCTCCGGAGATGGGGTAGCAGGACTGCAAATTAGCAACCATTTATAAAGCATATGCTATAAAAGTTTTGATTATACATGTATTTCCGTAAATACGATGTATGTATAAACAAAGTGAAATGTAGGGATAAATGAAGTGACTGGCTGACACGAGACATCTGGAGGAGTAACACTAACCTAGAGCTGCTATCACCTCCTGTCACAGCGGTTTGTATTGGACGATCCCGAGGCGTGGCGTCCGGAGAGCTGGGAGGAGATACCTGGTCATGGGTCACTATCTTTTGAGGCTGATCTGGTCCTGTCTGACTCGTACTTAACGGTAAATCATCATCTCCAAAATCACTGACTTCATCTCCACCCACTTCATCAACCGGGTTAGGCTCCATTGGTCCAGACAGGGATTGGGATATATCTGTGTAACAGAGAAGACAACTGTAACCATTGTCTTTCAAGGAAGCCATCTCAAATGCAGTTTTAATGTAGAGTACCTTCAGATCTAAATGTTTTACTAGATGACAAACAACTGGTCGGAGCATTGCTGATGATGTCAGTTTTTTTCAAAACTACACAAAGTACTGGTACAGGGATAATCCTGGAGGGGGCTATTGACCCCTCAAAATTGAAATTGACCCCTCAATTTTTCAAGTTTCTTTTAATTTTACATAGAAAGGCCCCTCTTAATTCTGATATTGACTAAAAATGACTGAAAATGGCCCACTGCTCTCAAATTCCAGGATTTTTCCAGCTGGTAAATGGTTTCTTTCACTTCCCATAAATAAAGAAGTGGTTGAACGTTATGGATAACTTGCCAGAATATATTAACAGTACAAGTTGTAGTCTTTTCATGAAACATCACTCAAAAGCTTTTGTGTACTCATTGACCTTTTCTGGAGATTCTGACATTAGTTTGTGTACTTGTTGACCTTACCTGGAGACTCTGGCACTGGTTTGTGCACTTGTTGACCTTACCTGGAGGTTCTGATACTAGTTTGTGTATTATTGACCTTACCTGGAGATTCTGACACTAGTTTGTGTATCATTGACCTTACCTGGAGGTTCTGACACTAGTTTGTGTACTCGCTGACCTTACCTGGAGATTCTGACACTAGTTTGTGTACTTGTTGACCTTACCTGGAGGTTCTGACACTAGTTTGTGTACTTGTTGACCTTACCTGGAGATTCTGATACTAGTTTGTGTATTATTGACCTTACCTGGAGGTTCTGACACTAGTTTGTGTACTCGCTGACCTTACCTGGAGACTCTGGCACTGGTTTGTGCACTTGTTGACCAATTCGTACACTCTGTATTGGCTGGGGATGCTGCACCATTTCCTCCACAATATCATCACTGAAGCTAACATCAGTAACCTGATCAGGCACACTGTGTTGGTAGGCAGTTGTCTCCCTTTCAGCAGGGACATGCGAGACCTGTTGTTGAACAGCCCTGGGTTGACTCTGTTGTTGGACTGTCTCCTGATCAGTGGGATTTCGCATTACTTGTGATATGTTGGCATAAATGGAGGATGTTTTTGGCTTCTATATTAGAAACAAGCACAAAAAAAGAATTAGGGAAACATTTTCAAATTACAATATTTTACAAGTGACAATCCTCCATTTCTTTGAATAATTTTCAATTCATTACAATTCAAGCATAAATGGCAGTGATCAGATTAAAGAATAAGAACAAACATCTGTGAATTTAATCTTCTGAATCCATGAATGACCTACTTGTGTATATTGATCATCTCCTCTAAATGGTGTGGATGTCAGTACATGACCATATGAATCTCTCTCCTCTGGACTCTCATCCCTTTGGCTTGGGTTGTAAGTGCTTCTGGTTGGGGTTGATGTTTCTTTGTAGCCACGAGGTGGCTCCATGGGAGGTGGACCTGCCTCTCCAACTGATTGAGACTGGGGAGTGTGGCCTGGTGTAGGCTGATGATGAGGATAGCTGGGCTGTCCCTGTGGGTAGGGTTGAGGAGGTCCTTGAGAGCTCAAGGGATGGGCCCCCTGGGCGGGAGATTGCTGGGTCTGCTGTCTGTGATGTAGCACCTGTTCCATCCATAGTGGATAGGTTTTCTCTATGTACTCTTCATACTGTCTCTGGAAACAAAACAAAGCTCACATTAAGAATAATTATCGTTAAACATACTTTGTGATATTTATGCATCTTCCTTAAAAGGGAAAAAGCATATCTTTAGCTTGACTGATATATCCTATATCCATTTTTTTACACAAAGCAAAAGTGGATCTTTTACACATTGAAAGATTTATGTACCTTGAGTAGCCGGAGTTTCTCTGTCCTGGCAGTTGATGCCGCAAGGAAAGTGTCAATCCTCTCAAACTCCTGAACAATACGATCATTTCGTTCCTGAGCTCTCTTCTGGTCATCACAAATTTTTTTCCAGTAGGTCTTCAATTTTGCTGCTCTCAACTTTGCCCTGACAATTCAAATTAATGAGATCAGACTATGATTTATATCAAATGTTTGCTTTCAATAAACAGCATTAAGCATTAAGCAGAACCATTTCAAAATAATTAAGTTTAAAAAACACTATGCGCAGAAGAAAAATAATTCAAGAAGATAGTTAAAGAACTGTATGAGTATCTGCTTAACATGTTTATATTATATATATGCAGGTACAGATGTTTCTTTGAACGTTCTCACAATGTTAGAAAATACAAAAAGGGGTGTGTTTCATTGAAAACAAATATACAAAAGTCTTAATCAACACCTATATCTAGAATTATGAGTATCCATTTTATTCTTTTAACAGCTCCTTATATCTTTTCAACATCTTCTGTATTAGCTACCAAATTTTCATGAAAAATATTTTAAAATTATATCATTTATTATTTTAAGATAGATTTAACCATTTAAGTTCAACAATACATGCACAGTAAAAAAAATACACAGCAGTGTAATCTAAAATACTATAAAATAATCATAAATTCAGAAGAGAAATCTACATCTATGTCCAGATCACAAAATTATAACTTACTGTAATTAAAATGAAAATTAAATTGGAGTGATTTTGAATACAATGTGTGTAAACATAGTGACAGCTAGAACTAGATTGTCTTAAAACAATAAAACAGTTTATTTGGTCTTCAGTTTAAATTCTTGCACTTCGATAACATCAATAAATGCACTTTTATTATCAAATTGAAACAAAAATTTAACACATAGTAAGAAAAACATGTGTTTTGCTCATGTATGCTATGGTAAAACCTAATATTCATAAGAACTATGTAAGCATCCTCTTCTCTTTTTGTGGGAATCAAGTCCATAACTCAAGAAAGTGACCTTCAATAATTTTATCCTAAAGAATTTCTTCCATCTATGAATCCTTATGCATCATTTATTGAAAATCGCACCGTAAATATATTGTCTGTTCGCTTCAAGTCCCCTGAAGTGTAATGTGAATAAAAAGACCATTTGAATTTTTATTTTTGTAAGTTTGTTAGTTACAGTGTGGAGTGTGTAGAACTCCTGATGGAAAACAGATCAATATTTAGTTGATATTTATCCTTCTTAAAAATAATAAGATCCCCCAAAAAATAATTATGGATTTTAATTAAATACATTAAAATGCCTAAACATTAACTTATATTTCATTAATATAATGGAAAAGTAGTGAAAGTAATATTTGGGTGTAAACAAGATGAACACTACTACTATTTGAAAGATTGTGTAAATTGTTGGCAGAAAACAAGATGACAAAAATACCAGACAAGGTGATAGTAGACAACATAGTTGTGTAATTTTTGGAGATAAAATAAGTTTGGTGGTGAGTCTGTAGTGTGTTTGACTTACACAGCTACCACAGCCCTGGAGCAGCACAGCAATCAACAATGAACAGTTAGCAGTTTGTTTAAAGTATACACTGTAGGAACGTCACAGTAAATAGTTGAATTTTGAAAATAAACATAATAAATTAATATCCTTCTCCAATTCAATTCTTGATCGTCACAGTAAAGAGTTGAATTTTGAAAATAAACATAATAAATTAATATCCTTCTCCAATTCAATTCTTGATATGTCTTAAACAGTGTTTGGACATGCAATCTTTACAGTCTGATTTTTTTAATTATGATTAAAGTTATATCACAATTCTAATGGCCTAGTTTTTACTGGAGAAAACACTATTAAATTAAAGGAAACTTCGCCTACATTTATTGTTAACATGTACTTCCCATTGTAAACCATTGTTGACATCCCCTTCTGTTGTTAACCCCTTTGACCCCCTCCCATTGTAAAACATTGTTGACACCCCGCCCCAAATCCATTTTGTTAACCCTTGTTGACATAACCTCTCCCTTTGTAAACCCTTGTTGACATCCCCTCCCGTTTTAAACCACTTTTTGCATGCCCTCCAAGTGTTAACCTATACTGCAGTACTCTGTAATTATCTTACAATTTTTTCTAAATTTCTCGCGTTTAAAATAAAATTATTTATCATAAAATGCAAAATTTAAAAGGAAGCAATCATTTTCAATGGCACTGAAACATTTCTTGATACTTGAAAATGTAATCACCTATAACTTTGTGAAATATGTGTACAATGAATAACAGAATATGCCTATCTTCAATGTTGAGATGAATCTTAGATCAATCAAATCTCATATTCTGTATTTAAAAGAACTGTTATCTGTAACCTTCTGTGAGATGGTCAAATTGGTAAATACTTGCACTATGCATATAAATCCAAAGGAGAGATAACATTCGAGAAACTATCAATATGAAAAATGTACGTATATATGTTTACCTTTAATATTATCCAACTTTGTATTGTACCCCCTAAAAGTTGGTGTGGTATCTAACCATGTATTCTAAATTGAAGAGAAACTTATTAATATTTAATAATGTAAATTTTGAACCATGAAACACCGAGCAAACAAATTTTAAGACCCACCATACTGTTATCACAATAGTTCCCATTTATGACCTCAACCAAATATATCATTTAACATTAAGAGAAGAATACATATTGTTTACAAAACTTTCAATTTCTGGTTATTTGTTCTTTTGACAAACTTGACAGCCTTTCAGCTATGCAACCTACAGGCCTAACCTGATTGTGTACTTATCACAGTTCATCATCAGTTTCTTTGATGTTTTCTACATATTTTATCCCTGTGACTTTAAATATAGGCCCATAACAACATTTATTTATGTAGAGTTGAACCAATAAAGACATATAGAATGCAATTTATTTATCATGGGTACAATACTTACAGTCGATTATCTGTCTTTGCGAGAACTTTCAGCTGTTGTTCTAAATTCGCCCTCTTGCTTTCACTAAATAGGAAAAAGAAAGAATTGAAATTCCATTTTCAATTATACATTCACAAGAACATATAAGTGGATATGGACAGATATTTAACACAAAAAGAGATAGCCTCCCTGATGATTATCTGTAAATTAAATATGCATGCAAATATGCCCATTCGCAATATCTGAAAACTGATAAATATTTAGTTTTTCATTTATTTATCCTAAACAAAGTTATAATTTCTGAAATCACAGTTTAAAGAAAATTATATAAGTTTCTGAATTTTGATTATGGTTTACAAAAGAAGATCCTTTTAATTGACTTTATTATTGCAAAGCTGTATCATTTTTTGACATCATGTAATATAATAATTTGATCTAGCCTTGCTGTTCCGGCAGCTATAGCTGGCATATGCATTACAACAATGATGTAACAAATTACTAACAATTAAATAAATAAAAGTGTACAATATGTATGTAGACCTATTTTTTACTTTTTTTCTATTATTAAAAGGGTCATGTACTTGTCATGTGACATTACATCAGTATATAAATACAAGTGATTTTTAGGTTGAACTTGGGGTCTTATAAAGGCCCCTATCCCCTAGATAATTTATTCTTCTGTTGCATTTTCCTTTTCTCAAAATCAAGATTTCTGTGTGTGATATTTCCCCAAAGTCACAAGGCACATGCCCCTATGAAAAGAAGATAGAAAAATCACTGTGAGTGCTATAAGCAGGTCGGGGAAAACCACCAACTTGCGTATAATATACCCTAATTGGGTTATGGATTTGTTACTTAAAATAGCCAAAATCACTTTAAGCTTAACTATTTCAAATTGTTTGTCCAAGTCACATTTATCATACAAATGCAAAAATAAACATTATTTGTGTGTGGGAAAATACCAAAAATAGTTGTACTAATATTAATACCCGGCCTCCTCTGCCATTGCTGGCAATATGTAAAAAGAATCTCTCGTCGTCAGAAAGCTACGGTATCGCGGCTACAAAAATAGATGCAAAACTTCCGATAGAGTTACATCAAGTTTCTAAGTAGCCAACGCTTTCAGTAAACATCTTTTAGCAAAAAATATTTACCATGTCGTAAATTAATGCGATTTTTGATTAATATATTGCAAAAGTTACTGTTTAAGCGATTTGGGTTATTTTTAGGAACAAATCCATACTCCAAACACAGGTGCCCAGGTTCTGGAATATATGTGATATATTATATCACCCCTCTAGATATCGCACCCCCTTATACTAATAAATCATATGATTTATTATTATAAAGGGTGCGATACCTAAAATAATATATCACATATATTCCAGAACCCGAGCACCTGTGTGTGACTCCAACTGGCATATAATTGGTGAGTTTGTCCCCAACCTGATAAGTAGCCTGCAGGCCATTGTAAAGAATGTGATTGCAAACTGACTGCCCGGCAAAACCTAATCTAACCGCATACAAATCCTTGGTGAGATCCATACTGGAATACAGCTGCACGATATGGGACCCTTACCAGCAAAACATCCACTCGCTGGAAAAGGTACAACGCAGCACTGCCCGCTTTATGATATCAAACTATAGAAGGGACAGCAGTGTAACAGAAATGATGGACACTCTAAAACTAACACCACTAAAGGATCGCAGGCGAGACCATCAGCTTGCCCTTTTTTATTAGATCGTTAAAGGGGCTAGTGGCCATACCTGTAGATCACATATTGACTTAATTCATCAAACACCCGTACCAGATAAAAAAAATAGTGAAAATTACCGACATTTCCAGTGTAATACGGACATATTTAAAAATTCGTTTTTTCCCCGAACAACAACAGAGTGGAATAACCTACCAGAAGACCTCGTCAAAACGCAAGAACTTAAAAGCTTCAAGACATCACTACAAACTGGGACAATATAAACTAAAAGCGCACTTCTCCAACCCTGGAATTTATACTCAAATTTGAGGTCTTCCAGTAATCTACAGAAACAGAAAATTAAAGACTTAACATTGCTACTAAACAACGTGTAGCTCAAGATTGCTTTAGTTTATGTATAGACAATTTCTAGTTTAGGGCTCAGAAACCCGATGTTACTAAGCATGTTCAAGCACGCAAACTGCATAACAAGATACTGATTCGGGTGTCCGTAGTGTTGCATTTTCTATTTAAACAGGTTAAGTTAGCACAGCAAGCTATAATGATTTGGACTATTTTATACTGTGAAGCTACTTACTGGTTGTGAATGACATCTTGGTTTTCTTTTTGTCGTTGGTAGTATTGAACATTTGAGGACGCCATATTCAAACAAATACTATTCGAAACTACTCAATTATTAATAATATCCGAGGTATTCCGGGATGCTCTGAGGTTTCGCGCCTTCATGTCAAAAGAGCTTGCAGAGTCATTAGCACATTGAATTCCCATTGAGCTTTTCAGACTTGATGAAATTATATAATACAGCTGTTGATAACCTTTGTTGTGCACACTTAAGCAGCAGAAAAAGCTTTTTTACTTCTCAAGATAATAAAAAATGACATATTAAACCTCATTACTTAGTTAATTGATCGTTTTCCACAGCCTAACATGCGTGTAATGAAACAATCAGGTGCTGAACTTGCTATGAAAGAACTAAATAAAAAAATCAAGTTAGACAATTAATTGATCCAAACGTATCCTTAATAAATATCGTTTATAATTGATACTTTCTTCTCGTCAAGATAAAAACATACCAACTGTAACACAATCTCATGTACTATCGATAAGCTTTATACATTACCAAGCAATATTACTCAGTATTCCGTGAATTTAAAGTCCCATTCCAAGAAACAAATATAAGGATTTATTATTTATCATATATCTTTATGCTCACAAGAGTCTGTAAAAGTTGCATGTACCCTTGGTCTTTGGAGGGGGAATCTGAATAGGTCTACGAAACAAGTGCGCTGCTCTGACGTCACATGAGAAATCAACATGGCGACGTATATTGCACTTTCGTCTGGAAAGATGAAGAAGAAAAGAAAGCGTACTGTGATTAGCAAGAAAGATTTGGAAAAATTGGAAGCCCTCTTTCAGCAAGATAAATGGCCTGATCGCAGTAAAAAGATGCATCTGGCAATGGTAATAAGTAAATCGGAAAACTTCATATCTACTTGGTTTCAAAACCGACGAGCAAAGTTTCGCCGTCTACAACACGACACAGAGACGCTTGTGAAAAATGACGATACTGTTAAATTGACATTTCATGATGTGAGATTTTCAGGTAATGATATATCAAAAAGCAATAGTGTTATGTGTGATAAAAATAAGGAAAGTCATGTTCGTTCTAATCAAACACCTATTGGCTTGGAAGAAATCAAAATGGAGTTGAATGTTTTAAACAAGAACCAAAAGAATGCATTTAAAAGAGCAAGAAAGGTGAACGGAAACTGCGAAAGGGATGAAAGGAACGGCGAAGTGGTAAGTGGTTTGAGTATCATTTAAGTTTGTTATATTCGATTTTTCCCGCTCGTCAACTTTTACACTCAATCGTGACAATTGTCCTTTTCGTTGTAGGCCTAGTAAGGAAAATAATGAGATATTCCGATTGTAGTATGGGTGGCCTTTGTCGAAAATTCCTTAAAAATTCAGTCCCTTGCAAATTCAGGACACGCCAGTTCAGAGAGAAAATGTGCTTGATAAAAAGAACCACGTAAAGATGATTTACGAATTTCATAAATTCATAACTATGTGGGAATATTTCATTATCTTTTATTTCTTTATATATTATATTACTTGAGAAACTGAAGTCATTTGTAGTGTTACGGTGTTGTAGGCTGGGGGCTATAGGGCCTATCTATTAGAAGTAGCGTTTGTTCGGGCTATTATACTATCACTGATATGCAGTGTTCTGTACATGTTTAGGTTAAGAAGGTACTTGGACGATTTGACGAGCGTAAAAAAATGCTGTTAATTTTTGAATCGCAAAAAATGGCTGAATAGCTCATTCACATTATTAATATAACTTTCAACATATTAGAAGCTAGGCCTATGTTAAACGTTAAATGTTAATTAAACTAAACTATGTTTAGTGAGGTCGCTGTAGGTGTCGTTTCAGTTCACGTTAGATGATCAGAATATCCAACACTTCTGTTTTGTTGAGGTAATTTACTTGAAACTGCTATTTTTCCCCAGGTTTTACAAGACGTAACCAAGTCTGGGATAACTTTGTCCTGGGAATTTGTGTTTCGACAGATCGTGGAGATGGCTGCTGCCTCCGAGGGGGCCATGGCTGACGGACACCCTTCTATTACACAGGCCGTGCGTCATGCGGCCCTAGGGGTACCACTAAGGGACGCAAAGCTCGTGTACAGTCGCGAGTACGGGTTGGACTGTGAAGCCGCGTGATATACAATATTCATATTGCATGAAAAATGTCGGTTGTGTTGTACGATCTGTTATAATAAACGTTTCTGTTTTTAGTCCAAGATATTAGCAAGCACTGGCCTTGTGTTATTCTATACTCCAACTGCCTACTGGTAATTTTTAGGTTTTCCAATACTTTTACTTATTGTTATGTGTGTGGGTTTGAGAAAGGATTAATATAATCTTCCCAACTTCAAGGGTCACGATGGCCGAGTGGTTAAGGCGTTTGACCGTCTACGACATCACTAGCGCTCCACCACTGGGTGTCGCAGGTCAGTATTTTTTCTTGTGTACTCCTGCTCTCCTCTACTATCTACATACTAACCTGGCGGGTACTTTTATGACTACAGCTGTTATAACGACGTAAAAGCACAAACTTTATACAGACAGAGATATCTAAACCCGAACAGTGGTATTTTTAATTATCTATGCCTAATCATCTAAGAATCACTCCGAGGGGTTAACATTTCTCGGCATACTCTCATGGCATAGGAGATGCATCTTTATCTCCCATCCTATCAACATAGCAATCATAATCCGCGTTTGTAAATCCCTTCCCGACGACTGGTGATGGTGACGTCACATTTTATCGTTCTCGTAACGCAATAGTATTGTTTATGTAAAAAAGAGAAGAAGAAAAATGCATGGTCAGACCGGAATTTGAGCCCAGGACCCTTCGAACTCTAGCTGGTCGCCGACAATCGACCCAATCGATTTCTATTTTACAGCACAGGTTCGGATAGCCCCGCCCCAAGCATTCGTCCACTGCATGTAATAAGGGTTGGTCACAGGTACCACTGTTACAGGAGAGAAAAGTGCATGGCCAGACCGGGACTAGAACACGGGACTTTCCGAACTCTAGCCTTTCAAAAGTAATCAGAAATAATAGAGGTATTGGTCGACTACTAGTGGAAAGACTAGGTATGTAAAGCAATATTTGAAGAGCAGATATGTGTATATGCCTGTGTATATAAAAAAAAAATCCCAAAAGGCATATCGTTCTATACACATGGTACAGTATGATAAATATCAAGAATTGCAGTAGTAAGAATGTAACTATTGGTTTAGGGAGACCAGGGCAAGTTCGGTCCATTATTATTAAAGTCGTCCATGTCATTTGTTGAAATGTATGTGTTTATACACCATTTGAAAGAGAAATTCTACGTCTTTCATATTTATTTATTTTTAAAAGTCAAAAATTCGGACAGGCAGTTTAAGGTTAGTTCGGCCCACGTTGAAATCAGCATAATTATACACATCCTTAAGCATGCAACGTCATGTCCCGCCCAACAAACTAAACGTCTAAGATCCACAAAGTTGTAAATATTTGCTCAAGACCAAACATATCAGCTGTGACCCGACCTACCTCAGGGCCGAACTTGCCCCGGTCTCCCCTATAACTGGTCGACCTTTAATGAAATACTGCATATGCTTTGATGGAGTGGTACACAAAGAAGGTTTCTGATTCCACACACCGATGTCTTTGATTTATTTATCTAAAAAAAATGATCTCAGAAAGGAATGAACCAAGTGTCCCAACATTGGGAGGGTAATGAAAACTGCTGTAAAAAAACAAAGCGAGCAAATGACAGCTCACTTTGCGAACCTATGGAGAACTAACAGTGGCGATACCCGCAACCCGTTACAGTGTTCAGGCCCGAGAGTATCTTGAAGCTGCTGAGAGAGATCTAAGAAGGTATGCAGCCCAGACCAACTTCCCACAACAATTAATCAACCAATCAATACAATATTTAATTAGAGTGTCACATGTTAATTTATACATAAATCAGATACATATCAATAATTCAGATATTACCATATTAACATCAGGTCATTTACTGACTTGTCTGACACTTCAATGCAATTTAACATTAGTCATAAATACATGTTTCACAAAAACGTTCGTAATTAATTTACAATACAATGCAATGCCATGAATATGCAAGTAAAAAACATTTATCGTTTAAAAATTACACAAGTATTCTAACTTTAAGAGATCATGCTAGATCTGTTTAAAATACTAGAGGATGCACTCCTTAATTAATTTAGGGAAAAATATCATAAATATATTATCCCTTAAGGTAAAACAGATTATTTCGCAAAATACTATACATGGGACTATCGCACAAGAAGTGAGCCTCTGTTTCCACAGATTGGGAACACCAAAACGTTTAGGGGTGTCGGTGGCATGTTATAATCTTCAGAGGAGCACTACCCCATATGGTGCCATCCCAACATTGTCAGAACGCTCCGGTAGGATCGTGTCACGAAATGTTATTGTTTTAGGTCCTTTTTTTAAATTCATGTAAGTCCGTAGCTTATTTCTGTTAACAAGCCCACAATCATTCCAGAGTTGGCCAAACCATTCACTTTCATCCTGATGTTTTACAGTGTTTCTAATCATATTATTTTAAGTGTACTTAAGTCCCAAGGGTTGCGTCTTCGTTTCGACCACGTATGCAGTTTCGTACAATAACTGAATTGGTTCCGCAAATCTAACACGATAGTAAAGTCTTCAATAAAACAGCGCTGGATATTGTACCCATAGTCCCGCCGATTTCCCAGTACTCATCTGACAGATTGGTTGGTTGTACAGTTAAGGACGTGCCTCCATGTGTGTTGCGTATGCGCGCGTGTGTATGTGATCCTTGTGTTAGCGAGGATCTGATGCTAACTTTATAGCGCTACCTCACTGAAATACCATGCCGAAGGCACCCAGCACAACATTCCGACATGTCACATTATATTGACCACGGGTGAACCAGTTGTTGCCATTAAATTTTGAACATAAAGCAGGGAATAACAACGGTCATATTTAAGGACTTTGGTATGTCCCAGCATGAGAACAGAGTCCATTGCCTTCCTCACTTGGGCAAACGATCTGCAAGGGAAGGCACTATAGGAAACGAAAGGTAATTAGAAGTAGAAAGAAATCAAAGATCCCAAATATTACAATCGGCGCAGCAGATTAATTTTGATCGCTTTTGCAAATCCCCAATTATGCAGGGACAGACTGTCTGGGCCCACGTTGGTATCTGTTACGTTAGATTTTCCGCCAATTTCACGACTTTTTATATGTTGCATGTACCGAACCTGCCCCAAATTGTCAATAAATTCGTATATCACAGCAATACATAAATAAATAGCAATTCGATTTACAGAAAGTTCGCAATACTAGAAAGAAGTGAGGTCATGCTTTTTTTTCTATCTACCTTCCCAAAAGTAACTTTCTCTCGTTTATTAATTTAAGATTTGAGTTTTCCTCGCTGTTTTACCGTGTGAATGTCTGTCATAGTCAACTGAACTGCTAATATCCTCAAAGTTGTAAATATTTGCTCAAGACCAAACATTTATATCTAGGGTGGCCGAACTTGAACCGGCCGGTACCCCTTTTGTTTTCTTGCATTTTTCGGCAAGTCAGTATATAATATGTTGTGTTTTACTTGGTCTTGCTATTCTTTTAATTTCCAATTTCTTCAAATGTCAAACAGTCATATTATAAGATTTTCAATATTTTGGAGTCGAGAGCGGAGGGCAAAAAAAGAAATCTCCAATGCTGATTTTGGTAGACTTTTTTGTGTTACATGCATTAAGAGCCATATTATTGTGAACAATCGATGTTCATAGCTGCAATTAGCTTGATATTAACAGTAAATTCATTTTTGACTAGCGGATTTTTTTTTTATAATTATATTCCGGATTAAATGAGATGACCATGTTTGTATTTATTTTCACCAGTATATCAAACGTCGCCACTACGCAGATTCTAATGGCGGAAAAATCAAACTGCAATTCTCTTGTTGATCTGAAAAAATGTGTAAAGCGAGCAGATCTTCATCAAGAAGATTTTATTGCAGGACCATTTATGGTAAATTTGGCATTAGAAAATGAGTTATTAACAAATAAGTACATTGAAATATGGATATGTATTCAAAACTCAACGCCTACATCACTAGTCCAGTGTCTGCGGCTAACTTACTCCAACATATGGTAGAGGTTTACACGGCGAGATACTTTTGATCTGCGCCGTCGGCAAAATCATATCCGAAAGAAAAAATGGCCGACCAGCGGCCGCCTCTTATGTTATAGGAGTACGGCTAACTAACCCGAGTTTCCTCTGGCCACCAGACTTAGACATTTTGACAGATAGACAGGTTATGGGTAATACTCCTGCATTTGGGTAACATCTTTGTATGTTATGGTTGAATGCACTTCGAATCAATTTTGTACTTCACTATCTTTATTAAAAATCGCTATTTATATGGTTATTATAAACAACTTTTGGTTGAACGTTTTTTCGTGTTTTGACATTTTCGTGATTTTAGATGTCCCGACTTTCTTTTCTAAGGCTTCAAAAGTCGTGAAATACTTTCAAAACAGAAAACTGTTCAACCAAAAGTTGTTTGTAATAACCAATACATATGGCGATTTTAAATAACGTAAGTGAAGTACAAAATTTGGATTTTTTATATAGGATAGTGAAAGTAGATTCGAAGTGCATTCAACCATAACATACAAATATGTTACCCAAAGGCAGGATTATTACCCATATGCGCTGTGGTGCCCAATCTGATAGATATGAGGTCTAAGTCTGGTGTCAGGGCCAGAGGAACTTCAAATCATGACAATCATTTAAAAGGATAAAAAGATATTATTTTGTAATTCTGTATGTAAGTTAAATTAAACACATCTGATGGTCTACTAATAATTGAAATAAGAAACTATCCAACATTTAATTCAAATATTAGAAAACATTACTTTACTCAAAGAATAATTGATATCTGGAATAGTCTCTCGCAAGATGTTATTTCATCTCGTAACGTATTTGACTTTGAGAAAAACTTGGACGAATTCTGGAAAGATCTGGAGTTGAAGTACGATCATACAGCATCTTATGTATAGGCTTATTTTATGTTTACCACGTTGTATTTCAAAATATATTGACGTAGATATAGAGGCAGCAATGCTTGTGTCCACTAATGTCCTAGTAAATCATATTAACAAAAAGATCATGAGATTGACAGTACCTGTATACATAGTTGTACCTGCAAAAGTCAACATATTTTAGTCCATGGGTTATATGTTATCATTATTTCGAGCCAACCCTTAGACACTTTATTTGTCTTCTTAGCTTACCTTAGTCACAATCATTTTGTAAGTGTAAAAATAGTATGAAATTTATCTCTAAATAGATTAATTTTTTGCTAATCTCTTCAACAACCCTCTCATAATTTTGTATGCATACAAATGAACTACCACTAATGAATATGATATATTTTGCAGGTTTTGAAAATAGATCGGTACATGGTAGATCCGCAGCACACTTCTCAGACTGGCCTGGATACTATGTACATTGATGTTTACCAGCTGACTGTCACAGACAATGTACATAAACTCAAAGTTGTAGCAGATCCAAAATTATCAACAGAAATCCAAAACAGACAGGTTGTCATTATGAATATATATCTTATTTTTAACATATTGTTTGTCCATCTGCCTGTCCATTGTCCTTCTTTCCAGTGTCAACTTTTTCCTTCATATGAGTTCTTAATGACCTTAAGACCTAGGGTAAGGAAATATGACATGTAACTAGACAAATCGTAAGGCTGTCAAATTTGATGAAAATAAATAACATTGACTTACTGGGTTATAACCACAAAGTCACATGGCTAAAATGTGTTGAAATTTTCAAACAACCGATTTGGCCTGGCCTGTAGTTTACTGGAATAAAGAGTTATCAACTCTGTTGAAATACTTTATGAACAACCTATACCCACATCAAAGTTAACCATGGTCAGATGTGTTACAATCTTTATTATATATATTACTTGTTTCAGTTCTTGACATCTGTCCTTAAGCTTGCTGGGATAAAATACTGTGGGTTTTTTTTTCTTCAAATAAATGACTGTGGAATCCATTAATGGTTATGGTAAAATGTGGAGAAAAATTTAAATATATTCTTAAGATTATCCTGTCCTAGAATTCTGATTTTTGGCCTGTAGCTAGCTGGAATGAAAATAAAAATTAATCTCATCTTATTTATGTCATATGGATCATACATTTGTCTACAATTTTTAGGTCACCTGAGCTTTGCTCAAGTGACCTATTCCAATCGCTTTTCGTCCGTCGTGCGTCGTGCGTAAACTTTTACATTTTCAACTTCTTCTCAAGAACCAGTGGATGGATTTTTTTCAAACTTGGTCAGAATCATCCTTGGTAGATGAGGCTTCAAAATTGTAAAATTGGGATTCCTACCCCAACCCCTGGGGCCAGGGCGGGGCCCCAAAGGGAAAATTA